AGTTCGCATGATCTCAAGAGGGGTGAGGACTCTTATATGCTGATCAGGGTCCGGAGGGGAAGGGGGGGTGGCTAGCGAAGGCTCAGCTCGTGGGGGGTTAGGCAAGCGGGAAAGAGATGGTTTCACAGGGTTTTGGCCAGAAGGGTTGATGCTTCCAGGAGGTGAGGTCTGTACCCCCGCAACTTTCATAGTAGTGGCACTAGAAACAATACTGCATGGTTCGAAAGTATCATCAGTAGCACTAGAGGTGTGACTCTCAGAGCTCACCAGTCGCAGAGAACAGGATGGTGCTTGAGACGACACCAAGGGTGGGGTCTGTCCTTGGGTACTGGATGTACCAGAAGGGGGTGACAAGGGGGGTTGGGGGGTGCTAGAGCTCTCCACAGACAAGGGAGAGGGAGGGAGTGGTGAGGAAGAGCCTGGGGGATCTCGTGCACAGCTGCCCTGTGGAATGATGACTCGTCCACTGCGAAACTATAGGGACCACAGACAGAAAATGGGTGTGTCACTACATAGGTCTAAATTTAATGTAATGGGGCCATTTTTGATGAAAAAGATTCTTTTAATATAAAAAAAGAGTCTCCATTCTTGTATCATCAGTCATGTTAGAATCTGACAAGAGTTAGTAATTGCTACTTTTAAGATATTTGCAAGTTATTAAGCATGATTAGTAACTAATATTATTTTTTGTTAACATTTGTTAATGAGAACTCCTAAGTGCTTAATCATAAAACTTTAAATGTTAATATGGTATACATAATAAAAATCAATACTCAATACAAATATTGTACAGTTAAATCCTGTAAAGCATTCACTGTTATGCAGACGATGAGTCACAATAACGTGGCTGAAGAGTTCATATCCAACCCACACATCTGAAAATGAAGACAGGACGATATTTCGGACCATCCTGGACCATTATCAAGTCGTGTAATAGAAAGACAGTGGAAGAGAAAACAGTATACTGAGTAAGTAATGAGAGTGAGATAAAATGTGAGAGGAAGAAAAAAGAATGATGATGATAAGAATAAGATGAAACGTATGTTTAAGATGAAAGAAAAATAAGATACATACAGAAAATCCCACTAACGTGATATACATCAATGAGAAAATCCACTGGGGCTCAGCCGACGCGAACCTGCCACCAAGGAATTGCCAGTCACATACTCTACTACTGTACCACCACTGACTTGTTCAGTCTTACAACTGGATTTTTACTGAAATCACAAGAAGTCTGGAGACCCCTCCTGAAACCAGTTCAAGTTTTTATGTAAGGCCTCCAAGCACTCGGGCGAAGGGTAAAGTAGTTCAACGCCGTACGCCTCGACTTCAGTCACTACGTTACCCTTCACCTGAGTGCTTTGGGATTTTACATAAAACTTGGACTGGCTTCAGGGCTTCCTGTGATTTCAGTAGGAATCCAGTTGTAAGACTTTTACAAAGTCATTAGTGGTACAGTGGTTAGAGTATGAGGCTGGCAATACCTTGGTCGCGGATTCGCGTCACTTCACAGCGACAGTGGATATTCTCAAGAATAAAATGAAAGGTATGAATAATAGAAAAAGGTAAGAATAAGATGAAAGGCAAAGATAAAAAATAATTAAGAATAAGAGAAAATAAGAATAAAGGGAATCGGGTAAATTAAAAGGTTTAAAATTAAAAGTAATGGAAGCAAAATAGGAAGAAAAATAGGAAAATGGTATAAATAAGAAAAAGGTTAAAAAATAATGAAAAGAAACCTACAAGAAGCCAAATGGCAAAGAGAAGAATCTAGTGACAAAAGACAGAAAAGAAAGAGCGCCTAAAGGAGGCAGAGTCAGATCACATTTCTTAAGGAGGTAAGAGCATTTGAGTATATATTGTGAAAGGGACGAGTTAACAGCCATGAAGCCAGGACTAAGGTTCATGTTGCGCATGTTGTGTATGAAAGCCGATTCGACATGATGGCGTCTGTGAAGAGCAGAGGCAGGAAAGATTATTTTAGAAGCAGACCAATCTATAGGATGACCCTAAAATGACAGAAGAAAGCACTGTGTCGGCAGACTTAACACGTCTCTCGTGTTCCTTAAGTCTGTCAATCAGTGTATGGCCAGTGTCACGAATGCATTGGTAAGAACAAGATGAATAGGAAATAAAGAGTAGACAATAGCAGCATTAGAAACAAGAGGAGTCACGTGAACCAGTTTATTATGAAGTGTTAATTTGTTGAAAAGCAAGTTTCACATCAAGAGGATGAAGGGGTATTAGTGAGTTTTAAAGTTCAGATATAAAGGGAAGGCACAGCAAAGTGTTTACTAGTGTTTTATTATGAAGTGTTAATTTGTTGAAAAGTTTCACATCAGGAGTCACGTGAACCAGTTTATTATGAAGTGTTAATTTGTTGAAAAGCGAGTTTCACATCAAGAGGATGAAGGGGTAATAGTGAGTTTTAAAGTTCAGATATAAAGGGAAGGCACAGCAAAGTGTTTACTAGTGTTAGAAACATTGACTCTCTCGTAGCTGGATTTTTTTTCTCTTTTCCATTTGGCTTCTTACAGGTTTATTTTCTTCATTTTCCTTTCTCTTTTTCAGGCCTTTTCTTATCTATAACCTTTTTCCATTCTTCTTCATTCTTCCTTCCCTTACTTCTAAACCCACCTTTACTTTACCCAATTCTCTTTATTCTTATTCTTTCCTTTCCACTTTATTCTCACCTTTTATCTTATTCTTACCTTGTATCTTATTCTTATCTTCATCTTTCTATTTCTTCCTCTCACCTCTCATCTCAATCTCATCCCTTGTAATGTTTTCCCTCCCACTGTCTTTCCATTACACAACTTGATACGGTCAAGGACGGACTGAAACATCGACGATTCTTCAGTTTCAGATGTGTGGGTTGGATATCAATTCAAGGTCATGACTACCTTCACGACTCATGGTATTTATATTGCATGCAAAACAAAATTACTCCATTTGTAATCATGCAGGTTATCAGGTGCAGGACTTATATAAACATGCTTCTTGCAAACATCTACAGTATTTGTTTTCTTGTCTACACTTTAGTTCAAAAGTTCAAAAGCATTTTCCGAGTTTACTTGTCTAGTGGGGGATGCACAGACACGTTATGTAATACTTAAATAAAATGCCTTAAAAGCAAAAGAAATGAATAGGAAAGAATTTGAAAATATATTTCAGTAGTTAGTTGGGAAAAGAAATTGGCAGCATAAACCAATACACTAATTCTACTCCCTAAAAAGAAGTGTCTATTCACTAAAAAAAAAAAAAAGGATAGGTATCAACTAAAGAAGAAACAACTAAAGCATCTTGGAAAAAATTAATGCAGCCCATAAGTAACAATATACAGTAATATCAACTTATTGACCAGAAACAGAAATATATATATACATATATATATAAATGAATCCAAAATCAGTTTCAAAGTTGCACTCTGAACCAAATCTCTGATAGCAAACCAAACCTGCAATTATCCTGCTGGTGAGTCCAATATAAGCAGCAGGATAATTTAGTCATCATAGTCGAAAAAATGTTTACACACACCGATAACTAAATTTTTTTATACAAACCAACAAATTAAAAAGCAAAATCAACATTAAAATAATTTTAACTATATAGAAGCCAGTACTGCACTACAGACTTTCTGAACAATACACACAAATTGCAAATTTGATGAACATAAAATATGAAGAATTACAAAATACAAATTTACTAATGCACTTTAAAAGATATAGCATAATAAACAACTCTTTTAAGACAATAATCATTCAATGAAACAGTTGCTAATATATCAAATAAATAGACAATAAATACACAAAGATAAATCAAGATAAGGACCAGCGAGTCTTTGTCAACTCATGCCAAAAAAAGCCATAAAATCAATCTAGCAACATTTACAGAGACCTTATGTATGAATCTCTGGCAACCAGGCCCTATGCTTAATCCAGAAATTAATATTACTGATGTCTAGTGATGAGGAGAAAATGAAGTTTCAGCAAAAGAAACTCATATATTTATAGATAAATATATAACTCTTTATATATTTATATAACTCTTATATTAAAATATAAACTTGTATTTTTTCATACACTATTATAACCGCATACTGATCAGTCATGAATACCAATAGCAATGCTTAAGTCATTTGTCAAAGATTCAGTACAACGAGAAGTTACCTTTATCTGCTTTCATTTTCTTTTTGTGATTGGTACAGTATATAGGAATTATTCATAAAGATGCACTCCCTCTGTAGTACTTATAGTGAATATACAGATATCCAAAAATCCTGTGTAATATTTTTCGATATGGTTTAATTGACAAAGCCAACACCACACTGAATGATTAGACAAAAACACTCCCAAGTCATCATTATATGCTCCAAAAAACATGTGACACAAATTAGTTGGATTTAATCACCCATGAATATCACACACCTCACTTACTCCAATTATTAGATTTTCTTTCATTAAGTTTTAACTATAACCACTCAAGTGGCTCATTTTTTGTTTTTCAAGAAAATACTTTACTACAACTACTATTTATCCACTGATGTATTTATAAGCAATTTTCCTTCTTTAGTACTTAGTGTTTTTAATTGTATTCTAAAAGTTTCCTACTCTCGCCGATCCCATAAATGCACTTTATAAATGTTCAAACTCATACTTGTCTGCACATGTAAAACACCTACCATTTACCTCACACTCAAAATATAGTAAGCATGTTTATTAACCAAATGTTTTGAGCATTGCTGTTGAATCCTCAACACTTGACGAAGTCAAGACAAATGGCTGCCACAATACTTGGGAATGGTTTTATAAACATGCTAAATTTCTTTATAAACTGGAAAGCTAACATATTATAACGTAAAAAAATTAACATTGATCATATGGCTAATGAAGAAAAGACTGACAAAATAAGTAGAAACATAAATCAAATTTAAAATTGAGCTCATATATTACAAAAATCCAAATCCAAAATGAATTTAAAAAATACATAAACTGTCTAACCTGTTTGTTTTTATAGTATTCCTTCTTATTCTCACGAGCTCTTTGGATTAACATCTTTTTCTGTTCAGTATCTTTCAGGTTCTTCCAGATACGTCTGATTTGTCTTTCCCGATCTGCCACAGCTGATGTTAACGTGAGCAAAATGTTTTATTAATAAATAAATTCAGGAATAACAATATATTTAATAAATATAAACAGTGCAATATTAATACTGCTGTAAATCTTACTCTATACCAAAAACAAATTTTATCCAAAGAATTAACCAAATCAATCTGTATTTTGATTGATAATCAAACAAAACTTTTTTTTCTTTTTTGTTCAGTCAGGGTGGCAATTTAGATGATAGTAACACTTTGAAGGTTAAAAGAACACAGCATTTGGAAATCGAGATCAAGTATGACATACTGTACTCTATATAATTTAAACAAATTCCATAAAAGTTATTGAAAAAAAGGAAACTTTTATCCTTTCTAATTACATTACCTGGAAAATCAGTTTTGAGATTAGGTTTGTGAACGTTGACATATAACACGGCTGCCTTGGTGGCCTTTGGTCCAAGAGATTCATCCTCTTCTAGAGTAAGGCTTTGTGATTGTGAATCAGTATTTGTCCAAATTTTCGGTGGCTCAGGAACTGTAGGAGTTGTAGGTTTGTTGGTAGTTGAAAAGGATGTTGTAGTCGATGGGTATCCATGAGATGATGCCTGTGAATCTGGACGAGAAAGAGGACTGGGAAGGGACTGGGATAAAACTGGGCCACCAGTTACAGGACCTGGTAATGGGCTTGGAAGAGTTGATGGACTCTGATGGGTAATGGGGCTTGCAAGTCCAACAGGACTTGGCATACTGGTAGGGCATTTAATGGATGGAATAGGACTCGGACCTTGGATTGTATTACCAACTGAAATTGACGACAATGCTGGAGCTTGTGGAATACATGGGATTGCTGCTCCTGTTGACATAGAGCATAATGGTGCAACAGGTGGTTGATTTGGACGAAGTGTTGATGCTGCAGGGAGGGTGACTGAAGGTGTTATGGAAGTCATAAGAGGTTCTTTCGTAGATGGAAGAGAAATAGTAGGTTGAGTGGCAGGAGATACGATATGAGTACTGTTGACACTTGCTTCACTATCTACACAAGTTGAACCTTCCCCTTCTACACCACCCAGTGCCGATGACAAAGGTATAGATGTTGATAGTGTGGAATCTTGACTATCTTCTGTGCTATCTTCAGGAAGATTTTTCATAATATCTGCCACATCATCAAGGTTAAAGCCTGGTCCAAGAATATCTGTCAGCTTTGTCCCATTACCTCTGCCACATGGAACATCAATGGTATCTTGAGATATGTCATCATCACCAGTTAAGTTGGCATCATCATCCTTCATGGCACCACTAATAATGTCATGCATAAGAATGTCAGTAATATCACCACCCTGAGCAAAGATGGCATCAATGGCTTCATTATTTTCATCCTCTTCTGCCATGTCTTCATCCTGAACAAGAAAAATTATGAAAACCTTATCAAAATGTTGAAAAATCATAAATTATATATTACCCTACAGTTAAGTTTGGTTAATTGTAATGTGATTGAATGAAAGTATATAAAATCTATACTTAATACTGACCCCCATATCTCAGGGTATGGCTTCCAGAAGCCACAAAGCACTCTCCCTAGAAACCAGTACTGAAGGTAATGAAACACATCTTTCTGGTTTGTTCTCGGTGACTCCTTGAAGATATCTCCACACACGAGTCACCTCAGCCCTTGAGTCCTGAATAGCCTACCAGAGATCAGAGCTAAAACCTGCACCCCTACAATAACTGCAGGGAGCAGGGGGATCCACACCAATTAAGTGAAGCAAAACAGACAACTGTAAGGTTCACAAAGAAACAAGACAGGAAACAGCAAATAACCCTGCAAACGATCCACCCATTAGTTAAAACCGGTTCAAACATAACTGGCTCCCATGTCAACACATCATAGTGGGTAGGTGAAGACCATAAATTAATGCACCTAGTAGGATGGGGGAAAAGACCAGGGAGCCAACAAGTTCTAACCAGAATGAGGCATTTCATTATACCCAATGCTGGTTTTCCAGAGGGTCCAAACAGTGGGTCCCAGAAGTTAACTAACCACAAAGAGTAAAGAAACTGTGGCCCTACTGAGGGGCAGCTGGAAGGCAGTACCCACGACCAAAAGCACTGAAGTGACAGCCTTCACAGAAAAAAAGGAGGGACAAAAAGGGGTAGGTTAACAAACGTGGGCAAACATGGAACCTCGATTGAGTTCAGGGAGTTATTGTGCTCCCCATGCCTGGCCTAGAGCCAGGCATGACTTCTGAGATTTGGTCCAAAAGACTGCTGCTTGGAGCAGCTCACATGTCCCACAGCCATTACAACCCAGTTGTCTGGCACTTCTTGCAGTAATTTGTTTAATTGTTTGAAGAAACAGCTTTGTTCCAACATTTCTATGATTTCTGGGAGGATATTGAATAGCCTTGGATCTCAGATGTTCATAATGTGTTCTGTGATTGTGCCTATGGCACCCCTACTCTTCAATGTTCTATTCTGAATGTCCTTCCATATTGTTCACTGCAGTATGTTCTAAGGAATATAATTTAAGAGCTTGGAAACAGTCCTAATAATTTAGGTGCTTTATTATGTTCATGCATGCTGTATATGTTCCCTGCATTCCCACTATTTCAGAAATATCTCCTGCTCTGAAAGCTGAAGTGAGTACTGAGCAGTACATAAGGTGGGACAGCACCAGGGATTTAAATAGTATGAGCAGTGCAGTGGAATTCCTGGATTTGAATGTTCTCATAACCCTTCCCAGTATTATCCTTTGCAGATAACACTAGGATTTTCATGAGTAGAAAACATATAGGACACAAAAATATATATTAATATTTTCTTTTATGTCTCTACTCTAGCAAATTAATTTGTAAACATTTTGACACCAAAATTATAGTTGTAACTCCTAAACCTGAGAAAGCATAAAAAAAGTGCAATATGTTAGGCATTGCCAAGAGGGACCGCAAAGTGCCTAGGATGTTTACAGTTGGGTATAAACTGACAAGTCAAAACACTAAAGTGTTAACTGATAAAGTAATAAGTTAAAAGTCATAATAAGTAAGGAATGACAAAATACCTTAATAATTATCTTAAGATCTTTTTTATCATCTGTATTTTTCTTGTCTCTCTTCTTGGCATCTGTAATATCCTCAGATTTTATACGATGCGGAGAAAGCAGTTTAGTCTGCAAACATCCATCAAGATGCTTGTCATGCCCATGCTGTTTATTTTGGGCTGCTTGAACAAGCTGAAGTTCATCCTGAAAGAGATGGATAATACATGATAACAAATAATACAATGCATTTTAACATCAAATCAAACAAATTTAATAAAAGGATCACTGATGTTACCAAGTATCTTAGCATTCTATACCCATTTAAATTTTTCTGAGCCATATAAGCATTCATTCTACCAGACATCAATAACCACATAGGGGTTTACGTAATGGGTCTATGGCTCTTAAATACATTTATGAATGGGTTAGTTAAGGAGGTAAAGTCAAGAAAAGCTGAAATAGAAATGAAAAATGGAGATGGGGATAAATGGTTATTATTGATATTTATGACTGAAGATGATAGTGTTTTTGTTCACAGTTTACAAGTCATGTATTGCTGAAATGTAAACAGTAAACAGGACGAACCTACGTCCTTTTGGACGTAGGTTCAAATTTATATCGTACCTCGAAATTATCGTAAGTCAGGGCAATCGTAAGTCGAGGTGTCACTGTATTAGAAAGTGGAAAATAGGGTATGATAATGTAGATTGTATGCTCTGAAAGAACATCAAATGAAATCAAAACTCATTCCAATCTAAAGTTCTCACAACTACAAAATGTATCTCACCTTGGAAAGTGTAATGGCAGACTTGGGTTTTGGAGGTTCAAGGACATCATCATCTGGTTCTTCATCCATACCACTTATCTGCTTCATCTCCTCTTCTAAATTACTGGTATCCATCAGGTTCCTACCAAAGAAGGCTTCCTGCAAAAGTAAATAACATACAATTTTAAAGGAAATTTACATGAAATATGCATTACTAATTCTAACTTCATGTTTATTAATACATTGATGATCAGCACCTTGAAGTAATAATGTAATTTTCAGAAATAAACTTAAAGCAAAATGAGCACATTTGCCAGGGACTCGCTGCCGACGCCATTGCTAGCAGGCCGCACACGGTTTTGTTCTCAGGAAAACTTAGGATTCTGAACACCCGTCAGCTCAAATCATTGCAGTTTTGTGAGGAAGAGCACATCTCAATACTCCAAGACCCAAAGAATATCTTGTTTGGAAGGGGAACAATACCAATTTTGTCTGCAATTAGTGGACAAACAACGTTGTTCATTAGCTGCTGTCCAGCTGACTTGGTATTCTGCACACCCCAGTATACAAGCGATCTAAACCGTCATACCACAATTGTCGCCCCCATGATTGATATTTTTTTTATTTGTGGACTGTATCACTGACAGGTCACTTAAGAGCCTTACCCTGAAGGGAGAGGCGATACCCTGCAGGCAGTGCCACAAGGGGGCATCTTCAAAGGTGCACTGAACCTGACAGGAAAAGGTAGACCAAACCACTCAACTAGATGTTAGGTATCCTTGATTCCACCTGGGGGAATAATTTTACGACATCTCTTGGAGGGGAATGAATTTCTCCAGGCCTAGGAGTGTCTCAGGCACTAGTGTACTGGTAGGGCAGTGAATCAGTCCTCACTACGTGGAGACATCATGGGAAAAGAGGCAATGGAGACAGTTCCATTGGCAATGGAGGCAGCTTTCAGACAAGGAGGGACAATGGACCGAGGAGCAGCAGGCACTGGAGAAAACTGCTATCGAGGCTACACCAAGTGCTTTTATCAGCATAACACCAAACATAATGGTCCTAGAGAGGACAGCACCAGTTACACACCAGCCAGTGTCAGACAATGCTTCTCTGTCCACAACCCAGCCACAGGATAACATTATGAGACAGGAGAGGACACCACCAGTCTCACACCAGACATCGTCACACTCTGCACATCTTCCAAAATTCAAGATAATGCAGACAGACGACTTTCCTACAGCATACGGAGTAGTAACGGCAATGGAAAAGGAACAACCAGTGCTCAAACTTTCCATCACAGTCAACATGAAAGGAGAAATTATAATGATACCAACAGACTGCAAATTCCAGTACTGTACTTAGAAAAAGTAACACTCCTGCAAGGCAAACCTATATGGTTGGAAAAGCTGGACCCTTCAGAAAGACGCGCACAGGTTGAGCTTTTAGGATACCCAATCGACTTTCCACTGGATTCAATACTAGAACACAAGCAAATCTTGAAAGTGGAATGATGCCGCACAAAAGTAGACAAAGCAGTGACACGTCAGGTTCTGGTGACTGTCATGGGACATGTGCCAGAAACATTCAATCTTGGAAATTGGGGAAAATTATAAACAGAGACCATACGACACAGAACCTCTGCGCTGCTTCAGATGTCAGAAATACAGCTATAATCAATCAAGCTCCACCAGACAGGAGAGAAGCAGTGTGTACAGCCTGAGGTATCAAACCAAAGACTGTATAGCCAAGCACAAGACAAACCAGACCACAACAGCCAAATGTCCAAATTGTGGAGGCAAATATCATGCCGGGAGCACAACCTGATCTGCACGGAAAGAAAAGGTGCAGACAGCTCGGGCCAGGATAAACACACACACCAGCACTACGTACACCAACACCAACGTCTAGAACACTCATGCACAGCCACAACACACACTTGCTCTCACAAATCAAAATTTCCCAAATCTATCAACTTCAAATCAGAAAAATACACAAAAATACTGCAGAAATACAACAAAAGCAAAAAAGTAAAAACCAATCACTTTCGAAGTCAACACAACAAATACACGGTTTTACCAACATCCCGCTTAAAAACATTGTAAAGTTCATGGCAGAAACCCTTATCAATTGCGTACAGATGACGCTGAACGCCTCACAACAACAGACTCAAGAAATCACTTATGTAATAAGAGAAAAAATTGTTCAGCAGACAACAGTTACACAAGAAATATACAGTTTGAAACAAGACGGAGCACAAGAGGACAAACAACGCGACGTGGACATACAGACTACCTACCAACAACAGTCAGGTAGTCATTTCCTACCTAAATGACTTCAGGTAGGAAGTGACTCCTAACTGTTCTGCAGAATTTAACCTTCAATAAACTTTAACGCCCCATACTGCCAGTATCTTTCTCCCCCTGGTCAGAAAATGGTCACTACTTGATCGCAAGCGGGGATGTTTCTGGCGGGGGAGAAAGAAACAATTGCGCAGCGCGTCCCGCGGCTTTGCGCGGGCAGTTTGGGGCCGTATAAATACGGGCGCACAATGGGGCTCTGCCTCACTCCGCCTGCCCTCGCCGCTCGCCTTGGGCCTTTTTCCTTTTTTTTTATAATTGTAAAATCAATTTGATTACATCTGCTAAATGGTTATTCAAATGTGTTATTTGTAGCTTGTAAGGTAATTATAATTACAATTAGACTATTATACAATATATCTTTTTAAATAAAAGCATAAGTTCCATCTGGCACATGCTGTTGTATTAGAAAATATGTTGTATTTTCTGTTTTTAAAAAGACAGCTAGGACCTGTACTATAAAAATATTATTGACCTTATATCACTAACTACAGTATTTAGCTTATCTTTCAAATTCACAGATGACATATTTCTATTCAGTAACAAATTAAGGAAACAATATAAATGGAAATAAAGATTCAAACCTGTATATAAGATGGAAACTTCTCAAGAAGTTTTATTTTTTTTTTCGTCCGCCAATTACTTCTCTTCCGCCGAAGCTCCAGCACCTGGGGATCTAATGCAGCTTCTTCTCGGGCCTTCTCCTCTTCCTTTTTACCGCGCACACGCACTTGGAAACCTCCAATGCCTAATTTATAAGAAGCAAGCCATCAGATATTCAACAAATATCATCAGAAAAACAAACTCAAGTGATTATTTATAGGTAGTACCCCACATAAATCAAAATTCAATATCTAAAATAAACTACTCTAAAAGAAAGATGATATAATACAAATAGTTCCAGATATGACAAGTAATAATTATTATACGTTAATAAGCTAAACCAACCTAATGTTTTAATGTTGCGGTATCTGCGCTTCCGCAATGTGAATGTTCCAGGTTCAGGACCTGGTAAAGTGTAGAAGCCATCAGGTAAATCTGGAGGTGTTCCATTTTCCTGCAAGAAAAAACTCTTTGTTAAGTTAAAGAAAAATATATAGACCAAATGGCACTCAATCTGAAACCATTTTATCCATTTCTAACAAGTGTTCATATTTCCATAAACCAATTCAGTGGTGCTCAGTAATATGTTAATAAGAGTTTAATTTATACTGTACGTGCAACAAAGATAATCAAACTGTTGCAAGATTATCCATCTCTACCGACAAAAACAAAATCAAAACAGCGTTGAATGTAATGAAATGGCATTTTCTGGGAGAGCCTTGGAGCTATCGAGCTAATGTGTGATATATTAAACCGGGGCGTCAGTTTATGGAGTTCGACCTATTGGGGACCACGAGCCAGAACCTGGCCTCCCTCAAAGTGGTTGCAGAGAGCAATGGCCCTGGGAAACCCCACCCTGTGGTTGGGGTTTTTCCTTATCTCCCATCGACTGGTGTTAGGCACCCAAAAAGGTAGGCATAACAAAACAAACCCCACATGGTAAGAAAAGTACAGTACAAAGAAAACCGAACAGAGGCAGAACTCCCTGCAATCCCAAGGAAGCAAGCAAATGTCACACTCCACTGCTGCACTGCTCGTCCGAGCAGCCCACCCCTCCCAGCTCCGGCTACCAGCACTCCAGTTCGGAAGCTAAGCATCAAACAAAGCGAAAAACCGCCGACCAGAGGGAGGGAGGGTGGCCAGGGAGCCTCTAGGGCTCAGTCAGAAAATGGCATTTCATTGCATTCAACGCTGGTTTTCTGTGGGGAGCCCCTTCGGCTCCCTGGAGCTACATAACCAAAGATAAGGAAAAAAAGGGACTTACCCGGGAGGCGGCTCCCACACACTCCTCAACATGAAGTTGAGACAACTGGCAACTGGCTCATAGTACTGTATAATTAAATCACCAGTTGACTGACAGTTGAGAGGCAGGACCAAAGAGCCAGAGCTCAACTCCCCGCAAGCACAATTAGGCGAGTATAACTAGGTGAGTATTGGCTGCAACCTGTGACCCAAAGCCACACAAGAATGTGGCTTGGAATATGGAATGCCCAGAAGCAAGAACGTTAACCAAATAACAGACTGCCAGGACCCTGTTCGACCTCCAAAATTCCTGTGCCCGAATTTCAGACCAAAACATGTTGCCAAACACGGCAGCCAATGCAGCCAACTTCCTAATGTCATGGGCATGAGGATAGACCGCAGGCTGGCTATACTTAATAACCCTGCGGACAACCTGGGAGACCCGAGCCCTGGAACAGGGAATGAGGAAAACCAGATCAAGCCAAAGCATCCCCAGCCACTGAAGCTGAAGCGCATCCTGTCACATGATGTAGTAAGGCATATCATAAGATTTTAAAACTCCCGTAGATACACGAAGCTCATACTGACTTCCTCAGGCTTCCAGTAAGCAGCCGCTATTTAAAAAAAATCATGGACACCGTTCCTGGAGGCCTTGGTACTGAGTGAGCAACCAGGAATGGTACATGCAGCATGAGCTAACAGCATTGCGGTTCAGCTTGTTTCAACAGCATCACTTAAAAATTACAAAGCACCTAAGTAATTGCTGAATAGCATGAAAGATGCTGGCTGTAATAAAGACTATGTACACTGTTCAGATATCAGTGAACACAATTCTGTTCATGAAGTTCACAGCCAACACAGATTAGCCATTGCACTCTGTCATTGTCTGGTGCATCTACGCATCATGAAATGACCTCATGCTCCTTTCGAAAATAAACTTGAGCAAAAACTATTCAGATTCAGGATTTATTGACCAGGATGCTCTGTAACTTTTTCCCATACAGCCTACAGGATGAGTATGGAGTGCATAAATTATGAATTAAACTAAATTAATTGCTGAGAAAAAGAAATACACTGTCTACTGGTTTAACAACACACACAGCAGGATTCCTTTTCTCTCTAATGCAAGTTCTGTTTCAATGTTAAGTTACTGAAAGTCATTATTATATCTTACCTTTGCTTGTAAAATTGTTCCTTCTTTCATTCCATAAACCCAATGTTTTGGCTCTTCATTTTCTAATTTATTATCATCATCATCATCATCATCATCATCAATATCACGACTCCCACTACTGTCTATAGAGGGCCCACGGCTGGTTCGGACTGTTTTCGGGTTCCTGTTGTGTGTGATGATGCTAATTTGAGAATTAGTTACAAAATGAGTGATTCCTGCTCTTGGATGGATGTGACAGTAAGGGAACATCTAAATAACACACAAACTACTGTACAAAACTAGGAACATTTAATGACAAGCTATATGCAGCAAGTCCTGTAGCAGCTCTCACTGACTTTTAATTTGGATATTTTGGTGTTGAGCATTTTATAGCAAAATTAAATTGCACAGGAAATAGAAAAGAAATTAGGTATTCAATATAGAAAAATATATATAGCTTCTTAGTATTATTTCTATGGTTTTGATGATGTCAATACACTGTAGCTAGTAAAATAAAATATTAATATTCTAAAGCATACCAATTTTCACAATATTTTAACAACAAATTCTTTCACACTTCATAGTGTAATTACCTAAGAGCAATATTTTAAATATGATAAAAGAAAGTTCCTAGCTACTCTGACAATCCACAGTTCTTTATTTAGCAGTTGTCCTATATTGTATTATGTTTTTCTCAAAATTGCCAATGTGTTTATACAAGCTACATGGCTACAAAAAATGTCTGAGACGACGATGGACAGTCACAGTGTGTAAGGAAGTGGGGATTAAGTGTGAACAGTCCAGGTTGTGAAGGTAGGAAACAGGTGTTTTGTTTATATATATGACAACTCATGAGGAACTCTTGTCCAACCACTTGAGCTGGACAGTAGAGCGACGGTCTCGCTTCATGCAGGACGGCGTTCAATCCCCAATCGTCCAAGTGGTTGGACACTATTCCTTTTCCCCGTCCCATCCGAAATCATTATCCTAATCCCATCCAAGTGCTATATAGTTGTAATGGCTTGGAGCTTTTCCCTGACAATTCCCTCTGCTCATGAGGAATTCTAAACACCTTGTCTTATTAATTGGTAGGGTGCTGCTGTGGATGATATGCTGCAGTGTTACAGTGCTCGTTCTCTATGACAATACTGTACTGCGTATACTATGTAGAACGTGTTAAATAGACAGGCATAATTTTGAAAAGTCTTTAGCTTTGAACAAATCCACAAAGGCCGTGACAAGGATTCGAACCTGCGTCCGGGAGCATCCCAGACACTGCCTTAATCGACTGAGCTATGACAGGATAAAAGGGTTGAAACCGAAGTTCTAGGTTTACCCTGTCGTAGCTCAGTCGATTAAGGCAGTGTCTGGGATGCTCCCGGACACAGGTTCGAATCCTCGTCACGGCCCTTGTGGATTTGTTCATTTGATGCATCACGTTAGTGTGATCTCTGTGTGTGTCTTTAGCTTTCTTTTGTCATAGAGCACTATTCTAGTTTTTCTCCGGGCTGATAGCTCCTCACTCCGTGAAAGTGGAAAACTCGGTGTTTATGGCAACCTTCATATTTTCTTAAGAAAAAATATTGCATTATTACTTTGGAAACATTTCTTGAGTGTGTTTTCAGTCTAATTATTATATACTCTAAATTACTGTTTCTAAACACAAAGAGAAGCACCATGTAAGTTATATATTTAACTATTCATAATAGAGACCATAATTTTTCCCTTACAAGTACCAAGACCGCATTTTATATCCCTAACTTGGGAATGCAAGAAGTCTATGTGAAATTAAATTACGGTATTAACATCAATTATGGTCAATTATTATTATTCAGAAGCTATTTAATGCTATTATGCAAATTACATTTGACATATATATAGTTAAAAAATTATAACTACAGCATACAGAATAACTAAAGCATGACAGGGACTTGCTGAATATATTACGGACATTATAAACCTGCAAATTCACAAAGGGTAACAAACACTAAGAAACATACTTAACAAACAATTTTTACATTAATCCTTAAAATATTAAAACATAATATTAAAAAGGATTTATGAACATTTGCATTAACAAATAACAATAATATCAGCAGCTATTCTACTTTATCAACAATATTACCATTTTATCTCACCTCAATATTTGACAACAAAGTAGAAATTTGACAATTCATCTTCATACCTGGATTTTTTCTGGGGCTCTAGCGTCATGGTCTTGATCTGGAACATTCCACATTCAGAAAGACAGATGCCATCAACCCAAAATACAGTCTTAGAGGTAACCTGCGGCATGGTAAAGGCTTGGCTAATTGTTATCTTATTCATTCCTATTGCTAAATATGTCATCAAAAAGCACTGGATGTGAAAAAAAAAAAGAGTACTGTAAACAGCATTAGTAAGATCACTTTCTTACTGGTTACGTGTCTAATATTTATATGAAGTTATATGTATCTTCGAAAGATCATTGACTAGCTTTAGTTGCAAATATAAGTCCTAAAATAAAAATAAATAACAAGCCTTTTCCAAACTGTGTTCATTAATATTGATATTTTTCAATATGAGCAAATAACACCTTTCTCAAACTATATTAACAAAGTTAGCTTATACACCAAAATGTGTTGGTTACCTCTAAAGCTACAATGTTGTTGCATGCTTAATCCAAAACAAATGAGACCAAGTGCTTTTAAAAATAGCATGTTCTGTATTAGATACCTGGTACCAGAATGCTAGCCTAATAGGGTAATCTATAATGTTTATTTGATTCACCCATAAACCCATCATAGGAAGTTCACATATATAACTCATAACAGCTTTCAACCAAAGATATTTAAATAAGATATTTTATATACTGTATATCAAGCCATTCTCCTAAAGTGATAGTACTTAGAGCAATTATTTGGCAAAATAAAAAAAAAGTCAGCGTTGAATGTAATGAAGTGTCATTTTCTTTCATTTTCTTTGGTCTTTTTATGAAATCTTCAAAAATTCTTAATATTTTTTTTTTATTATAAACTAACATTCTGGTATGAAGGAAGCACATAGTGCAGACAAAAATATGAGTTGAAACACCAATTAGGAAAAAACATTTTACTTTGTGAAATGCTCTCAGAGAGAAATGTTATCTACAAACATAAATTTCAATTAGGTGTTTTAACTCAAAAGTTAAAATTCTGATAATAGCATATTACCTTTGTCATATCAACAGGACTTGGAGCACGAACTGGACTTGTTGAAGTTGTAGTAGTAGTAGTTGCTGTAGTAACAGTTGTAGTGTGTATAATACGTGTAGAACGCATTGGTGGGGTATGAGGAATCAGATGGGGAGGCAATGCATCCTGTGGTCTGCACATTAAACACAAGTAACCTTTTTCAGCACATCTGTAAAACATCAATAAATTTGTTTAAACTATTCATATTATTGCAATAATTTAACTCTAAACAAATCAAGTAACAAATCTGGAGTCACCGTTAGCTCTTCCTAGTAGCAATACTTGTTCAATTTGTTCCTTTATTTTCGACAAAATAATACCTTTCTTAATTTTCCCTGTCACGATTTCTACCTCACATCTTACCTACTTGCCGAGGAAATGTTTATGTGGTATGTTCAACATTCTGATTTGTAATGTATACAAACAGCAGTTACTTTATCTAAATGAAGGAAGTTTTCTAAAGGTTCCACGAAATGCTAATAGTTCAGATATACAAACTCATACACAAACAATACGAAGCTAAAATTCTTGTGGAAACTGTCCCTATGTCACCTATGATTTAAGGGTGTTGAGCCATGTCATTCAATATTTTTAGTGCCATAAGAAAGCCTAGATAGCTATATTTTGAGCTATATTTGAAACAAATTAGACATATAACATAACCGGATTAATTAAATACAAGTCTTCTGAAAGTACTGCAAGAGTACTAATATTAATGTAATAATTTTTTCCTGGGTAGTGTTATAACAGTCATATTTTGAAATTTACCAATTTCCAACGAGAAATTGAGCAAATTTGCATCTTTTAGATTACATAGAAAAAAAATATGACTCATAATTAACGTGAATTTAACCCCAGTACTGTGCCAGTCGACATATTACCAGGTGTAGTGGTGCGCCAGTCAACATATTACCAGGTGTAGTGGTGCGCCAGCCGACACAGGATCATATTAGTATATCACAAGATTCGAAACCCCCATGCATACAAGGGGTTCACATTTGCTTCCTCAGGCCTCCAGTAACTATCCCTCACTTGAAAAAACTAAGTCCTTCACTTTTCTTCCATGGCCTTAGTAACATGCCCTACGTTTCTAAGGCCTGCGTAATGTTCTTAAGGCCATGGCCTTAGAAACATGTAAGGTAGCGATACAATGATACTTATTACATTAAGGCTGTTGCCACTGTTGCTACATTAATGTAAGCCCTGGCATGTACAAATTAGATTCCCATATAAGCTTCAATGTAGCATGTCAATACAATATATCTTCCAATCAACCTGTATTTATATATTCCAGTGACACTTTTATATACTTTCCAGTTATTAGGACATATATATATATATGAGTGAGGTGGATATATATAAGAGCTGCTCGTATGGGCCAATAGGCCTTCAACAGTTACCTTCTTTCTTAGGTTTCATCCCCTATCTTGGTGGTCAGGTGACCTGTCCTGGCGGCTATAAGGTCTGCCTATCATGTTTCCTTCTTTATTCTATTTTATTCTGATGAAGGCGAATTGAGCTGAAAACGCGTTTAGCATTCTCTATTTTTCACATGTGGTTTTTCCGCATAGTTGGATCAGTGTTTTTGTGATCGTTGTTGCGAATACATATATACATACATACATACATACATATTATATATATATATAGATATATATATATATATATGCAGCCAAGGGTAAACAAACAATATTACATAGAGGAGCATGCCATACAAGTGAATGTTTACCTTTCAGCTTCTTCTTCGGTGTGAATCATGTCATCAGAAGCATGCAGCCAGCGCTCACAATTAGAGCACTGAATAATGAGTTCCCCATCAGCATATTGTTCGTCACATACTGGACACTGAGTCATAGACATACATGGACCGCACATGCTATAATTTTGTTGCCAGGTGGCATTGGGGCCCGGGTCAGTAGCCCCACAGTGGAGACACATAGCACACCTGCAAGAGAATTTTACTAGAAACTGATAGGGCCACAAACATGGGCTTATTAAATGGAAATTTAATAAGAATTTAATAATGTTCCGTGACACCCACATGTGGGTGTCATGGAAACACCCACATGTCTACGAAGATGAGACACAATCATTTATTGAACGATTAATATGGAAGGAAAAGCAAAAATAAAGTACATACAGAGTGAGTGAGTGAGTGAGTGAGTGAGTGAGTGAGTGAGTGAGTGAGTGAGTGAGTGTGTGTGTGTGTGTGTGTGTGTGTGTGTGTGTGTGTGTGTGTGTGTGTGTGTGTGTGTGTGTGTGTGTGTATACACACACACACACACACACACATATACAGTGGTACCTTCGTTTATAATCGTAATTACGATCGATTTTGAGTAACAGCCTTGCTCTCAACACTCTTTGGATGGAGGCGTCCAGTTTTTAGGAAGATTGGTTGGGTGATATACTCTCTCTGATATGGTGAATACTTTTTCCCGATATGAAGTGGAGCCGAGAGAATTTTGTGTATATTGTGTACCAAGCTAGTCATTCCTATTGTATTTTTTTTGTGTTGAAAAATAAATCTGATAACTGTAAAATGTTTCAAATTTCAGAACTAAATATTATTACTATGAATTACATTTATCTTCATATTCAAAATTTTTCACTGTGCACATTAAAAATTAAATGCATATAGTAATTCTTCCCCCTTTCGCCTTGCATGCATGCATGTCTACTGATTAATGAGTATGTGAGGCTGCTACAACAATGAACCTACCATTTACATCTCCAAACACCTGATGGAACATGGTCTAGTGGAGGTTTCATACAATATATATGATAAGAAATGTCACAGTCTTCGCACAGAACTAGGCGAGCCTCATCATTACGCTCGCCACACCCTTCACACACGGTACAGTCCAAGCATCGCCAACCTTTCTGCAGCACTACTTTCGTTACCTGAGAGCACGGGATAGAAATATGAAGTAGGAAAAATTAGGTAAACTAAATTCACATTGCTTTTAAACGAATGCGAGATGAGTAGTTCAACAAGAAATTGAATATACACTTACACTATGCCACCTGAAATATTTACAAAATATAGTACTACAAATATTCTTTCTTGATTATAAAATTATAATAAGTATATTGCTATTCTGGACTATTATTTGAGCTGCTGAGTAATTTACTGAGACTGTAATAAAACTGTAAGCATAACAAATAATAGTTTTAGCAAATTTTGACCCAAGATTGGAATTGGCCAAATGCAAAGATGTTGTAGTAAAAAGAGTAATGGAAGATGCAATAAGTATATTACTTTTACAGATATGTTGACCAAGTTATGCTGACTTTTCCAGATATTTGATTTGTGAGTTCTTTTGTACTATCATTCTTTTATTTAAAGAAAAACTTTACTATTTTCTATTATTATTTTTCTTGGCTATTCATTTTTACTATTACTTTTTGACATTTGTAATATACTCTGTCCAACATATCATGCATTTATTTATTTTTCTTTTGACAGTGTAATTTCTTGCTTCTAAAATAAAATGTTATAAATCTATTGCATAAGTTTCAAATTTAATGGATGACATGGAAAAAGAGTTAAAAATATATCTTGCCCAAAATTTCCAAAGGATAGAAATTCAGACAGAAATTACTTGGAGCATTCTCTATCAAGACATATGAACATTTGATTAAAACTGCCAACTTGTTGGGGAGATAAATTCAAGCTCTTACCCATGTCTATAAAGTTTAAAACTACTTCAGTACACTTGAGTTCATTCTCTACTAACAATCATGGATCCTGGGTTTGATTCCCAATGGGACAGAAATGGTGGCATGTCTCCATTCACCTAATGCCTCTGTTCACTTAGCAGTAAATAGGTACCCCAGAAGTTAGGCAACTATTATGGGGTTGCATCCAGGGAAAGGTCAGCAGTTTGACCTGCAGGGACGGGTGTTGGAGACAACTTGATACAAGTCAAACGTATATATTTACACTGCTCTTCCTGTTACTGCTTCCTTTATCCATGATGCACATGTATTGTAAGTTTCCAATTAATATGTAAAAGCATTTTGAAGATATAACATGCACACTACTGACACAGACAATCAAATATTATATGCTTGTGAAAACTATTAGGCATCCCAACTGGGATATCAACATACTACATAACCTTCAACTTGAATGATAAGGTCACACAATTAAATGGAACTGGAGCATGCCGCCATAAGTTCTATATAAACGATCCGTTGCCGTTTCTTACCTTTACATTTGCACAAAATGGATGATAACACTGGCCACACTGGGCACAAGCAATGAGGCGACCTTCCTGGTCTTGTCCAAACGCTCCACACATGGCACAAACATCCTGTTCCAGACAGAACTCGTCGTCCGTAGACACAAGAATAAACTTATTTTCTTCGCCTTCCTCCTTTCCAGAACTATGATTGGATTCCATCACCTTTATAACAGTGATATCAAAGATTAGATTTAAAATATACAAAACAAAATAAAATTATAAATCAATTGTATGGTATTTTGTATTATAAAAGTCAAGAAAATCAAATGAAGTAGATATGATGGTATAGTATGATAATGAGAAGAGAAGAGTGCAAAGACTATAGGGTGGTATAATGGTCACCAAGAGTAGAATTAAGAGAAGACAAGGAGCATAAGCCAGAGCACGGAGCATAGCTTTGTATAATGATATATATATATATATATATATATATATATATATATATATATATATATATATATATATATATATATATATATATATATAATGATACATGTGTGGTAGAAAATATTATGCAGTATATAAATATGTATGGTAGAAAATTATTGTACTGTAGTTGGGTAAGTGACAGGAGAGAAATCACTTGTTAAAACAACGATAAAAAACCAGCATTGAACGTAATGAAACGTCCTTTTCTGGGTAAGCCCCGGAGGCTCCCTGGAGCTATCGGACTGATATTAGCTATATTAGTCTGGGGCTTCAGTCATACGGAGTTCGTGCTTACCGGGAACTATAAGCCAGAACCTGGCTCCCTCACAGAGGCGAAGGGAGTAATGGCCTATGAAAACTCCACACTTTTCAGTGATACATTGATATTACTAACTTCTCTGTCATCTGTACATGTTTCATCACCCTTTTGCAAGGGCCCAATGCTGGATGTAGTTTTTGTTCTAGTGTTTGCATAGGAGAAAAAGTATTTTGGATTCCTCTCTATTTCCCTTATGGTCTTTTGCTCTTTGGGATCCTCTCTGCTGCAACAGTATTTACCACATTTTAAAATTTTAGGTGCCATGAATTGAAATCACCAAACAAGTTAATGTTTTGGGCAGGATTTGTTAGGGTTTTCTATGCAGTATTCTATTTTTATAAGTTGGTCTTTAAACTGATGAGGAATTGCATCTAGTGATTTATATACTGTACAAGAACACTCACCACATTTAGAATTTGTATTTTGATTATCAGCACTTCCACCATATCGTTTGTGGTGCTTAGCATTTTAGTGCAGATGAGTGTGTCATTGATGTAGAGGCTCACTCCACTCTGAAGCTTGTGTTTCCTGTCACATCTAAAAAGATTGTACTACTGTATCCAAATCTCACTGTCATAATAGTTCTTAGTGTAATTTTCAGTTAAAGCTGAAAACATTGCATTTGCCTTATTTATGAGGCAAGTTATATGGTGGACTTTGCTTGTATTGCGTGTTTTGATATCTAGTATGATGGGAAATAGGAAAGATGTTGTATTTGTGGAAGTGCTCTAACCAGTTGAAGTGATTTAACCCTTAAAGTGCGCATCACTTCATATGAAGTGTAAATCGTTTTACCAGTCAACTGCGCTTCACTTCATATGAAGTGTATGGGTACCGCGCACGATTTGAATGGCCCGCGGTGTAGCTGGGGGTCCCATACGCTGCCCAGGGGCTCTAGTAAACAGCGGCCATTTTGAAAAAAAATCCAGCTCACGCTCCGATGGCATGGGAGGCCTCAGTTTAGCGAGAGTCACCATGGCGAGCGCACGGTCAAACGCCCCACGGGCACGCACCACTCAGTCCCTCACCCCAGAGCAAATAGCCCACGAATTATTCTCTGAAGGTGAAGAAAGTGTGTTTGACGATTCAGACAACGATGAGGATTATACACAGTTGTCGGGAGATAGTAGCAGCAGCAGTGAAAGTGAGAATGACCGCCATGCCATGGCGAGGCCTATACGCTCTCCCATGCCTCCTCGCCCATTTTCTACCCCAATTCTACCACGACCTCACAGTTCCTGTGGATATTTTCTGTTTGAGGGTGACGAGTCAGAGGGAGGTGACTCCTTTTCTGGGTTTAGTGACTCAGATCAAAGTTTTATTGAGCCTGTGGCTGGTACCAGTGGTGTAACTGGGCGAGAAATTGTCGCGTCAGCAGCATCTCGCCCAGCCAAGCGCCACCGCATGGCACCACATGAGGGACCAAGACCCTCGTGTTCACGTGCACCCACCTCACGTGCACCCACCTCACGTGCACGTAGCCGCCGTGCTTCTCGCAGACGGTATTCAGCTCCTGGTCGCCGGTATGCATCGCTTCCTCGCCGTCTTTCCTCTGCATCTCGCAGGACGCCTGGTGTACTTGAGTGGAGTGATGGTGACGATTTTATTCCTAATATTCCTCACTTTGACGATAAAGATGTAGGGATTACAAACCTTTTTCCTAATCAAGGTGAGGACATGGCTGAGGTGGAATATTTTACAGCATTCTATGATGAACCACTCATGGAATACATTGTACACCAAACGAACCTGCATGCTGCTTACCTGATTGAGAGGGAAATCACAGAATTTTCACGACTGCAGCGTTGGAAAAATACCACAGTGGCGGAAATGTATGTGTTTTTGGCACTCTGTTTGTTGATGAAGCACTGTCACAAACATGCAATAAATGACTATTGGAGCAAGGACAAGACAATACCAACACCTTTATTCGGGAAATATATGTCACGAGACAGGTTTCAGATACTCCTCAGGTGTCTACATTTTGGAAGTGTTCAGGACCGAATACCTGATGATAGACTGTGGCGAGTGAGGCACTACATGAACGATGTTATTGGAAAATTCAGAGATTTTTACGTACCAGCACAGAAGCTGGTGGTTGATGAATCTCTCATACTTTTCAAGGGACGTGTTCCATTCAAACAGTACATTCCCTCAAAACGAAACCGATTTGGCCTGAAATTTTTTGTTCTTTGTGATTGTGAGACAGGATACGTGTTACACATGATTCTGTACTCGGCTAGTGATGTAGACATTCCCGGTAACGACGAACATGGATTCTCGGGGAGTGTAGTGAAGACCATCATGGCTCCGTGGATGAACATGGGACACATTTTATACACAGATAATTACTATACAAGTCCCTTGCTAGCTCGGTTCTTGCTAGAAAATAGAACCGGATTGGTTGGTACAGTAAAGCCACAACGAAGGGAAATGCCTGTGTTTGACAACGACATTGCAGTTGGTGAGTGTCTAAGTATTTGCCACCTGGTGTGAAGCGTGCAATAGCCCAACGTGATTGCTTGGTGTGTAAAACAACGACACGTAGAGACAAGAAACGGAAGATTGTGCAAACATGGTGTGAAACGTGTTGTATCCCATTATGTGCTGTCGACTGCTTCAATGACTACCACAGTCTAGAAATCTTCTAAGTGTGCTTCAAAGTGTGTATAGCGTGTGCGAGTGTGTAAATATGTAAACATATAAGCAGAACATATAATATAATACTGTAATGACATATTATATTGCCGTAATTGAAAACATTTGTGTGAGCCTGTGTATACTCAAATATGCAACAATTATTGATACAAAATATGTTCAAACAGTATTTGAAACACAATTAGTGAAAAAAAAATTGGATAAAATGCGCTTAGACATTGTAAATAAATAGCGCGAAAATATATTTGTGGCAACTCTGGCTGTTTGAGGACCGCGCGCAACACCTTCCGGGCGTGTACTGCATGAGCGAACATGCAGATTGTGACGTCATCGCAGAGCTTCTCGGCTCTATTGCAACAAAAGTAAGTACAATAGAATTTTTTTTTTATTTTTCCCGTGATCAGTGAACAGAACTTAACAGATTAGCATAAAAAAAAAATATTTTTTTTTTCAAAATGACATGCGCCTGTGTGGATAGCAGGATATTAGACCCCGAGCATGTTAAGGGTTAATGTTAAAGCTAGTGGACAAGACATTATTGCTACCATAGTTTCTTAATCATATATCAATGGATTAGTCATAGATTAAAAAAAAAGGACAATGTGCTGAATTAAAAAAATAAGCAAATATGAAGAAACGGTCAAAAGTATTTTTGCTAGTGGATATAGGACCGAAGTTGAATTAACATACATACCCATGTACATATGAATTTAGCAATCAATATCATCATCTCTAGAAGCAACTTACCTGAAGAGAAATATTTTGATAGTTGAAGTATCCTCTGTATCCACGGCTATTGCCACGACCTCTACGGATTGGCATTGTTTGCCCTCGTTTCTTTGAGCTGGACACTGCCTTTTTCCCAACACCATACTTTTCACCAGCACCTCCCCGTAATCTAGGAAGAAATCCTCCTCTCTTAGCTAAGCTTAGAGGCTTTCCACGAGAATATAAACTACTTTGAGGTTTATGGACAGAAGAAAGATCTTCAGATTTACCCTCTGAAGTTAAATCTGTATCATTGGAGTCTTCGGAGTGAACTGAGGATTCAGGGGGCCCATCACAACTGTCTTCTTGAGCTATCAAATAAAAAATTTGTTATCAACTATAGCAAAGTTCAGCAATAATGCATCTAAAATTGTATTAACAACAATAAAAAAACTAGCATTGAATGCAATGAAGTGCCTCTTTCTGGTTGGGTCTCAGAAATAACCTGTAGATAGAACTGAGATAACTGCACACAAGTGTGGAGACCTTAGAAGTCCTTATTAGCCTATCAGAGACCACACCCATAACCTGGTCTAAAGGGGTGCAGAGGGTAGGGAATGGTTACGATCACCCTCACAAAGGAAGCATCCAGAAAGAAAATGAAGCAAAATGGACAACTGCATGGTTCACAGAGAAACAAGAAGTGAAACAGCAAACAACTCAACAAACAATCCAAGTTGCAGCCTGGTTGATCAGGCCAACACTTCATCTAGAAAAAGCTGGGACTCACTAAAGCTGGTGACTCAAGGAGCAGTCCACACAGGTGGATATCAGCAACCAGGGTGATGCTATGTGGCAGTGGCCAACTGTAACTAGTGGTTTTGTACTACCCACTGTGTGGATCATTTGCAGAGTCATTTGCTGTTTCACTTTTCTATGAACCAAGCAGTTGTCTAAATGAATGGAATGCAGTTGTCTAAATTAATGGAATGCAGTTGTCTGTTATGCTTTTCTTACTTTTCTGAATGTTGACTTGGTTAGGAGTTATCATAACAATTCCCCCGTTTCCTAAGCCTCTTTAAATGCACCAGGTTCTGGCTCTGCTCTCTGGTAGCTATTAAGGACATTAAAGGCAGATGCGACTCATGTGTGTCGAGCTATCTCAGTGCTTATTACAGAGAGTCACCATTCAGCTTCTTAATGAAAAGTTTTGTAGAGTACAGTAGATGACTTACTCTATCAAAATTAACATATCAAAGATTTAGATAGATTAATTCTGAGACCAGCATCCAAACAAAAATGTTTCCATTCTAGAATTTGTTTTTAACTAGGCTCAAAAGTGATCAGAGGTATCCTCTATTTAAGTTCTATAACTAATGTACAGTATTTATAACTTCTTTACATGTTATTTAACCATTCTCCTCCATCCAGTATTATCCAATACTGAACAATAAATGATTATTATTAAGACATGTAATACTACAAATATCTGATGTACTTGATAAAAGTATAAACATCACAACTTACTTGTATGTGGTGACTGACTTGGGGATGGAGCTATCCTATTACAACTGGTGCAAACATATTCATAAGAGTGGTCAGCATTCCACTTGGCCTGGATTACACTGAGGTCAGCATCAATATCACACATACTATGGACATGCCTGATGGAGAAAATTTTTAATTATTACTACAAAAATTAATATGTTATTAAGTACACTGAATTATTAAAAATTGGGTGTAGTGTAGCAAAACCCTCAACATATAGATTTCCTAACCAAAGCCAATACAGGCCACTTGAGACTTATCACCCTCTAGGCTCTTGTTCCCAACAGTAAAAAGTATCTTTGCAAATTGTCTTTTCAAGGGAATTAGGATTGGAAGACAGTGATGAGCCTAATTTTACCCCCGCCAAGGGACCAGCTCATTGTAATAAATGAGCAAACCCCTCTACAGCCACCTGCAAGAAATAATTAGAATTGCCGGAAATGATAATTATTGTTCTGCCACTTAATAAAAGAGGTTACTCCTCCTGTCACCGGGTGTTTGCACATGTCAACACAAGTATCTGAGGATCCAATGGAAGTGGCCCAGAGAGGAGTGTTTGTAAGATCATGACTATTTTTGAGCTAAGGCCTTTAGGATGCTTCCTCAGCTAGCTCCACACATTGAACAAAGCTACAAATTTAAAGAAATAAAACAAAAAGAGCATTTACCTGTGTTGAAGACAGAGAGATCTGGGGTCAAGTGGATGGGAAGGAAACTGGAATATAGTCCAGCTCTCAAAGTGGCAGCTGCCTGAAAAGCTTCTGCACTGGAAGCTGAATCAAAGCAAAGACCCAGAGAGAACAAACCTCACAGGACTCAAGATCGTAAGTGTCAGAGACCCAACAGATAGCATGCAGAAGCAAAGAGATTGACCATTATCTGGTACTGTAGCAAAGATAATGAGCACCCTTCAAACTCACATATGGCAAGTACAAGCTCGACGGGCTGAAAAACCACACCACAGACCTATGAGGGGATTACCAGAGCCGAAAGACGGTTAGCCAAGTCAAGCATCCTGAAACTGAGGCTTCTTACTAGTCATACACATAACGCACAGCCACAACAACTCAACTCTGACTAGTAGCAGCATGTCATACAAACAAACACACAAGCCCCAGCCCCAGCAGCACCAGCAGAATGCCCCCAATTTCTTGTGACTTGTGAGAAAGGTGAGACTCACCACGTCGGTGACCTGGCCTCTCATAGGAGAAACTCCAAACACAGTAAAGAAATAACTAACAGCTCAGGGGAAATGCTAGCATGCATTTAAGGAAGGTTTACCCCCACCTCTCAGGAAGGGGGAGTTACCCCAGGTGAGCTGGCCGCCCACCCCAGTTCTTGAACGATAAAAGTCACTGACTGAAGAAAGGCAGGGTGTCAGGGAGCCTCCGGGGCTCACCCAGAAATTTGTGTTTCATTACATTCAATGCTGGATTTATGGGGGAAGGGGAGCCCCATTGGCTCCCTGAAGCTAACTATTCACAGAGAAGACAAACTGGGACTTATCAGGAAGGCAGCAACACCGCAGGTCTCAAAGTGAGGAAGAGACAGACAGCTGCGACAGCCATCCAAAGGCCACACAAGGTCGCTAAGGAACCGGGACGTTCACGAGATACCTGGCGACCAGGGCCCTGTTTAACCTTCAAAACCCCCATGCCCGAATATGCCGGCACACCCGGGGATAGCGCTAATGAGGGGGAGCTAGTTGGATGACGTGCTGTTTGTTTTCTTTCTGGTGGAGATATTTTGCCATTTTGAGGAATTAGCTTGCATAGTGTAACCAGAGAGTGAAATGTTTTGATTTCCCTACCTTTCTGGGTCCTTCCTCAATCCTTCAAGGAATGGCAGTAGTGATGACTGCCATTCCTTGTTTTTAATAAATTATGTCTATCAATTTTATGCACAAAGTAGACTCATTATATAGAAACAAATTTCAAACTTCACCTTTATAAACATTAATGGCAAGGATTAGAAAAATTTAGATGAATTATCAAAGCAAGAAGCAATGTTTCTTAAAATGGATAACAGTACAGTAACTCTTCAATATTCTTCTTAATTCCCCCTTTAATTTTAATATACCATGCCCTTTTCTGTTTTAAACTAAGTACAATATAAATGTTCAATTTACCTTACTACCAACTACTCAGTGGATGAATGCAAGCTTAAATAATTTAGAAACTTTATTATACATATTAAATTCGATCCCATCATAAGTATACAAAGTAATGTCGAGATACATACCTTTTACACTTTGTACACTGAGCCATATTTTTCTGGGCAATTGCTCGATATGCTTTATGGCAAATTGGGCAGGCAAGCCCTTTATTGCGAAGCTGGTAACAGGAATCACATACAGTAAAGTTGGAATGCCAGCGTGATGACAAGCCATTGCCTGGTGTTCGAGAACCACAGTCTCCACAAGCACGACATGTCTGTTGATAAATTAATTAATGAGTAGATAAAATGTAGTAACTGTTAAATGCATAATGTAGTGTGTGTTATTACACACACACTACCCTGTGTATACACACCTTGGTCTCCGCACTGCTACCCAAATTGCTGTCCCAGCCATCCTGTAGTCCTCCTCGGCATCGTATGACCTGGTCGAGGAAATTCTACCAGACAATTTCGGTAACTCAGTGGGAATACATGACCCCTACTTCATGGAATGCAATACAAAATGGGCTCCCCTATCAGATCCAGCACCCAGACCAACCCTACTGAAAGCCAACAAAAAAACCAGCTGGGACATCCTTGTCATAAACAAAGTAGCCACAGCTTTGCTGGAGGCAACAACAGACCCCAGATACCATGCCCACCTCACAGCTGTGCTTGGTCCTCATGCAGGGAATTTCTTTTTGGCAGTCCCAATGTTTACAACAGGCACATGTATTGATCCGCAGCAGCTCCGTACTGCAGTTGCCCTCTGTCTTGCTGCCCCCAATCCTCAATGTACAAAACAAAACTAGTCACGTACCTTCTAAGAAAAATACCCATGAAAAGTTAGGAGTTTCAGTTGCCAAAAACTTGTTTTCTGTCAGATCTTGAGATATGTAACTGAAATAAGCCTTGTTGCTACAGCAGAGGCAAAATAGTCTACCTTGTATGGGCTATCTGACAATTTTCCAGCATAAGTCTCCATCTTGCAATCATTGTCAAAAAATCATTGTCAAGAGAATTATTACTCTGACAATTATAAACAAATATCTCAAAGAAGTCTTTGATTGCAGCCTCCTTATCAAGTAAGTTTTTCAGGATGTATTGATTTCTCATCAAATCATATTCAAGGTACTGTACAAAAAAACAAAATCATGCAATGATATTTTGCTCAGACCACCTCAACACCTGTGCCATCAATACTCCACAGACCAGCAAGATTCGTTCTGTTGCTGTTAAATTCGCCAGTTAAAAGCAGTAGAACAAAACAAGCTTTAGTTTCTTTATTGTCTGTAATTCTGGCTTTATTTTTCTGGACATAAATCTCTCTCTCTTTGTTTCTCTTCATTGATGATCACATTAGTTTCCTCTACTAATAAATCTACATTATGTGTGATAAAGAGTGACTTCAATTCAATTGGTGATTCTGCATACATGACTGGTTCCTTTGGTCCCCTCCCCTCCTGTGAAAACATTACGTGGAGGAGGCCTTTGCATGTTCACATTGTATACTTTCTTGTTTCATTTACTAATCCTTACTCAATCACCCATCATGTTTGCACTTCTTTTGTCTGGGTTTCTAGGGTGGTTTCATGGCATTCTCTAATTAATAACTGCTCATATCGGTCCATGATGAAATTTGAAAATAAAAAAATACCCTGATAATCTAGATTTGATTAAAAAACAATATTTTTTATATTTTGCATAGAATACTGCATATATAAAAAAAAATTCTGTTAAAAAAAAAGCAATAGGCAGAAGTATTCAGTAATTATGAGAACTTACCTTTGTTAGTAGTGTGGGGTAATTGAAAAAGAGAATGAGTCTGCTTTTCACATGATCTGGGATATGTTTGGGATAATTTCTTTCCTGTTCTTTGGCCAAAAGTGGGGCTTTAGGAGCATGCAATTCCCCCACCAAGAAATAATAAGTGTTCCAAGGAAAGGTACCACCATGAGCCATCAAGCATGAATCCCAGCCAGCTAAACACCTTCAACTATACCCCAGTCATTACCAAGAAGACCAATATAGACAGGTTCCCAGACACTTAACCTGTCCTACAGGCCCAGACCATACAAAAGCGCCCTTGTCAGCCTCAGGGAATTAGATTTTTGTGACTAGAAAGTTGGAGCAGGAGAAAGACGATTGCTAGCCGTTTAAAAAAGCTTATTTAATTTTAAACTTATTTAAACTTATACCTCTAAACTTATAGAGGTATTTCTTTTATTTTTCCTTATTTATAATGAAACAAGAAAATCCATAGGAGCCATGATGAGGGTTCGAACCTATGCAATGGGTGTTCCCAAGCTACACACGCTAGCGACTAGACCACGACATGGTAGAAGGATTACAACCTGGAGTTCTACTGAGCTCAACAAGGGCTTTCTGAGGCTTCCAAAAGCCGAACCAGGATGAAGTCACTAGTGTGTGTATGCGTGGGAACACCCATTGCATAGGTTCAAACCCTCGTCATGGCTTCTACGGATTTTCTCATTGATGCAGTCACATTAGTGTGATTAATCTCTGTGTACTGAAAGCGTCAGAGGTGGAACCTGCCTAGAAGACAGAGCCAAAGTGCATAGGAAGGATAATGGGAAAACCCTAGTCTGGCTTCAGTGGAAGCCTCAGGAAACCCTTGTGAGCTCAGTAGAACTCCAGGTTGTAATCCTTCTACCATGTCGTGGTCTAGTCGCTAGCGTGTGTGCATGGGAACACCCACCGCATAGGTTCAAACCCTCATCACTGTTCTTATGGATTTTTTCATTGATGCAGTCACCTTAGTGTGATTACTTTCTGTGTATAATGAAACAGATAGAATGGGGTGCTCAATACAATATTTGTCGTGCCACACTGATCACGTGTGTGTGTGTGCTACGCGATTTTTTTTTAGCACTAAATTACATGTTGCTCTGAGCACAATTTGCGCTGTGTGCACTCATGCTACATGATAATCTAATGTATACTGTAACAGATATACAGATAAACACCATTTATCCCATTTTTTTTTAATCACTGCAAACGTTTTAAATATCGGTACTGATATGAAAAAAATATACAAGTCAGGGAATATAAACAAACCTTGGAAATCCAACAAACTGTTTAAAAAACTCAACATAATGTAGACATTTCTGTGAAGGTATCAAAACTAAGCAGCTGCTGTTGGTTTTGTTGCCATATTCAGTGACAATAATGTGCAGTACTCTGGGTTTTTTCCACTGAATCTGGCCAAAATGTTGTATCCTTTTGATTTAATGCAAACTGCAAAATAAACAGGAACTCTACTCCCAAGTGTAATGGACAAACTCTGTTTACCTGAATGTAAATATATGCACATGCATGTGTATTTGTGATTGTATATACGTTATACATACAGTATTTATTATGTTACTACATTTTCACTATTTTAAGGTGTCTCGAAATTAAATTAATACTAGCTTAGGAGAATAAAAGTTCATAAACAAGCATTTAAGCCCTAGCATAAATATATGAAGGTGTGCAAGTATGAGGGCAAAAATTATCTTACAAAATAGTCATGGATAACAATATAAGCTCCAGACTAAAAAAAAAACAAAAAAAAAAAAAACACAAGTTTGGGATAATAACCAAACCAGCTGGGTAGGTGCAGCAAACAACTAGCATGCTTTTTTTTTGTTTTACCTTGCACTTCCACCCAGTTCTTGAGAGGGAGAGGCCAAAGGGGCGGGCACACACCACATGGTACGCCTTGTCACACACCCCACACACGATTTCATCGCTTGGCTGCCGACACATCTGCACACCCGGTGGAGAGGGAGGGGGGGACACAGAGGGATTATTGTCATGCACCATAGCACAAAGTCAGGGAACCGAGTCAAGGATAAAGGGGACTCAAAATACTGTGAAATGGAACTACACCAATTCCGCAAGAGGGGAATGGAAGAGGGGGGTTACTTCCAGACAGTAATTTATTAGGTGTGACCCAAAACATAACCACAGATACATAAAGAATAATATGAGCATGCATTATTAACAATGAGTACATGTTCAGCCAATTTAAAATTTATAACAATATCAGTGGTGTTAATTACTATGCTGGGTATCAAAAATTACAGAAAAATTACCCAAGAGAAGATCTTAGAATAATTATGTATGAACCTAATGCTAAAGCTTTTTTAAGGTTAATGCATATGAAGTGAAATCAGAATATCAGGAGAATTCAGCATTTGATAAATTGAAAATGTATTTATTCTTCAATAGAATTTATTTTGAATATTCATTGAAAACTATCATTTATGTTTTTTCTAAATTTCAAAGGTACTATATACAGTACAGTATAAAATTCCCCCCCCCCCCCAAAAAAAAAAAATTATAGCTTTTTCCATACACACCTGGATGTAGGACTTTTAAATTGGTTAGCAGTTTAGTGGTTAAATCTCTTGCTTTATTTTGGTGACCTTGTCATAGACACCAAGTGTTTCCCTATTCATGTCTTAACCTAGGTTGAAAAGCAAGTTCTTTTCAATAAAATTGGTGAATTGCCTTCTTAGCACTCCGGAAGAATGTTAGCAGTGAATTTATTGTAAACCACTGTTAGTTTTTTGTAATTTATTTATAACTAACTTTGTAAATAAACATCAGTTTTTAGTGTTAACAAAATGAAAAAATTCTTATCTTTCTTCTATATTATACTGAGTTCCAGGCATCTAGCCCAGTATATGATTTTCAGAATAGGCCAAATTCAGGAAAGAACTCAGAGGATGACTCTCTTTCATTGCATCCAATGAAATTCCAAAACAGAGATTCATCCTGCTATTTCAGAATATTGTTGTTTTCTTTATCATGTGTGTACATTTCTCCTCCTATAAGCAAGGTGCCAATACATGTGGAGGTTCTTGATTTGGTATTTAATTAAATGTGAAAAAGCAGTTAATTTCTTCTTATTTCTTGGAAGGCTTTGTTCTTTTTGTATTACTTCAAGTGGTATGTATTTGCAGGCGATGAGTCACAATAACGTGGCTAAAGTATGTTGACCAGACCATACACTAGAAGGTGAAGGGATGACGACGTTTCGGTCCGTCCTGCACCATTCTCAAGTCGATTGTCTGTATTGATGGTATGTATTTTGTAGCTCTACCACTGACTTGTGTATTCAGCAAGTTGTATTCACCTACCTGCTCTTGCAGGGGGTCGAGCTCTGCCATTTCGGCCCGCCTCTCAACTGTCAATCAATCAACTGTTACTAACTACTAATTTTTATTTTTCTCCACACACACAGTGTGTGTGTGGGCTTGTTTTACCACTGTTATACATCTGTGGTTGTTTGAAAACTTCAATAACCTCTTTACTTCTTCGTTATAGTCATCTGCATACTCTTAAGTTAGACCAGTTTTTTGTGGTAGTGATTGTTATTTATAGTGATTCTGAGTTTAGTGCGGGAATGCTAGGCTTCACTAGCTGTCAATATAGGTAATTTTAAAACCAGTCACAATCTGGCTAAAGACTAAACAAATATAATTAATTATACAACAATGAACAAATCCATAACTATCTTGAATAATTTTTTTTAGTCAGACTTGAATTACTGATCAGAGGACAACACCACTTTTATAAATTGCAATTTTGAAGAATTTCTTACTTTAAAACTATTAGCACTCTAATGATACAAATTTACACAGTACAGTATATATAGTATAGTTCTAAGACAAACACATCTCAAATTTTAACTGATTATCTTCAAATGTTCTCCTGATATACAAAATCAAAATTATCTAATGCAAAACTCCCTTGGGTACCATTTGAAAATGAAACTAATAGAAGTATTCCTTGAAATTAGAGCTGTATGTGAAGAAATTTGTACAACTATGTGAATTAATTAGTTATGAAATATTGATCAGAGTCACCCCTCTATTGCACTAAATGTTAAAATGTTAAAAAATCTGCCACCAGACGAATACATTGTCCCAATAACAATAGGGACCTTCCTTGTACTATTATACATGGGTAAGTGTTGAAACTTTCAAGCCAATACACAAAGGTATTCTTTCAAAATTATATGATAAGGCAAATAGAATAAATGTTAAATATAATGAAATGCCTCTTTTTGGTTGGGCCTTGGTAGCTCCCTATAGCAACCCACACTAGTCACATCAGCCCCCAGGGGGTCCTTAGTAAGTCTACTGGAGACAAGAGCCTGAACCTGGCCTCCTCACAGAGCAGGGGATTCATTACCATTACCCTCACCAAAGGAAACATCCAGAAAGTAAGCGAAGCAAAACACAACTGCAAGATTAACAGAAAAAAATTGAAATAAAGTAGCTAATGACTCCACAAACAATACACCCAGTAGTTAGTTTGAACTCTACTAGTAATAGCTGGTCATTACCAAATGGCACCCCAGGAAGCTACCCATTCCCATGTCAACGCTAGTCAGTCTGCAGCCCAAGATCACCAACCAACACACCTGGAAGGGGGAACAAAGGACCAGGTAGCCACTGAGGTCCAACTAGAAAGAATTGTTTTATTAGTCAATGCTGCTTTTTTTTTTGTAGGAGACAAATGGTGGCTCCCTGTTGATAACCACGGAGAATAAGGAAACCAAGACTTACCAGGGAGGAGGAGAAGCATTAAACATGCGAAGAAGACAACCAAGGACAGGAAACTCAAACAAAAGCAACAAGAGTCCAACAAGAACAAGGACCTTGTAAGAACACCAAAATCCCAAACCTGAATATCAGCCCACGATATATTAGAGAAAAGCATGGTTAGGCTGCCTAAAATTAAGGGCACTGCAGATAACCGAAGAAAAATGAGCCTTGGAACAGGGAACCAAGGAAACAGAATCACCAGACAACACCCCCCCCCGTCGATTTAAGGAGTCGTCTACGCAGATGGACATCAGGTGAAGGACTGACAAATGTTGACATAGAAGTCTGCAGCTCCTGGGATGTTGCTACCTGTAACTAGGATAGTTTGAAATATTGGTTGGATCATTTGCAAAGTCGCTTGCTGCTTGATTTCACTTTTTCTCTATGAATCCTGCAATTGTCTGTTTTGCTTCATTTATTTTCCAGATGTTTCTTTTAATGCAGGTGATTGTAAGGAATCCCACACTTCTTGCACCTCTGCAATGGGGGCCAGGTTCTGGCTCTGGTCTCTAGTAGACTATTCAAGACTCATAGGGATGATGTGACTCATGTATGTGGAGCTATCTCTGGGTAGCTATCTTCAGGAAGAAATTGTTAAGACCTTACAGAAAATCTCACTGATCTGCAAAATAATATACAAACTTTTTTTAATAGCTGGCAAAGACTGTAATGCTCGTGGTATTACAAGGTGGTTTTGAAGGTTAAAGCATTCAAGATTACCACAATACTTGAAATACACTTAAATTGTTCAAAAAACTGGTTGATTTATAAGGCTGTTGCCATTTGAACAATAATGTACCAAAGTGTATTGCTAAAAAACATTACCAAACCATCATACAAAAGTGGGTAGATAAGATGATATGAAGCACAAAAAAATCTATTAGTAAAAAATAGTAAATTAAATCAAAGATAATGGAAATACAATTCCTCTGAAATGATCATTTGGATCTTGGAAATTGGCCGGCAGCCAGGTTGTGTTGCAGTGTCTATATGAAACAGAAGAATATCAGAGGTTCAAGAGATAAGCCTTTTTTTTTTTATATAACTTACCACTCATCCTATCGACAGAAAATAAGGCTAAAACACCTGAGGTGAAGGGTTGCAGGAAAGCATCTTGCAGCCCACTTCTATAAATGCATTCAAGAAACATATGTGCAACAGCAGGAATGCCTAGAGGTTTCAGAATACTGAAAACCTTTTTTCAAAGCAATGGTGGTGGTGGTGAGGAGGGTTGGCATAAATATTAAAACATTCAATTTGAAAATGAGAAACGAAGATATTTAAAATGTTCATGAAAGTACCATCAATTTGGTAAAATGAGAATTCAGAGGAGTCTTGCAAAAAATGCAATGTTCAGTCTGATTTCTGTTTTAAAGTAAGCATGTAAATTACCGATTATGCAGAAGGCAAAGAAAATTATGTTAAAGCAAACATTAAAAAATGGGAAAAGTATATGAAATTTACTTTAAAAAGTACCACTATGATAAATATAAAAAGCATCAGTTTTTATACTCTTTTATCTAAAATAACTGACCAACGGTGCTATGCTTAAACATAATTTGAAGAACGTTAGTTTAGTTGATGCATTATATTCTTCTAAATCTTGATAAACAATGGTACTTTAAGTTGTGCTGTTTTAGTTATTTTTATACAACAGTTTTGTTATAGCCCTCATCAAAACTCTTCTGAATGTTGAAAAACACAGGTAAAATTCTTCTCACCTATTTACTAAAAGCCAATAACAACATATAGTATCTACAAAGCTAAGTAAACACTGTTACACATTAAATCGAATCTATTACACCAAAGCTTTTAAACAACAAACTAAGGATCCACATAACTAAACAACAGCAGTACAGGAAAAGCAGCATTTCCACCAGAGCGGCAAACACAACATACACCAATAACAAATGTTTTTCTTGACAACCAAACTAGTAATAACTTTGAAGAAAATGATCAGTATATAAATTTAGAGGAAGCAAAAATAAATATTGTATACTCTTTTCCTTACCTGACACGTCTTACAGTCAGGACATTGCCATCCTGCACGTAAAACCGAGATGGCAGTAACTGGAGGCTTCAGGCAGAGGCCGTGGTAGTGATTGCCACAAGAAGAACAGAAGAGAAGAGAACTCTCAGGAGATGAATGTTCGCATACCATACACGCCATGTCCACCACTAACAGAAATAATGAATATAACTGTAAATGTCAATAAAACCAGCGTTGAATGTAATGAAACGCCATTTTCTGGGTGAGACCCGGAGGCTCCCCGGAGCTTTACCGGCTGATATGCTAATGTCAGACTTTGGCATCAGTCATGTGTATGGAGTTCTAGGGCCTACCGGGGACCACGAGCCAGAACCTGGCCCCCTCAGAGAGGCAAGGGGAGCAATGGCCTATAGAAACCCCCGTGTGGTTGGAAGCATTCTATGTCTGCCATCGACCGGGTCAAGCATCCAGAAAGGTAAGCATTCCAAAACAAACCCCTATTCTGGTGAAAATTGCTACCTAAGCCGAACTAGTGGATAGAACTCTTCAACAGAAAACAAGGAAACTAGTATGACGTCATACGTCACCGCGCCGCTGTCTGCGCAGCTCCCCCCTCCCCGGGAGGGGGAAGGGGGAGCCCCAGACCTCCCACGCCGGCTATCCACCCATCAGTTCTGAAGCTGGATGTCAAAACACACGAAAAACGCCAACCGGAGGGAGGGAGGGTTGCCGGGGAGCCTCCGGGTCTCACCCAGAAAATGGCGTTTCATTACATTCAACGCTGGTTTTCTGGGGGGAGCCCCGTCGGCTCCCCGGAGCTAACTACCCACAGAGGAAGGTCAAAGGGACAAAACCGGGAGGCGGACACCACGCACCCCCCAAGGAGGTGAGACAACCAGCAGCAAACGCCAACCCAAGGCGCCACAGCCCCGAAAATCCCGGGAACAACACGAGAACCACGAGCAGCAAGGCCCCTGCACGAACACCAAAAAACCATGCCCGAAAGACTGCAAGGCCACGTCGCCCAGACGGCAGCGAGAGCAGCGAAGCCACGAACGCCACAGGCATGAGGGAAGAACACAGGCAGCTTAGCCGCAAGAACACGGCTGACCACCCGAAACACCATCACCCGCGAACCGGGAAGAATAGAACCGGATCAACGCAAAACGCGCTCCAGACCCAAACGCCGTGGCACGCAAACAACAGCGGAGGGCCGCCACTGAACACAAAAACGACACACCCCCGGCCCGACCAACGAAGCATCAACAAACCCTGGACCCCTCCAGAATGCAGCAGCCCCACCCCGCGCCAGAAAAGATGGAGACTGCTGCCATCAAACAACCAAAACGCTAAAACCGAAGGAGCAAGAAAACTCAGCAAACCGACCCCCAGAGGCAAAGGCCCAAAGGAAAGAGCCGACGAAAAAACACACCGGAACCGAAGGGGCACTACCATCCGAGGAGAAGATAGAGCACGCTGACCAGAGACCAAGATGGTGCAAGCGGCGCACGAACAGGCCGGAGGTGAAACGACGCACAAGACAGCTGACTAACGGTGCAGAAGCAACACCAAGACCGAAAGCAAGCTGAAGCGGCTCCACCTGCGCCGCACGAAAAGAGGCGACAGCATGTGGCAAGACGACGGCCCCCAACCCCCACTAGAAAACCAAGCCGAGAGTAAACCAAGCTAACAAGAGTAACCACCTAAGAAGGGACAGGAAAAGGAAGGACCGCCAAAATACCCATACTGCCGCCAAGAGAAGCACGCAGGTGGGACACCTACCACGAAGCCACCCGACCACCAACCGGAGGCGAGACCACGAGGCAGAACATAAGCAGCCCCGACAAGGCCCCCCCGAGCCCAGGAAAAAGGCGGAGCCGCGAGAAGATCTCGGGCGCGACCACCGAAACCCAGGCGGCACAAGGAGATGGAACGTCTGCCGAACAGAAAAACTCCCCAAAGCATGCAAGCCCGCCAGGAGTTCAGAAACGACGGGTCCGACGCGAGACATCGCAAGAAACCCCCCCCAAAAAAAAAAAAAACAACAACCGGCAGGGCAAGCTAGGAAAACCAAAGAAGGTGGAAGGGTCGCCGCCAGAACAGGACCCGAACCAAGGGGCACGAACAACTGCAATAGACCGAGACAAAGAAGCACATCACAGGACACAGGCTGACCAACGCCTAAGAACACACGCAGAACATCCCTGCTGCAGAGGAGGCAGGAAGAAAGAGCAGAAGCACAAAAAACCCCAGGAGAACAACCAGGGGTGGACAATCAGGCAGGGACAAAAACCCCACGCAATCCCCAGGCACAAAACGGCAGCAAAGTGCCACTCCACAACCGGACACAGGAACAAGGACACGCCACCGTGAAACACGGTACCAATGCACACGTGCAGCAGCAGCAACAGGCACCACTGCAACATGCAACATGTAAATAGCAACTCCCCTCTGCAAAGGCAGAGAACGGAGCAGGCAGACCCCAGACAGGGCCAACGGAGACACGACAAAACCCTGCAGGCCCAGAAACCTGCACCAGGCGACCGACGGCGGAGAAACCCCGCTCGATACCTGCTGGATGAGGTACTGGGAGCTCTTTTACACCTGAAGCCCGGCCCAAGGTCAGGCCAGACCAGCCAGAGGATGGCCCACCAGGCAGCTGCTAGGAGCAGTCCACCGGCCCACATACCCCCACAACCAGGACGGGCCGGAACTGCCATACGAAAACAGGCCAGTGCGCCCTGGAAGTCCACGGACGAACCAGCAAGAAGGCTTATGCTCGCAAGTAGGTCGTGTAACAAGCACAGACCACTGATGGTAATACAGTGTTCCCCAAAAGTGCCAATAGCACCACTGTACTCCACTGGTACTATCCCGCAAGTTCTACCAGATAGGCGGGACCCAAGAGCCAGAGCTCAAATCCTGCAAGCACAGCCAGGAGCCTCACCAGGTGAGTACAGAACCAACCCTACAACCCCCACACCTCACAACATTAAAAAAAAGGAGGGTCCCCTGAATGACTCCAGCATGGGTTGGACATGCACATGAGGGGGACAGGAAGGGGTGATAAAGGGACAGTCACTGGTGTGCGAATGGTCTCAGTCGTACAAAAATATACCTAAATAAAGACAGGTATATAAACACCGCCGCATTCAGCGCCCGGCCAAAAGACGCCAGACCGCAGAAACTCACCTGGCGAATGGTGGCACGAACTTGACACGACTCAACCGTGCCCAGAAGAACTTGGGAGCACCGCCAGCTGAAGACGCCAGAGCCGGACCCTGCCGGACCCGCAGGAGAGCAGGGAGAGGCGAAGGAGGCGGTCCACACCCATGACACAGGGAAAACCGCGGTGTCCTCCCCACAACTGGGAACCAGGACACCCCCGGCGCGAAGGGGCACATACCGCAGCCAGGGAGAACGAGAGGCGAAGCACTGTAGCAAAAAAGGGCGCAAAACCCCAGCACTGAAACACCGCCCAGACCAAAACAAACTCCACGGCGCATGCGCATAACACGCTGGCCGAACCGCACACCCTCCCTGCGGGAAGGCGCCAGCCAGGACTACTGCACGAGAAAAGTAGCCAAAAGAGGAAGCAGGAACAATAAAACCGGCCAAAGAAGCAAAGAGCCCAAAAAGGAACCCAACCGGGCGACAAGTAGCCCAACCGGGCGACAAGTAGCCCAACCGGGCGACAAGTAGCCCAACAGGGCGACAAGTAGCCCAACAGGGCGACAAGTACGAGGAGCCGACAGACGTTCCAATAATGCGTGAAGTAGCGAAAAACCTTCCCGTACCCTCGAGAACACAGAAGCCAACACTAGTCCCGAAGGCACACGAAGGCGCAGGCGCACCCGAGATCAGAAGTCACGCAGAACCCCATCGAACGGGGAAACATGACAAAAACACCGTCCCAAAAAGGGGGGGAGGAAACATCCACCCACAGGATGGAACCAACCGACTCAAAGGCCAAGGAACCGAGCCCGGGGAGGGGCCGACGTCCAACAGCACGTACGGCTAGTGGGGAGGAAAGACCCCACTCCGCGTAACCACAAGCCCCGCCTAGAGGGGGATAAAAACCCCACGGGGTCTAACGGGGCCAAGGCCCCCCCAAGTCAGCCCCTCCCCAGCCCCGGGAACCTACACGACAGGCCCCGGGGCCGAGCCGTTCCCCCAAAGCCCCGGCCGTACCAGAAAACCGGGGCAGCCGTGAAAACACTAAGGAAGGGAGCCCACTGGCAGACTCATACAACACGGCTGGAGGAACAGGCCCAAATGCCCCCGTCACTACCCCGAAAGGGGAATTCCCAGAGACTGCCCGAGTCTCAACACCACCAAAAACCCCGCCCCAAACCTACAGACGGTAAGGAACCGGATGCAGGCAGGAAGGGTGAACCAGGGAAAAAACAAGGGACACAAGGGGCAAGAACGAAGGCAGACCCCCCCACCAGGTAGATAAACAAAATGAAAAAGAAAACCCCGCAAGAGGACAGCGTACCCAAGCGGAACAGAGCCGGCCGCTATGATTGGTAAAGACAAGCTGCACAGTACCCCGCGCCCCACCAGTGCAAACACTGCCCCTTACTCTAAGGCGAACAAGGGAGACAGAACACCCGAGCACACAAAGAGCGGCCGAAAACCAAGCAGTAAACGGCCAAGCAGGGGCAAGACCCAAGGAACTTGTGGAAGGTGGCCCCAAGCCCCAAGTGCAGTACTTACAGGGCACCTAGGGAAGGGAACCCTAGGCGCATGCAGCCCGAGTACTGAAGAATCACTCCGGCTCACGCACCACCTAGAAAACAGACACCACACTCTAGGTACAGTGCTGAAACAACCATTGGAGCCGGAGCACATAACCATTGCCTATAGCATCAGCCGAAGAACTGATGGGTGGATAGCCGGCGTGGGAGGTCTGGGGCTCCCCCTTCCCCCTCCCGGGGAGGGGGGAGCTGCGCAGACAGTGGCGCGGTGACGTATGACGTCATACTAGTTTCCTTGTTTTCTGTTGAAGAGTTCTATCCACTAGTTCGGCTTAGGTAGCAATTTTCACCAGAATAGGGGTTTGTTTTGGAATGCTTACCTTTCTGGATGCTTGACCCGGTCGATGGCAGACATAGAATGCTTCCAACCACACGGGGGTTTCTATAGGCCATTGCTCCCCTTGCCTCTCTGAGGGGGCCAGGTTCTGGCTCGTGGTCCCCGGTAGGCCCTAGAACTCCATACACATGACTGATGCCAAAGTCTGACATTAGCATATCAGCCGGTAAAGCTCCGGGGAGCCGACGGGGCTCCCCCCAGAAAATGCCAATGCTACTACTGTCTTGAATAACAAATCTTATTTTTGGGCTTAGATTAATTTTCATACATTAGGCTTTAAATTCAAGCAATCATAGAATATTTTTGCTTTAGTAGTTACATCTGAAAACATACGACGCGATACTCACTTAAGAGACAAAAGGCTTATGGTACTTACGCAAGTCTTTGCTTTTATCTGCATGAGGTGGGCAAACCATTGCCACAGTTTTAAGATCCATAGGAGCCCCAGCACTCATTGCACATGGAAAATGATAAAATCTTTGGCATCCAGACACCTATAAAAGATATATAATGAATTAACTGTTAATCTAAGGAGGACAAATTTAGAAATAAGCATTAAGGATCTTTACTTTATGTCAATGATGCATGCATACTAACATGTCTATTCAATAAAATAAAATAAAATACTTAGTATAAGGATAATTAAGAAATCACAGAAAACAATCTACAAAAGGGCACATGAACCATTCTTATAAACGGTTTAATTTCCACCTTTCTCACTTTAATTTCCAGCTTCTACCCATTTATCCCTCATTTTGATATACCATTTTTTGTCCACCTTGACAATTCACATCAATATTTATTTTACTTAATGATTATATCCCCCCACTGGTCTTTCTCTCCTTTGAGATCTAAGACTGAGTTTCCATTACCTGTCTTAGAGCTTACACTTTTTAGTTCAGGCACTTGCATTGTCGTAAACAAATGATGTTTTAAAAAGTTTATGCTTCACTAAATGTAGATTTAATGATGGTTGTGTGTACAGTATTCTAGGATTGGTGTGATGAAGGTTGCATAAATTTTCATTAAAAGAGTCCTCATTTAGGTTTCTGGGCCCCATTCTTAGGTTTGTCAATTACCAATACACTGCCAATATTATCCTATTTATATTCACTTCTGGTGCCATTGTAATGAAAGGCACTTTGAGTTTTCACTTATTACTGCTCTTCATTAAATTGCAAGGCGTTTGAAAATCCTCACTCATATACTGAGAACCCAAAACTAGAAACTCTCCCTCCAGCAAGCTATTATATTGTCTCGGCAATGTGGCCTCGGCTGGTTTATGCCAGGTCACATTTTTCATGGGGGCCATTTCCAGTTTTGTGGCCATTGCAGTGTTCTAGGCTTGGAAGGCTTCTGCTACATTCTTCTGCCCCTTTAGCTCATCCTTAGTTTTCTTTTCTGGTTGCTTCTCTCTCAGATAGGAAAATGTCCTCTTCCAAGGCTCAGTGGTAAGATAGCTTCAGGAAGCTACTTATGGGGCTATTTCAGAAGTTGGGCAATAAATGAAATAAAATGCCCTTTTCTGGTGGACTACTCAGTAGCTCCCCATCCCTGCCCTGTTCCCTCCTTTCCAATGGGAGTTAAGGAATTGTCTCTTGGAGCAGCTTGTGAATGAGGTGGCTGGCTGGGCAAGACCCCGGGTCATCTAGGCTGCCCTCTGATTGTGAGCAAATATATCTAGGCAGTGATTTCACCACAATAATGATTTTTTGCATAGTTTTCAATGGGGTTAAATAAAATTACCAGCAGATGCTTTTTTTTTTTTTTTAGAGTTTTGGCTTTCTGGTGGGTCTTTTGCTCAGTTCTGTAATCTGATCCCCAGGATCCCATTTACCTCTTTGAGCAGGCCAGATTCTAATCTTGGCCCCCAGCAGGTGCTTGTAATTCTTAAAGAGTCCTGGTGTGATCCCCGAAGCTTAGCTAACTATATAGTAATATCACGAAGGTACTGAGGGAAACCTCCCAAAAATTAAATATTACAAAACCATTTGTTATCCCAACCTGTGACAGCTTATTAAATATAGAAACAAAAAAGTATTAGGTACTCAGCAATATTACATGGCTAAAAAATGTTAAATACTGTACTATAAAGAAGTGAATCACAAATAAATGCACAATAAAATATGGACAGTAATATTATTACCCATAGTATTAACATTATGTACAAATTAAAAAAGCAAGCTTTGTTATTCCTTATTCATCAAGTTATGCTATTCATTAATTATTAACAATATAGATCCTACCTTGCAAGGAAGTGTGGCACCAAATTTTTTACAGTGAACACATCTCTGACTTGCTCCAGCAACAACGGCTCTATCAACAGAGCTGACTGTATCATCGTTAATCAGCTCGACTGTAGATGACCAGAGGGCACACATATAATGTGCAAAACAGTGACCTGAAAATTGAATCACAGATAACCAAAACATTAACCATTTTTAGACTGATTAAAAATAAGGATTAGATGTCTTCAACCATTCCAGATACTGTATAACAAATTTAACATATATTGATATAATGCTTAAAGGAAGTAACTTTTAGTTTCTGAACTAATCACCAATTCATTTGTTACTACTTTTCCCTTAATCTGCTAATGCTGCTCATTTGGTATTGTCCGTTTTATTTATAAACCAAGTTACAATTATTTCTCAATCATGTTACCATGTCATACTTCAATTGTTCATATCGAGTGTGTAAACATGTAAAAACATATAATCAATAATTTTTGTTTAGAAAGGTCCCATAAAAATAACAACAAACAATATGATATAATTCATGAAAAACTAGCCATTTGGAAAATCCAGAAAAGGGGTCCAGAACGATTTAGTGCAGATTTTTTAGATTACACTATACACTATATTTGTTAAGATATATACAGTACAAAGAAAATACCAACTAATAACTGGAAAACTGGCAAATTAGGTCAACAAAACATTAATTACCTGTTGGCTCAAATAACATAGCTATACTAGGTTGTTCCAAGTGACCAACTAGAGAAATTTCATCCACAGGTTCTGGTAAAGCTTCCCCTACTTGTTTCCTTGGCGATTTTCCCTTCTCTCTGCAAAGTAAAAATTCAGTAATTTTTCAAAATACTGAGTAAAACTCTTAAGATATAAATATATTGCTAATTGTATTAAGATTAGATTTGTTTGGATTGCAGCAGAACTACAGAAACAATCCCAGACCATCATATCTGTAAATTTGTACCTTTAACCTGTAAACTGCAAAAATGTCTAAAAGTCCTACTGTATATCCAAGTATTGAAATCCTACGAGGATCAATCATATATGGTGATTTGAGCACAGAAGGATATCACAGATAGGATTTGGAATAGTAGTAGTAGGCATCCATCAATCTCAGGAGACTATGGAGTTGCACTCTGGTTGTTGAGACATGGCACCAACTGGCAGTGTCACAGAGAAACCTGTTTGTTTTCAACTGTGCTTGAAGAAGTCTATCATAACCAATGTATGGAAATTACACTGAGCGAGTTCATCGCTAAGTGCAATGATCAATATCTGTCAACTGTTCATTTGTCTGTCTTTCAAATTAACCTAGAGACTCAGCTGACTGTTGGGTTTGGTAACAATTTGTAAATATAATCGCTAATATGATTCTGTACGACAGACAGACAATGAACAATCAAGTATCAAGGAAAGATTGATATCTCCACAACAATAATTTAAAATGAAAACTATCCACATACATAAAATGAATGGATTACCTTGCCTTGAGATTGATGTTACTTTACGTAAATGTCAAGGCAAAGAAGGAATTATAACCGATTGAATAAATGAACATACTGTAAATGGATTAACAGTGCGACAGTTCAGATTCAATAGAGAACCCAATAATAATGAATCGACACCTATTAAATGTTGTATTCTGCACTATAGTAATCACTGTTAATAGGAACAGTTATCCAGGAATCAATGACTAATCTAAAATACACGTGAAAATATGATGACTCTCGTAGCTCATCATCTCTGGAAAGATGCATACTGTACATACATAAATGGGACGAAGGTAGACATCAATTTATACCACTAAATGTGTACTCTTCACTGAGTATTGTCAATAAGAACTCCTCTTTCTACCTCTCCAGATAATTTTTGGGGAGAAATAATATGTAGCCTGTTTCTTCTGCCTACAGAGTCTGTGGTGCTAGCTACTAAATGGTCAGTTAGACAGTGACACATACGGCTGGAAGCCAGGTGTCCTTATCTTGAGGTTATCTTGAGATGATTTCGGGGCTTTAGTGTCCCCGCGGCCCGGTCCTCGACCAGGCCTCCACCCCCAGGAAGCAGCCCGTGACAGCTGACAAACACCCAGGTATCTATTTTACTGCTAGGTAACAGGGGCATAGGGTGAAAGAAACTCTGCCCATTGTTTCTTGCCGGTGCCTGGGATCGAACCCAGGACCACAGGATCACAAGTCCAGTGTGCTGTCAGCTCGGCCGACTGGCTCCCACAAGATTCACCATAAACATGCTACTGATATTCAAATGAATTCTGATATCGAATTACTTTGCTCACCTAGACTATTATACACATAATCACTAGATAGATAGGTAGATAGATGGATAGATAGATGTCAGCAATAAATAACAACTGTAAAATCTTATTATTTTCAGGCAGTTATAACAGGAGTTATGGTGACAGTAGGCCTAGTCTCTTTTTTCTTTATTAAATAATACACAATATAAAGATCATATTTACATCAATTTACAAGGAAAAATACTACATTATATATACTGGTACTTATATAATTCTCAGTAAACCAAATTTTCATATCACATAGTATGAGTCGTAAACCCCAAATGTTATACTTGATCCTGCCTCGCAACGACTAATCTTGCTATCCTTGTCAGCAGTCTGGTTATAACAATCAGGTACAAGAGCACCTCCAGCATCATCACAATGAATCAATGCCTTCAGGCAAAACAGAATTACTAGTTTCTTCACAATATTGAGCACGGTTGCTCTATAGCAGTTCAATCTAGGAAAACCATATGCGACTCTAAAGACTGTTGGCCTTCAGAGAAATGTTGTAGTTATGATATTACAGTACCTCTAAAAGCTTCTAACATCATGAAGATAAACAGAAATAATCTGAAGAACAAAAACTCACTTCAAAGATGATGGGTTAGTTTTTAACTTTTTAGATGAAGGTGATTCATTTGCAGTATTCTCAGATGGCGACATAATTTTTTCAGGCAGAGTATAACCAGCTGTAGGATCATGTCTAATTAATTCCCCTTGGCCAAGCTGACTTTGTTCCCCGAGACAACAGAGCCCACACACTCGTCCTGGCCTGAAAATCAATAACATTTTGAAAATAACAAAATGAAAAATTAACATTTGTAAATAACAGGCTATTTTCATATGCATTGTACTGTACTAAGCAGTTCCTTATGAAAGACTGATTAGGTTGAATTAGGACCTGGTTATTTCAAAGGAAATATAGATAGCAAAAATAAAGTCAAAGTGGGAAATCATTACAAGTGGTGCTCCCCAGAGCTCTAGCCTGGGACCTTTATTGTTTACAATAATTATATATATAAATGATTTAAGACATAGGATTGGCAGTAACATTTGGTAGATCAGCGGATAAGAGAAATTCACCTGTATGAATTTAAACAACTTACCACTTGTCCTGATATGTGGGTGCAATAAACATGTCATCTTGAGCATAAGCCTCATCATCAAGTGGTAGAGGTGAGTCCTCTCCACCTGTTCCTCCTCTCTCCTCAAGAGACATACTGTGAGTTAGACGACGCCCACTACGACCTCGCCTGCAAGCACATTTTCAAAATATATAACAAGACTAAACAGCATACAAAATCATTTAGCACAAATTTACGTAATTGAATGAATCACCTATCAAGTTGAATTTTTCCTCAACAACATTTATTTGAGAGGACTATAGTAAAACAAAGATTATATATATGTATATATAATATATTGTATATGTCAATATTATGTAAACCTAGGTACCGGGTACAATAAAAAATCCTGGCAAATATTTTAAGCATTTAAAAATATTGAAATTGTAAAATATATATCAAGCAATTAAGAGCAAAATTAACTGAAACATACAAGCTGCCAAGTCTCTTGATTTTCATTCCTTTTCGCACTTGGAAGCTACCACTTCGTGATGGGCTAAGAGGCAACCCCTTCGAACGACCACGGATTTTGGGGATGGTTACAATTCCACTTCTACTACAGGGAACTTGCACTGGAACAAGTGGGATAGTTGGCATCATGTCTGGTCCCAATATTCCTCTACTAATCGATGAGACAGCATCACTAGACGGGGTGGATGATGATGATGATGTATTCCTTGTGACAGTGGAAAATGCTAAGGTGGTGTGAGTAGATACAGAACACGAAGATGAAGACGACGATGATGTAGCTTGTGATGGTCTCTGTTGAGTTGATGTGGCTTTTGTGATTGTAATTGAAGAGCTTGATGGTAAGGAGGACAGAGAGGGCAGAAGAAGAGGCTGGTCTACTTCCATCTTTTCCTCAACTTCACCTTCTAAGTTTGAGGAAAATGTTGATGCAGGACCTGTAACAATGAAATTAAGAAATTTAACTAAAATTTACAAAAAAAGAGATTTGGGAAATTCACCTCCATACACACCCACTGCAAATCCAGAGAAAAATTGTCTAGTATTTTACAATAACTTATCAAGCAATTTTATGGTTTATAACCCTTAAAGTGGAGCTAACATCACATGGTGATATACAGGGTAATGCACTTATCTTCATATTATGATTTTAATTAATATCTCTAAGTTTTTATACAAACTATGTAAATCTTCTGTATCAATAAAAGAGCACGTCTGCCTGTTTGCTTGTTTGTTTGGGCCAAGGTTGGCAGCCAGACACTTGAGGCTAGCCTCACCCAACTTTTCAAGATGACACATGGGTGGTATAGGACTGTAATATGCTGATTGGGGTCAGTCATAGTGCCCCCCTTTAAGAAGAATTGCTTCCTATTTTAAATCAGAGCAATGCCTATGAGTTCATGGTGTTAAGCCACTAACACTCATAGCATTTCGGCCATTAGTAATACTGTAGTTGAAATCGCAGAATACTATTTTATTGACAAATTTATTTAAACACTCTTATTCATCAAGTTGTTAGGAGACTAGTGATTCAACTTGTGTACAAATCATACAGTGTATAACTATACATCTATGTCTTACCTGAAGATGAACCACATGAGGACAATCCATCCCCACTGGTTGTCCCTTTGTCACTTTTGTCAGAAGAACCATCTTTAAAACTGCCCCCATGTGGTCTCTCCATACTTCAATCTGCTGATAAGGCAATACAATTAAATTAAATCAACTTTATTATTTCAGTTTTATCCTTTCAAAATAAGAACCAATCAGTAAAAAACCAGCGTTGAATGTAATGACATGCCATTTTCTGGGTGAGACCTGGAGGCTGCCCGGAGGTATACCGAGCTGTTAATATAAAGTATTAGACCAGGCAACAGTCAATCTATGGAGTTCTTAGCTTACTGGGGACCATGAGCCAGAACCTGGCCCCCTTAGAAAGGCACGAGGAGGAATGACCTATAGACACCCCCATGTAGTTGGAAGCTGTTTATGTCTGCCATCTACCAAGTCAGGCACCCAGAAAGGAAGGAATCCCAAAACAAACTATAGCTGGTTAAAAATTGCAAACTGAAAGCCAAATGAGCAGGCAGAACTCCCCTAATCAGAAAATAAGCAAACAAGCATCATGTCACCACAGCCACCACGCCATTGTCTGTACAGGAGTTTGCGGTGGTGTGGTTTTTCACATCAGAGGGTTCGTGTCGCTCGCCGAGTGACAATTCGGCTCTATTCGGACCCCTCCCTGGTGGTTCAATGCCTGAACCGAGGGGGAGGGTTCAATGCGGTCCTTGGCTCTTTGAGGCTTCTTGGTTTTCTTGAGATGATTTCGGGGCTTAGCGTCCACGCGGCCCGGTCCTTGACCAGGCCTCCTTTTTGTTACACAACCCCAGGAAGCAGCTCATAGCAGCTGTCTAACAATCAGACACCAAATTACTGCTAGGTAATAGGGGCATCAGGGCGAAAGAAACTTTTTGCTCATTTATCACCGCCTCTACCGGGGATCGAATCCAGAACCTCAGGACTACGAATGCGAAGCACTGTCCACTCGGCTATCAGGCGCCCTACTGTACTGTACAGTACAATATAAAAAATCTTAGTACAACAGAGTTATTCTATACCAAACTATAAATGTTCCCAATGTCTAGAATATTATAAACAATAATATCCATAGTAAAAATGGAAGATATGATACTGTAAAGATTTATGAAGAAAAATGTCTAACATTAAGAAAGAAAAATTAGAACCTCTAATATTCCCAGTGTAATATTACTGGGAATATTACTCTCATCCTGTAACTACACTTAGGTAATTACTTAGATAATTACACATCACATAACACCAAGCCACACACAAGGTGTATGACATCATATTCAGTCAGACTGGCGGGACCAAAGAGCCAGAGCTCAACCCCCGCAAGCACAATTAGGTGAGTACATCACAATGATGTCATAATTTTTTCTTGACTCACAAGCAAGCCAAGGACCTTTAACCAGTGAGACTTCAGCAGCTGGCAGTCAAAACTGTCATTGCCAAGCTCATGTACTTTAGAGTAATTTTAAGTGTTAATTTTAGTCTTGTGCTAGATTAGGTTATGTAAATTGTCAAGAATGCTTAACTTCAAGATGTGTAGCATCAATCAAGAAGAGGAACTACAACAAGACAAGTTGAAGTTTCTGTTTAAAATTAATTACAGTTCTATACCAAACTTGAATATTTTACAATTATAATCTGTGAGTGGAAATTCAAATTATGTTGGTAGTGGTACAAAAAATTGTGAACACAGTGTCACATGAATCCCCTGCATGGCAATGGAACTGCCTTTTCCTCTCACCTTCAATGCCTCTGCACTGGAAGTCTACCTCTACACCAGCCCAGATGAATCATCAGTCCTGCCACCTCTCCACCTCTCTGTACCCCACTGGGCCTGGCATGGACTGATACAACTCACAGAGGCAAGCCAGGCGCCTCTGCTAACCGGTAGTTTGCCTTAACAAACAAGCAGTTAGCCGCCTTCAACTGGCAGTGGTGCAGCTCAACACAAAGGCACCGCAAGCCACAAATGAGCAGTTTGCTAGTTGACCAGAGGTTCACCTTGCATTGACACTGGATAAGTCATCACCACCGGACTATATACAGGGCACCGCCTCCCTGGAGAGCCAGTCTCTCTCTTAGTGCTCTTGGATCACCTTGGTCTCTCTCACCCGTCGTCTGCCTTCAGCCTACGCCGTGTGTCTGATGCCATGGTGGTATGGTAGCTGCCTTCAGTACACCAGTATAAGGTATCTTCATGCTTTGTATTCATTGAATTTCTTAGTTTATTTTTGTATTAATTTTCATATTATCTTGTCCACCTTTGCATTATATGATCGCCAAGTGTTCTCAGGTGCCATTTTTGTTCATTAATATTTCAGTAAATTGTTTTAATTACTTAGTTGATGATTTTCATTTGTTTCCACCTGCGACTTACACACTGCAAGGGCCAATAGCAACATTTTTTTTTTATTTATGTGAGGGAGAGCCATACCATCTTGGTTCAGTGTAGCTGTGATACCACAACCCATCAACAGTATGTTCACTTTTGAACTTCCCCGGTAAAAAGTCTGCTAATCTGGATGTTCAGTTTATCCGGATGGGGGTCCTTCTCATATAGTCCGGATAATCGAGCTCATACAGTATGCCATCCCATATCCCGAGTTCTAAAACCTGTTCCCTTACTGTTGTTTTTCTCCTGATGTGGCTGTGAAGCAGTTTGGGTTCCTTTATTTGCTATATCATTCTCAAATTAATAATTAATTAAATAATTAATTATTAAAGACATTCATTCCTTGCTCAATGGTACCCCTCTCAGTAATTTATCCATGCATTTGTGCTTACCAATTGGTTAAACCAATGAATAATCTAATGTTTTTTACGGTACCAATACTCTTTGAACAGAAATAAACTTATTAACTACTTCCCAATATTTCTGGATGATGAAGTCCATCAAGAAATAAGTCTCCCTCTAAGTTGAGTCCCATAGTACTTCTTGAGAGAAATAATTCCCTTAATGACAAATAATTTTCCTTTTGATATGCCAGTCTTTTATCCTCTGATCTTTTTCCTAAACTGATCAATCTTACTTCCACAAGATATTCATACATTAGTATGAAGAGATTGCTCATTCCAAAGGGGGGCTCAAATCTAATTTCCTGTAACCATGCAAGTGTTTTGCGCTCTTTCATGTTAATTGTGAGTTGTAATTGTGTGTGTGTGTGTGTGTTTGGTGAGGAGCGAGGTGGTAGGAGCGAGTACTGGCTGGCACAATCTTTTGACACAGCAGTACTTAACAAGGAGTGTCTTGTGTACTGCCAGACCAACATGAGGTTGGCAAGGATTACTTTAGGATGTCATAGTCCATATAAGAGCAGTCAAGAGGCTACAGTACCAGTCTTCCCCACGTTAGGGTGTGGCTGGTAGATTCAGTTAAGAGACAGCCTGGCACAGAGGGAAGGTGGCCAGCCAACTTTTCCTCCAATTTTCACCCTGCCGGGTGCCTGTCACCCATCAGGGTGCATCCATCTGAGTTGTGAGGTAAGAGTGTCAGTATTGCTTGTTTTGAACAGGATACCTGGTTGATATCAACCATCAACCAGGCTGTGACTCATACGTCAGGCTGCGAGCAGCCGCGTCCAACAGCCTGGTTGATCAGTCCAGCAACCAGGAGGCCTGGTTGACGACCGGGCCGCGGGGACGCTAAGCCCCGGAAGCACCTCAAGGTAACCTCAAGGAAACCTAGTTGATGGGGTTCTGGGAGTTCTTCTACTCCCCAAGCCCGGCCTGAGGCCAGGCTTGACTTGTGAGAGTTTGGTCCACTAGGTTGTTGCTTGGAGCGGCCCGCAGGCCCACATACCCACCACAGCCCGGTTGGTCCGGCACTCCTTGGAGGAATAAATCTAGTTTCCTCTTGAAGATGTCCACGGTTGTTCCGGCAATATTTCTTATGCTCGCTGGGAGGGTGTTGAACAACCGTGAGTGTCTTAGTGGTGACAAGTGTAGTCTGAACCAGGAAGCCAATGTATGGTTGAGGATGGGTGAATTGGTGAATTTCTTGGGTTGATTAATTCAGTGTTAAATAGTAACTTAATAAAGTTTCAATAAGTGCAGTACTGTACTAATATTCAATTACTGAAAATGAAATACCTTACATAATAAATACCCAAGTGTAGAATAACAAGTTTGGGTTTTGTTCAGTCCTCTTTTGAATCAATGCCCCATGACAGAATAACAAGGGGATCAGTGTTACTGATCTATGGGAGACTGGCCACGGGCGCGGGAGAGTGAGTGAAGGTGTGGCTTGGCGAAATGAGGCACCTCACTAGCCTGTTTTTACTTAAGAATTTATTCAGTAAAAATTCAGCAAATGGTACTTCCTGTTGCACTATTTAGTAGTTGTTGAAAATGTGGTATAACTGGCAGGATGGTGAAATGTGGTATAACTGGCAGGATAATTGAGGTTATCTCAAGATAACCTCAAGTGGCAGTTTATATTAGAGAGTAATCAAAATCAACTACTCTTGCTACTCTTCTTACTCCTATCTATCCCTCCTTTCTTTCTTCCTTCCTCCTTCCTCCTCCTCCTCCTCCTCCTCCTCCTCCTCCTCCTCCTCCTCCTCTCCTCTTACCGCCACTCTTCCCGCACACCCCTCGTTTTCTGTTGTTAGACGGACGAGTTCCCCCTCAACCTTATCCATGTCTGTTCCCTTTCTTCTTTCCTCCTTCCCTCATTCTTCCTTACTTTGCTTTACTGCATATCATCACAGATACTCTACTCCTACTTACTCTCTCCTTCTATTCCTCCACCTCCTCTTCCTTCCTTCTCTCCTCTCCTACTTCCGCTCTTCCCGCACGCCCCTCGTTTTCTATTGCCAGACAGACGAGTTCCCCCCTCAACCTTATCCATGTCTGCCCCCTCTTTTCTCTTTCATCCCTCCTCCCTTATTCCTTTCTTTCTTACTTTGCTTTACTTTCTCACCACCACCAAAGTAGATATTATACCAAATGTTACATTCCCTTAGGCCTATATATGATTTATTCTGAATGAATATTAGCACAAGTCTGGCCGATTCATCATTACACCTCATTCTTATGGGTGCCTTAAATTTGTTGACTTAGCAAGTACAGTGCCTGACTTTGCCAACAGGACTCAAATCATCTGCTCCTTCACCGATGCAAAAAAAAAAATTAAGCTTTTGAAAGTAATTTTACCTAAACTGTACATTACTGCAAAACAGGTCAATACCACCAATACAGATACAGCAGTATCCCCTCGATAATTAAATTTTAATTATATCGCTATGGTAATAATTTTATAGTAATAATCATAATAATTTTTGGGCCAAGTGCTTTCTTAACCACTATTATTATCTGGAAAGAAAACTATTAGTGGGATTCATCAATATGTGCTATGTTAAACCTGAACTTGTCCAAACCCAATAAGAATGCATTAGCCTCAAAAATAAATAAATAAATGTTCGTTTGATATACATATGACAATAGACCAATAAGACTTTTATACATCTAATGCAGTAATCATATACACGCCATATACTATTACAGTAGTAACTATTTCAAAATTAGCCACACAAATTAGCTAACCTAATGCAATCTTAATCCAACCATCACTAGCTAACCTAAATCAATCAGTGTTGGATAGCATGGATGTGGTAAATAGCATGGATTACTGAATGGACCAAGTTGGAAATAAAACACTGTTGTGTTACTTTTGTGATACCAACACATCAAGTTATAAATCACTAGTGAATGACACTACTCCAAGTAAATATATTAATATTAAAACATTGCATGGACCAAATATTATTACCAGAAAATGCTGAATACAGCTGGTAGTATAACATTTAGTATTTGACTCTGGGTAAGATCAAATTGCCTCCAGGCATTGCTCAATTTGTAATTACTGTATTAAAATGAAATATACTATTTGGTTAGGCTGGGGTTAGATCATGTCAGGTTAAATTATGTTAGGCTGTGTTAGGTTAGATTGGGCTAGGTGGGTGTAAGACATGTTTGGTTAGATTGGGCTAGGTGGGTGTAAGAAATGTTTGGTTAGATTAGGCTAGGTGGGTGTAAGAAATGTTTGGTTAGATTGGGCTAGGTTGATGTAAGAAATGTTTGGTTAGATTGGGCTAGGTGGGTGTAAGAAATGTTTGGTTAGATTGGGCTAGGTGGATGTAAGTAATGTTTGGTTAGATTGGGCTAGGTGGGTTTAAGTAATGTTTGGTTAGATTGGGCTAGGTGGATGTAAGAAATGTTTGGTTAGATTGGGCTAGGTGGGTGTAAGTAATGTTTGGTTAGATTGGGCTAGGTGGGTGTAAGTAATGTTTGGTTAGATTGGGCTAGGTGGGTTTAAGTAATGTTCGGTTAGATTGGGCTAGGTGGGTCTAAGTAATGTTCGGTTAGATTGGGCTAGGTGGGTCTAAGTAATGTTTGGTTAGATTGGGCTAAGTGGGTTTAAGTAATGTTTGGTTAGATTGGGCTAAGTGGGTTTAAGTAATGTTTGGTTAGATTGGGCTAGCTGGGTCTAAGTAATGTTTGGTTAGATTGGGCTAGGTGGGTCTAAGTAATGTTTGGTTAGATTGGGCTAAGTGGGTTTAAGTAATGTTTGGTTAGATTGGGCTAGGTGGGTGTAAGTAATGTTTGGTTAGATTGGGCTAGGTGGGTGTAAGTAATGTTTGGTTAGATTGGGCTAGGTGGGTGTAAGTAATGTTTGGTTAGATTGGGCTAGGTGGGTTTAAGTAATGTTCGGTTAGATTGGGCTAGGTGGGTCTAAGTAATGTTCGGTTAGATTGGGCTAGGTGGGTCTAAGTAATGTTTGGTTAGATTGGGCTAAGTGGGTTTAAGTAATGTTTGGTTAGATTGGGCTAGCTGGGTCTAAGTAATGTTTGGTTCGATTGGGCTAGGTGGGTGTAAGAAATGTTTGGTTAGATTGGGCTAGGTGGGTGTAAGATGTTTGGTTAGATTGGGCTAGGTGGGTGGAAATTAGATTGGGCTAGGTGGGTGTAAGAAATGTTTGGTTAGATTGGGCTAGGTGGGTGTAAGAAATGTTTGGTTAGATTGGGCTAGGTGGGTGTAAGGTGGATTGGGCTAGGTAAGAAATGTTTGGTTAGATTGGGCTAGGTGGGTGTAAGAAATGTTTGGTTAGATTGGGCTAGGTGGGTGTAAGAAATGTTTGGTTAGGGTGTAAGAAATGTTTGGTTAGATTGGGCTAGGTGGGTGTAAGAAATGTTTGGTTAGATTGGGCTAGGTGGGTGTAAGAAATGTTTGGTTAGATTGGGCTAGGTGGGTGTAAGAAATGTTTGGTTAGATTGGGCTAGGTGGGTCTAGATTGGGCTAGGTGGGTGTAAGTAATGTTTGGTTAGATTGGGCTAGGTGGGTCTAAGTAATGTTTGGTTAGAAGTGGGTCTAAGAAATGTTTGGTTAGATTGGGCTAGGTGGGTTTAAGTAATGTTTGGTTAGATTGGGCTAGGTGGGTCTAAGTAATGTTTGGTTAGTTTGGGCTAGGTGGGTCTAAGTAATGTTTGGTTAGTTTGGGCTAGGTGGGTCTAAGTAATGTGTGGTGACATACGTTCTTAGATTTCTTGGCCAAACTGCCCATGTATGAAGTAGCCTGCATCCCATGACCCCTGCAACTCACTATGAACACAAAGGCCAAGACTTATTTTTTCCCTCCTCCAACACCGACTATTTGCCCACTAATAATAATTAAGATCTTTAGCATCAAAATAGCAGCACATGAACCAACCCAACCATCATCACCAAGCTCCTCTGCTCTCCACTACACCAGCAAATGAAATTTCAAATTTCTTACGAAAGATACCGTAAAGATAGTCTTACCCCCAAGTTAACCAGTCTTGTGCATCGGAAGTATTTAACTCAACGGATGTGTGTCTATTGGATCTGTGATTTCCTCCAGAGTTTGGCAGCGTGTGTGAAGATATGTAGTAGCGAGTGGAGAGGGTGTGTGTATGTAGGAGAAGTTACATATTCCAAGGCTTGACGTTTTCCAGCACCACCAGACAATCAGGCGCCCACCCATACTGATGTAAACAAACTCCTATTATCTATTTTACTACGCACCAACTTTACGTCTTACCTTCAAAACTTCTTCGGTGCTTTAACAATTCACTGTAATCCATGGCTTTAAAATGTATAATCAAATTTCAATAACAAATCCATATTTGAGGCATAAAAGTATAATATTCACTAACAACAAGCCGACACGGCTACATGTAAACTGATCCTAGCATACAGCTTAAGATTCAACTCCATGCTACGGACTACTTCGTGTTTGATCTCATCTTTTAAATTCGAATTTGCTAACTTAGAAACTCGTAGTTATTCTTTTGGTTTTACCTTCATACTACATTCACAGAAATATGATTGGTTTCGTCGTCTATTGATTATCCCAGAGGTGTTCTGCGATCAAAATCAACACCGCGTTTGTAAGTAGTCCAGAATTCAAATAAGTTTAATATAGAGAATATAGAGTTTGGGTTACTTTTAAAGATGGAATTTAATATAGAAAAATATAAAATTTTACACGATTAGAGTTAAAAAGTTAACTATTTAAGTAAGTGTCTATGATGGGACAGGTTCGATATTAAGGCGGAGGAATACACGACGTTCTTCAACAGAGGTAGAGAAAAGCTCTGGGGGATTTTTGCGGGTTAACTGCTCCTGTAATGACTAATGTACAACATGGCCATTACTTATTACTATCATATGCTTTGTCAACATAGTTTATGGGTCAGACTGTATAATATACCATGATTGATCCATTTGTATACTTGTTATTTAAGGACGACAACTTTATACTATTTTCTCCAGATAATGCTTTCTATTATCAGTTTTGTGAATTATGTAACTCTCTTCAAACTAAAGCTCTATAAGAATGTGTATGTGTGTATTTACTATTTTTGTGTCTGCAGAATCGAGTTATTTAGCTCTTGGACCCCGCCTTTCTAACAAATATATTTTTATTTTATTATATTTACTAAATATATGTCTCTCCAACACATGCACACACACACATTCCCAGCAGCCCGTAGCAGTTGTCAAATTCACAGGTATCTATTTACTGCTAGGTGAACAGGGGGCATCAGATTGAAAGAAGAAACTCTGCCCGTTTGTTTCTGCCTCTGCCGACAATCGAAACCGGGCCCTTAGGCCCGGGTTCGACTACGACCCCCGAGCCCTGTCCACTCAGCCGCGAAGCCCCTTCGCGGCTCTGTATTTATTATTTGTTTCTGCCTGCAGATTCGAGCTATTAGCTCTTGGATCCGCCTCTCTAATCAATCTACTTTTACTATATTATATCTATTTGTAACAGAAGCCATGAGCACCACACCAGAAATAAACACAGTTTTGATATTCCTAGAGTACGACTTAAACTAGAAATGCTCTACAAATCAAGGGACCCAGATTGTGGAATGACCTTCCCAACCATGTTAAAGACTGTACCTCTCTCAACCAGTTTAAGATAATAACGAAGCTATACCTAATAAATTCCCTGTAACCTACCTTACCCCTCTAATGTCATCCAATGTCTGGTTTTTTATAAAGAGCGCTGTTTGTCGACAGAATTGTATTTGTGCTGCTTTTTCAGCTATGTTTTCATTCCATGTTTTCATTTTACTCTTTATGCTCAATTAGTATTAAGCTTTAGTCATTTAAGTTTTTTATGCCCAAAACGCTTTGCGTAATAGTGGCTTTAGGCATTGTATGTACTAGCCCTAACTATAAATCCATCACTCTTTGTAAAATCCCTTTTATGTATGTACCTTACCTAAATAAACATTTTTATTTTTTTTTTTTATTACATATATTTCTCTCAGCCTCTCTAACACATGCACACACACACACACATATCCACAGGAAGGAGCCCGTAGCAGCTGTCTACACCTCTCAACTGTCAATCAACTGGTGTACAGATTGCGGAGCCTATTAGGCTCTATCAAATCTACATTTGAAACTGTATGAAGTCTGCCTCCGCCACATCCACCGCCTTTGACACAGTACCACACAAGAGGCTAGTGCAAAAGCCGAAGATGCAGGCTGGAGTGAAAGGGAAGGTATTCCATTGGATAAGGGAGTATCTAAGCAACAGAAGACATCGAGTTACTGTGAAAGGTGAGGTCTCAGAGTTGCGAGGCGTCACCAGTGGAGTCCTGCAGGGTTCAGTCCTTGGCCCAATACTGTTTCTGATATATGTAAATGATCTCCCTGAGGGTATAGAATCGTTCATCTCATTGTTTGCTGATGATGCAAAAATCATGAGGAAGATTAAGTCAGAAGAAGATAGTATGAGGCTACAAGAGGACCTAGACAAACTGAATGAATGGTCCAATAAATGGCTACTAAAGTTCAACCCGAGTAAATGTAAGGTAATAAAACTAGGCAGTGGAAACAGGAGGCCAGACACAGGATACAGAGTGGGAGATGAGGTACTTCATGAAACGGACAGATAGAAAGTTCTAGGAGTCGATATCACGCCAAACTTGTCTCTTGAAGCCCACATAAAAAATAACATCTGCGGCGTATGCGAGGCATAGCTCTATGCCCCAGCATAGAGCCCGTACCATGTCAAGCACAAGACGAAGCTGGAAAAAGTTCAGAGGTATGCCACTATAGGCTAGTCCCAGATTTAAGAGGCATGAACTACGAGGAAAAGCTGCTTGAAATGCACCTCACGTTGCTGGAAGACAGAAGAGTAATGGGAGACATGATCACTGCCTACAAAATTCTCAGAGGAATTGACAGGGTTGAAAAGGATAATCTGTTTAACACGGGTGGTACGCGCACAAGAGGGACACAGGTGGAAACTGAGTACCCAAATGAGCCACAGGGACGTTAGAAGGAACTTTTTCAGTGCCAGAGTAGTTAACAGGTGGAATGCATTAGGCAGTGATGTGGTGGAGGCTGACTCCATACACAGTTTCAAATGTAGATATGATAGAGCCTAGTAGGCTCAGGAATCTGTACATCAGTTGATCGACAGTTGAGAGGCGGGATCAAAGAGCCAGAGCTCAACCCCCGCAAGTACAACTAGGTGAGTGCCTAGTTGTACTCACCCACTGCCTCCACTACAAAAAAGATCTTTCTAAGGTCTCTATGGCCCATTTTTTTTCAGTTTACACCTGTGTTCCCTTGTGCGTGTGCCCCGTGTTAAATAAATTGTCTTTATCTACCCCTATCATTTCCTCTGAGAATCTTGTATGTGGTGATTATGTCTTCCTTAACTCTTTTTGTTATTATTTACCTGAATTTACCTGAGAGCCACTAACACTAGTGGCCTCGATGAGGACAGGAAGCCGACGGCTTGTCAAAGATCCCCCCCCCCCCATTTGCCTTGATCTTTTCCAGTTGTACTTTAAAAGTTAACAGTTTGACATTTACGGCTTCGGCGGGTAGGCGGTTTCATGGGTTTATAATCCTGTGGGTGAACATCTCCTGTTTTCAGTCCAACATTGTGGCTTGTTGAGCTTGAAACCATTCCTCTTTGTGTTACATCTGATTTTCCGAATTAGCATCCTCCAAATTGTTCAATTTTTTTTAAGTTTCATTGAGATCCATCTGTCATGCCTGGTTTGTGGTGTTGTCAGCATTATTCCAAGGAGTCGGTTAGCTTTTTTAACTGCTGCCCCTACCTGCTGTGCAACTTTCATTGAGTATTGGAATTTGGTTCCAAGGTCCTTTTCTTCATCAATCTGCTGTAATGTAATGCTATTGAAGAGTCCTGCATTTGTCAATATTAAAAAGCATTTGCCAGTCTTCTGACCATTTGTGGAGTTCATGTAGATCTATCTGTAAGGTTTCAATGTCATTATTATTTCCCATTTTACCATAAATCTCTGTGTCATCTGCAAATTTGAAGACGTGGTTTGTAATATTTTAATCTATGTCATTTATGTATACGACAAAAAGGGTTAGCCCAAAATGAACCCCTGTGGTACCCCACTTACCACATTTCTCCAATCAGATTCATTCACATTTAGCATGACTCTTTGTTTTCTTTTTTTATCCACTCTAGTATCTTTCCATTTATTCCATGTGCTTGTAATTTCCTTGGCAGTGTTTCGTGCGGTACGTTATCAAAGGCTCTAGCAAAATCCATGTACAAAAGGAAAAGAGTAGTGCTCAGAACACTACCTTTGGGGTACACCTTCGTATTGCCGAAAAGAGGTAGAGAGAGCGGTACCAAGCCTCACTCTAAAGGAACGACTCGAGAGGAAGCTTTGTAGGAAGAGAGGGAGATTTTTTTTTTTTTTTGAGATATATTCAAGAGTTGTTACATTCTTGTACAGCCACTAGTACACGTAGCGTTTCGGGCAGGTCCCTGGAATACGACCCCCGCCGCGAAGAATCGTTGTTACAACCAAATACATATTTTACTGTTGCGTTAAACATAGGCTACAGTTAAGGATTTGCGCTCAGTAAATCCTCCCCGGCCTGGATACGAACCCATGACAAAGCGCTCGCGGAACGCCAGGCGAGTGTCTTACCACTACACCACGGAGACCTACTTGAAGGACCTACTTGACGGAGATTAACTTGAAGGCCAAAAGAACGGAGTTGGGACAGGATGTTGTATCTTCAGGTGGTCTTGTATGCTTTTTCCAGGTCAAAAAGAACAGTAACAATGGAGTTCTTCGCAGAAAAAGCGTTACGAATATAGACCTCAAGGTTCACCAAGACATCAGTCGTGCTGCGTCACTTGTGAAAGCCAAATTGAGAAAGGGAGAGGTGGTGATAGTGTTCCAAGAACCATATCAGATGGACATTGACCATACGTTCAAAGAGTTTGCAAACGCAACTCTTGAGGGCAATGGGGCGGAAGTCCTTAGGGGACGTCCCTAGAGACCCTGGTATCCGAATAGAAAGAACCACCGCCTCGAGCCACACCTCGGGTACTGACGACGACTCCCAGATACGGTTATACAGCTTTAGTAAATACCTAGACGCGCATGGAGGGAGATGGCTGAGCATCTCATAATGAATGTCATCTGAGCCCGCTGCTGTAGAACCGCAGAGGGCCAGGACGGACTGAAGTCCGGAGAGAGAGAGAGAGAGGATCGTTATAGGGACGCTGGAGATGAGTGCGAAAGTCTAGGGGATAAGATTCAAGAATGGGCTTACGATTAAGGAAAGACAGATGAAGATGAGAACCGGACCTAACAATCGAAAAGTGGGAACCTAGTTCGGTCGCGACCGCCACTGGATCCGCCACAAGAGTACTACGGAGGTGAAGGACTGGCGAGACATCTGGAATAAACCTACCCGCTATCTTGATGATTTTCTTCCAGATCTGGGGCAGAGGAGTATCGGACGTAATCGTGGAGACATAAGATTTCTAACTCTCACGTTTAGCTGTACGGATGGTCCTACGGGCCACAGAACTCGCCTTCCGAAACAAAACAAAATAAGAAGCGGTCGTCTGCCAGCGTCAGTGTTTCTTCCAGGCTGCCCACCGACAGCAGACAGCCCGAGCGCGGTCTGCATTCCACCAGGGAACGCTCTTCCGCGTGCCCCGGGCTACGGTAGAGCGAGGAATAGAGTGGAGGGCAGAGCCGAATATGATGTCATGAAAAAGGAGGAGGGCTTTTGTTCTTAAAGGAATCTCCATAGCTGGGACAGGGGGCCCGACCACCGAAAAGAGAGGGGATGCTGTGATAGAGTCGGAGGTGGAGGATTGGGAATGTTGTTGTTTTAGACAGGAAGCTGGCATCTTGTCCAAGGTTCTCTCATTTGTCATGACGATTTTTTCCAGCTGGATTTTAAAAACTTAAGTTTTTGCATTTATAGCCTCGACAGATAAGCGGTTCTATGGGTTTATAACCCTATGGGATAAAAAGCATCTCCTGTTTTCTGTCCTACATTTTTTTTTTTTTTTTTTTTTTGAGATATATACAAGAGTTGTTACATTCTTGTACAGCCACTAGTACGCGTAGCGTTTCGGGCAAGTCCTTACTCCTATGGTCCCTGGAATACGATCCCCTGCCGCGAAGAATCGTTTTTTCATCCAAGTACACATTTTACTGTTGCGTTAAACAGAGGCTACAGTTAAGGAATTGCACCCAGTAAATCCTCCCCGGCCAGGATACGAACCCATGACATAGCGCTCGCGGAACGCCAGGCGAGTGTCTTACCACTATGTTGACCAGACCACACACTAGAAATTGAAGGGACGACGACGTCTTACCACTACACCACGGAGACTGCTTTGTTGAGCTTGAAACTGTTGCTCCTTGTTTGTGTAGCACTTGATTTTACAAGATTGTTCACTGCAGCTACAGATAGACAACATTAACATCAGTAATAAAGATGATGGCAGTTTCTTGGCCTATTCCTAGACAAGAGACTCAACTTCAGCACCCACATTCAACACATAACTAAGAAAGTCTCTAAGACAGTTGGTATACTCTCCAAAATCAGATATTATGTTCCTAACTCTGCTCTCCTCTCACTATATTATGCACTAATTTACCCCTATCTTAATTATGGCATCTGTGCATGGGGGTCTACCACTGCAAACCACCTTAAGCCCATCATCACACAGCAAAAATCTGCTATCAGAATGATAACTAACTCAGCTTTCAGACAACACTCAGCTCCCTTGTTTAAATCCCTAAACTTGCTAAATATTAACTCCCTCCACACATTCTCTTGTGTCAACTACATTTACAAAACCCTGTTCTTAAATGCAAACCATGCTCTGAAACTCTCCCTGGACAGATGTAATAGGACCCATTATCACCACACCAGAAATAAATATCTCTTTGATATCCCCAGGGTCAAACTTAATCTGTGTAAACACTCTATGCAAATTAAGGGACCTAGTTTATGGAACTCACTCCCTAGTGAATTGAAAAACTGTAAAACTTTTGCCTTATTTAAAAGCAAAACCAAAAAGTACCTAACTTCATCTTCTTAGTTTCCTACACTGAGCTTTAAATTTGCTCTGTACCTAGTGTTACCCAATCTCCTAATTTTTATGTAATTTCAAACAACCTTATCATTGTGTTCATTGCTGTCTTCTTTTATGTGCTAGCCATATGCTGTATTGTGACCACCAATTTTGTCAACTACCATTCAAGCTGTCATTGCAACCAATCTTATATTGTTTCTGCTGTATTATGCCTACCAATTTTTTTGTCAACTACCATTCAAGCTGTCATTGCAATCAATCTTAGCTACCTATGTGCTTTAATATACTGTACCTACAATTTTCTCTCATCTTTTTTTCATTTCATGTAATCTGTTATCATTTTTTGTCTATAATTTTGCATAAGATGGTGAATGATTTTCTCCCTAAGGACTCCATGAGCTTGCAGAAATGTGATGTCAAACTGATCGGACGGTAGTTTTCTGCTGAGCTCTTTCTGCCTTTTTTGAAAATAGTGGTGACTTTTGCATATTTCCAGTCTCGGGGAACTATCTATTCCTTGGTCCAGAAATTTTCTGAAGAGCAAGATAGTTATTTTTTAAATTAGAGAACATTAGTGTATAATGTTTTATATTATACAGTACCATACTAAGGAAAAACAAAGAAAACCAAAAATAATCCTAGATTCAGTTAATATGATATTTCAAGAATGATGGTAGGGTTCTCATTCAGACTGTCAAGTGTCTGTCCTCCATCCTCAGACAGACATTTATAGAAATATATTTATACAGTATAGGTCTATAGTAATATAAATAATTATGTCAATAAACCAGGAAAATATGACTTCAACCAAAGCTCCTCAATTACAACAATCAACCCCGGGGTGGGTGAAGTGGATTAGTGATGAAGATGTTTTCCGAGTACTGACATGGGATCGACTACTACCAGCTGTGCATCGGTCATTGGTAGCTTACACTCAGGGCCCTGACCATCCACAAGGAGCTGTACAACCTCTTCGTACCTGGGTAAAAATACCTGAACATCAAGGGTAAGTTATTTTGACCACCAGATGTAGTTGACCTTAATCCATTCAATGTATTCTTTTTTTTAAGTTGCTGGACGAATAGGTAAAGATTCATGGCCAGATGATCCTGTTTAATTTGATTGTACTGTATATGTGAAGAAAATATAATTAAATCAAATACAAATCTTTATTCATAAATGGTTGTACATTTATAATTTAATTTAAACAATATTTTAGTACATTGGTTACATAAGAGTGTCATAATAATAGCATAACATATAATCATTTTTGTTATATATTGTAAAATCTAGATCCAGATTTAGATTTACATGTACAGTAGAAGCTCTATTTATGATTTATAAAAATCATTACAGTTCGACTGGAGATAACAGCCATAGAAAATACATATAACATCCAATTAGAATGATTAGACTTATACTGTACTGCATGCTGTTAAACATATAGTACACAATTAGAATGATTAGACTTATACTGTACTGTACTGCATGCTGTTAAACATATAGTACACAATTAGAATGAGAAGATAATTTGAAGAAAAGTTAATATAAACTAATTCCATGTTAATATAAACTATACCATGAAGGTATAGAAATTTGCAAACCCCCTGCATTTTATGTTGACAAATTTAGTGGTACCTGGTTCATAATTACTCAGAACACAGTTCATTTTAATAGGATTTAAAATGCTTGTCAATAAGCCATCTCTTTGTGATGGGAACTCCTGGCTGATTCCAGCTGGGGTTATCCTTTCTCTGCTGACTAGTTGTTTTATTACAGTATTATTATTTGAATTTTTGTTTCCTGTAGACCTGCTACACCATTATACTCATCATTCATTCATAAGTTATATTTCCTAGCAATCAAGTGAATATTTCTGGAAAAGTTTGAGTGGTCAGTGGGAAGTGAATGTCTGAAAATAAAAGATTATAGTACAGTATTGTGTTTGGTGGATGGATGATTTCCATCCGAAAAAGGGAGATCATTTGTTTGTGAATGATTTCTTTGGGTGTAGGTGTGGACAACAGACCAGGCAGGAGATGGCAATGAATGCAAGGACTCCCAAAATGTGTTGTAGCAGCCATATCATATAGTAGCTACTTAAATTAACCTCAAGAAGTCCATGTACTATACATAGCATCTGCAACATATTCCCAGGAATTCCATGAAATACTTATAACATCCAACAGATACCTGGCAAGGTTTCCCATCAACAAATTTACAAGTAACCTAAGTCAAAAACAGAGTCAAGTGGACAGGCAAATAAGGCCACAAAAATTATTACTGAAAGCAACGTTAATATTCCAAAGCCAAAGCTGATGATAAATCGGTAAAATGTAACATAAGGTTACCAACATAGATGTACTGTACTGTATTTTTAAACCCAATTTATCAAATCCTTAAAACACTAAACTAAAAGATATGAGCCTTGAAAAAAGTATAAATTTAATTGAAATATAATTTCCTATTCTTTTTATTGCATAAACATATATTATCCTGCACAGAAACATGATTGTGATGCCAGGGTTATTGAAAGATGATGCACTAGTTGTCAAGATTATCACTCACTTCCCTATGAATGCAGCACGGGGTCTCAGCTCCTTCAGTGCTCTCATTGTACTTATGCGTCATGACTCTGGCCTTCCTGTTGCGGTTAGTACTGCCATTTTAATTTCGCAAATTACTTACAGGAGTCTAAAAAATTAAGAGAAGTGGAGATGGATAATGTGAAAGCAAAAGAAGAGAGGAACACTATAGTATTCCTACGAGCTCGCAAGAGGAATGTCCTGTTAATACCCAAATGTTTTCATTCCTCTATTTGGCAATACTTCACTTTTTAAAATTTATTAACATATTTACTCACCGACATATTAGCTAAACCAATGCTCACTTCTAACGTATCCTTAATTAATATAAATCTTTCTTGAACTTTATATCAGCTGAATTTTGATTTAATAGTTTCCACACCTTGGTAACATACTATTCATCAAAGCCTTTCAATCATTTGGATGTTACAGTTTAAAACGACTGATAATATTGATTGTTGTTATTTTTTATTACTGTATTTACTACCCGTACTTGGAAAATATTAAAGTTAAATATATAAAAACACTAAAAATAAATTAATTAATCTCTTCTAGCTGTAATGAGTGATAACTGATAAACTGCAATGTCTGGGGACTAAATTTTTTAAATGGTCATTAGCTCCACTGTTAACCCCTTTGGCTAGGAAAATCAACAACTGACACAATATTCTCCTAATATTCTCCTGCAGTACTGAAAGAGACATGTTATCAAATTTCCCGCAAAATCTTCAATGTTTATAGTACTTTGTGGAAACATAATCTTCTCACGACACTGAAAATTAGAAATAAGCATAATGATACATGTTGCCATCTGTTGACAACAACCCAAAGCACTGCACCTCTCGTACCACCAACCACCCCTTCTCAAGACACATTTTACTAGAATTAAGCTATTAATACAATTTTTTCATATTTTCTACATAGCTTACATAAGTTAAGGTGTCATACAGATCATAACATGTATTAATCATTAATTCAGCATCACTAACATAAAACCATAGATTTAATTTAAGTACTGTACATTCAATTAATTTAGCTTTTTATAGTCCTGAAGACCCTACTTAAGGCCACCTCTTTCTTTAGATCCTTCAAGGTGAGGCTATCACAGAGTTAAGAACAGCTGCAGCTTCTGCAGTTGCAACTCGTGAGATATTGCAAGGAAGGAAAGGTAAGATTATACAGTAGTCTAGTAATAAGAGAATTGCCTTAAATCTTGAAAGTATGCCAGGGGTCTGGGGCCGGAGCAAGCCCCAGCTGGGTGCTGTCCACATGATCTATTAGAGATCCAGCAGGTGAGCTCCTAGAGGTTTTTGAAAATAAACGTAAGTGTATGTCTGGCTTGCCTTTATCTGTTTCTTATGTGTAAGCCAATAGCGCATAAATGAATCTCTAGGAAGTTCCAGTGCTTGAAGTAATTTGAACCGCATTCATCATACCCTTGCTGTTTCACATATTGTGAAACTATGAATGCTCAGAATAAGAGCTTGTTGAAAATATCAAGCACTGAAAAGAACAAAATGCCTACTTCTGGAGGGTCTCTCAGTAGCTCGCTGAGCTTAAGCACTGGTACTGAAAAGCCTTAGGAAATTGCACCAGGCCTCCAATAATCTCCCCTAATCTACTGGGATAAGAATTTGTCTCTGATCCCAGGCTTCCTTTGCCTCAGAGGGAGAGATGATTATAATAAAAAAAGGGGGAGGGGGCAAACTGCTTTTTTAATTGCTTGAAGTTAAAATAGTAACCCCTGAAGAAGACAAGACGATCATTATTAGAAGGTCACTATCCTATCTGTGATACACCTGACTGCCACCAGATAGCAGCCGTGGTAACCTGGGGTCCTGACCAGCTGACCATCTCACTTACGAGTGTCAGAATAGAACTCCAAAACCCTCATGGGGAAGAAAGTATCGGCAGAGACGAGGAACTACCGAGAGGCCTACCAGAAAAGGCCGTTTTATTACACAGAATGCTTGACTTCTGGGAGTCAATGGTGTCTTGGCTGAGGAGGTAGACTTTTCTGAAAGAGAAACAAAAGACCATTAATTAAACAGAAAAGACAGTGTTGACCTGTGGAAGAAGAAACCAGGAAAGCAGGACCTGGGGTAGAGGAGCAGAAGCAACATGCCAAATGGGAGAAGACAAACTCAGGAACCAGTGGGCACACGTATCCAAGTACTGGTGAGCTCATGGGCTGTGCACAAATGGGCACTGAATAAAAACAAGACATGCTTTTGTCCCAAAAGAGTTTGTTGTTCTTTCTTACATCTTTTATTTTATCTTCATGCTACATGCCTGAAAATATTTTAAATGATCCTTTGCTTATATTTTTAGCTACTTACTTTTAATTCATAATTAATTCATAGTGATTTGAATTCATACTGCATGGATTATTGTCCAGGTGCATAATCTTACTTATACACTAATCTAATTTTACTGCAAATAAATTAAGACTACTGTATACTGTTCTAATCTATTTGCAGTAAGATCATGGTCTATACTGAGAGTAGAACTTTGTTTTTGCAAGTCTGGGATGCAATTAATTTAACATTTGAGTACAGTAGGTGGTATTGATACTGTAATATTTTTGTAAACATATTATCTTTGAATATGAAATCTAGAGACTTTTTCCTAAGTTGTTTCTACTGTCTGTTGACTTAAGGTGAATTTGCCTCCGAGCTAGCTCATCAGTTTCTATTTTATATACTGCATTCCTTCAAAGAGCCAACACTCTTTCCTCATGCTTCTTAATATTTTAGACCTGGATGAGAGTGGCATTATAGTTGCAGTTTTAGGAGCTGGGGCACAAGGTCGTTCACATGCCCGTGTTATGGCACACATCCTTAAGCCAAGAAAGGTAAGTCACACATTTAAGCATAAAACTTGTATAGAATATGCAATGCAAACCAACCTGCAATACTGGTTGATATAGCAGTATATAACATTGTATAGTATAAATCAAAGTGTGTTTGGATGCTTAATTACTGAAATATCTGGGAAGAAATACTGTATTGTAATATATAACAGTATATATTATATATATAATTTATTTATATTTAATGTTAATAGATCATGATTTGGGCAAGAAGGTTGGAGGCATCCCAAGAGTTGTGTGAAACTCTTAACTCTGAAGGAATACCTGCAGAAGTTGCATCTAGTATACAGGAAGCAGTCAAAGATGCTGATGTGATCAACTCGTGCACTGCAACTTCCACTCCCATCTTGAAAGCTGAATGGGTTAAACCAAAGGCACACATAAATAGTTAGTAAAAATTAATGCATAGGAAATAAGAGCTACAATGACAAGCTTTTACTTAATTTTACACTTCAAAATCTTGTATATTTTCACTCTATTTACTGTCTAGATACTCATTTAAGAAATTTTTTTATTTTTATTTTATGATATTTATTGTAAATAAATATTATATATAATAAAATATAAAATAGTTAGCTAACAGGGTCTTACAATAATTATTTTGAAAATGCTGTACTTATTATTGTTAAGCTAATTCTACTACAAGTTACATATACATTTTGATACCCCATTATTATTTTGTGTTCTAAGGTGTTGGAGCCCCTTCCCCAAATATGCAAGAGATGGAAGAAAACCTGGTACGGGAAGCAACCGTTTATACCGACAGTTATGAAGCTGCCAGGAATGAGTCGGGTTAGTCATGTGATATTAATAACTGTTTAGCTTTTATACTTCTATTTCTATACAGTATGTATAGAAGCAAGAAAATAAAAAGCTTATTCATACTGTATGGTTACAGTGCAATAATCCTAATATATATTATTTCTCTTTTGGCAGGAGATATCATCAAATCTGGGGCTGCAGTGTTTGCCGAAATTGGAGAAGTAATTCTTCAGACTAAACCAGTTCTGCATGACAAAATTACAATTTTTAAGTCTCTTGGTAAGAATAAAATAAAGTAAATGATGGCTCCCAACTATAGTACAGTACTACGTCACATTATCGGTTGAGTTCTGTTTGACTTATTGGGGACCAGAGCCAGAGCCTGGCAACATCACAAGAGGCCAAGAGAGGAAGTGACTGCCACTCCACCATGAAAGCATCCAGAGAGTCAGTGAACAGGTAGACTGGTAACTCTCTGATTGGTACAGTCTGTGTACCAGTCAGACTGGTACAATGTCTGCTGGGTTCAAAGAGACGGAAGCCTAAAAAAAAAAAAAAAAAAAAAAAAAAAAAAAAAATCAAATCTCTCAAAAATGCATGGGCTTGTTAGCACTACCCCACCACTAGTTAGCAGAGGAGAGGAGGGCCTGGAGCCTACGGTGTCATTTGGGGCATGTGACCTTGATGTAAGTGTAAAACAAGCACATAAATACACAGTGCACCCCAACCAGCCAAAAAATTTGCCAAGCAAATGACCCCTGCAGGGCAAAGTCTAAGGCTGGTCTACAATTAGCATACAGACAGCGGGATCTGCATGGCTTGTAGATGACCAGGGAACTCTACGGTGGACCACCAATTGTGTCCACTTCAGCAACAGCTGATGTGGACACATCAGCCTTGGGGGGGGGCTGGGAGAGACCTAGAGCTGCTCTGGGCTTCACCCCCATATGGCAGGGGCTGGGGGAAAGGGAAGGGTGATACTGTAGTGCTAACAAGGTTAGGCTAGTTTAGAAATTTTATTATTTGTTAACATTGTTTGGAAAAGTTTGTTTGGCAGTTTCGAGGCTTACGTTTATTTAAACCCAGCAGTTGTCTGTATTGATTTGGTGACTTTCTGGATGGTTTCCTTGTAAGGTGGGCAAGTGTCATCTTTATGCATATCTGTGCAGGGAGGGGGGGGGGGGTTAGGCTCTGGTTCCCTGTTGGCCAAACACAACTCCATGACTGATGTGACAAAATGGTTGGGAGCCATCTCGGTGAGATAGCTTCAGGGTCTACCCCCAGGAAATGCTTATTGTTCATAGTTTAAATTCACGCATTGTCAACCATAACATTCACACACACCACTAATTATGAAACAATTGGTAATTTATAATAGTCAATTATGCAACACTTTTCCCATTAATAACATTTAAATTTCTTGTTTTCCTAGGTTTGGCTGTTGAAGATGCAGTGTCTGCCCAGCTTGTTTACGAGTTACTAAAATCAGAGGAAAATAAATAATTCAGAAGCAAAAAATACTGTGATTTAAGACTGTTCTCAAGAAAATGAAAATGCTTTAACCATTACATATTAAGACAAAATAAAAATAGGAAAAGTTATTTAGTGAAACTATATGCAATTTGTATAGATAGTTCAATCATTTAATTGTCTAAGAATGTAAAATTATATTTGACACAAAAGTGAATGTGAGAGGGAGAACAGACACTCAACTACAGTATGTCATGTGATGAGATCAAGATTGGGATCAGTAAGTTAAAAGGATGTTTAGTTAAGATTTGTCTCCTCTTCCAGCAACTATAAAAACAAAATAAGATTGTGCTCGTCCAAATGAAGGTTGTAGTTGTGTCACAAGGGGCTTGCCACCTACTGTATATAAAATACATCATATTCCAATCAAATTTAGAAAGTATTATTTTACATTATCATACAGTTCAACATTTAATGCAGACCACATTTCTGGAAACCCTTAAACAGTTGAGGAATTTATGGAAAGGTGATGGAAAGGTTCACAGAAATCTGGTAAAGGAAATTTTATTCCCAAAACTAGCATTGACTGTAATGAAACTCCAATTAATGGGCGAAGCCCTGTGGTTTCCTGAAGCTCTACCCGAGATGGCCCCCTAACTACTAGAATGCATCAGCTGTGGAGATGAGTTCAGCCTTCCGAAGACTAGAGCCAGAACCTGGTCCCTTCAGAGGCCCAGGAAGCAGGTGACACCCCAGCCAACCCATTCGGGAAAGCAACCCGTTCTCACACTAGGCTGTTTAAAGCAGTAGCCGTCCTCCACAGACGCATTCATCAATGGTCTACATGTCCAAAGGTCCAAAGATCAAGCCAGCTCAAGCAGTGCACGAGTAGGCCAGAGGTGAAAGAATGCACGAGAAAGCTTACGAAACAGTGCTGAAGGTATCAACACCAATTGAAGGAACAGCGGCTCTGCCCATGTTGCACGATAGGAGGTAGAAACAGTATTCCAATCAAGAAACAATGAAATAAGTTACATTAGCAAATTCCAGAAACTGTTGTCGAGTTGTGGATTCCTTCTTCTCCAAATGGTTTGATACCATCTATGGAACAGTACTGTATACAAATTACAAGTGCAATGTGCAGACAAGGAATCACAATATCCAAGTGCTATGGATGGCAACCGAGCTCTGCATGTTGTTTCACAGTACAGTACTGTAGTTCTGCCGAGTTGAAGTTCAAAGGCATTTATACAAAATATATTATCAGTGTTCATGTCAGTCAAGTGAGGCTGGTACACATAATATGGCTCTTATCCAGTAGACAAATGGTGGGTTTCATAAGCTACCGTCACCTACCTTCCAGATTAGCAGGGCACACAGGCCACCTTTGGCACAATGAGGCAGTACTCACTGAGAAGTTCTTGCAATCACAAAAAATCATGAAATGGAGCACTATTGAAACTAAACCTCTAAAGCATCATTTATTCTAGACAGAATAAAACATCACACAAAATACATAGTATTTCAATTCAAATGGTTATACTGTACAGCAAAGAAGCTAAGAAAACAATATACTATATAGAAGATGTAAATTAAAATATTTAGATCATTTAGAAAACCTATACATTTTTTCATTACCAAAATTTATTTAAACTTTAATGAAGTTTAGTATTTTAAAATTCTCAATGATTTAAACATAATTAGAGTACTGTATTTCTATACAATGTAACTACTGGTAATTACCTGTAAAGGATAACTGTGCATGTATAAAGATTACAGCCAAAAAGAATACAAAAGTGTAACACTTAAAGCAGTAAGAAAAATTACCACATTTTACAAAATTACTAAGAATTACATTAAAAAAAGCTAGCAACATACAATACTTTTAAAGTTGAGATATGACTTAGGCCAGGTACATAAATCAGTCAGGTTATTGAGCTCCACATTTCCTTTAAGACACAACATATCGATCATCTTACATTCAGGTCCCTAATTACAGCTAGGTGCACAGAAGCTTACAATGAAGATATAGTGCCTAATCATTCCACCCTGCCCAGGATTTGAACTAGAGTTATTCTAATTTACAGTAAAAATAAATTTTATTACGTCAAGAGTTGGCTGGTATGTTGAAGATTTACCTGGGCTCAATAAAATTAGCCTTGGTAAATTTGCATTGGGATTATGATACAGTGTGTGACCTAAAAAATCCTAAAGTCAATATAACTGAAACCTCAGAAATCTAAAAACATTTTGCTATTGGAAAAAATGTATCGTATCCAGAAAAAATAGCTGGACCAACTTGCCATCTTAATTACTCGAGGTTGAACAATTTGTCCAGATATGTAAGCGGTATATCAAATAGAATCAAATACAGAAAAAAATTGAATGTAATGAAATGCCAGTTTTTGGGCAAGCCCTGGAGGTTACCTGAAGAGTTTCTTTCATCCTGATGCCCCTGTTACCTAGCAATAAATAGGTACCTGGGAGTTAGACAGCTGCTATGGGCTGCTTCTTGGGGGGGGGGGGGTAATAAAAAGGAGGCCTGGTCGAGGACCGGGCCGCTGGGACGCTAAGCCCCGAAATCATCTCAAGATAACCTCAAGATACTGTATTGTATTTATTTTTTATATAGTTTTAGGCAAAAGACAAAGGAAAAATTCTGTAAAATCTCAAAACTAAAAAGAAAAAATTAATTAAATTGTTTGGAATAATATTGTCTAGATTTTTGAGGTTGTACTGTACAGTACTGGCTTTAAACTACTAAAAATAAAACCCTTAGTTATGGACCCTAATACTACGACTAAAATTACAATCAAGTAATTTATTTGTACATAATAATTCCCTTTCCATTTCCTCAATGTATCATTTAAGTGATCTTAAGGAATTTTTAAGTGTTTAATTATCACAGGCTAACATACATAAGTACAGTACATAATTAGTTAATAAATAACACCACTTTAGCTGTAAGAATTGTTAACCTCTGCGCTGCACACCTTTTAAAACGACATTCCCGTGGTGCGCCAAAAATAAATTCTTCCAAAAAACAGTATTTTTCCTTTTGGTATTGTTAATTAGCATCCAGGAAGCATGAAATTCCAAGTAAAAAGTCTCTTGTAGTTTAGCTGTAACCCATAGTTTTACCTTTAACTTTAACCCCCCAAAAAATTGATGCACTAGCAATTTAAATATGTCACACAACTACAGTACTTCAGAGAGCTTCAAGAATCCAAGAAAAACAATTTATTAACAAAACAAATGGGAAAAAAACTGCGTGTTGACAGGAGCAGTGCGAGGGTTAATACAGCACTAGTAACAGTATGATCTGATGTTCATAACCCCTTGGTCAACAACATACACTGTACTTTCATACAAAATTCTTAAATACAGCAACACCTATTATATCAATATGAATTCTTAAAGCAGTGGTCTGGAGTCTTTATTGTCAACAATTTCTAGAGGACTTCTTTTCATTTTACACTTAGGCATTTTGGCAATTAACAGTACTAAGGTATATACAGCATTTTATACTTAACTAACTTTGGAATTACATTTACATGTACATTTTAAACTTAACTGTCTTTGGAATTATGTTTATATGAATAAGCATTAAATAGAAACTGCTCTTTGGGCAGAGATTCCAAGCTTCTATATAGATATAAGGCAATAATAATGTCCTATCTTTCCCTGTAGATTTACATGACCTAAGCCTGCATAATTTAGGCTTACAACATCAGATGCACTTTAGAAGCCTTAGCAGGACAGATTCTAAAGATACAAGTGAATCAGGATTAAAATAGTAAAGCAATGGTAAGATTCCCTTGTGGAGAATTCAAAAGGGAAGCCTTGTACATAAGTGAGACAGAAGCATTCATTGAGTTACAATGCTCCTATCTTTACCATTGCAAAATAATACAGCAGATCCTTCAAAGTTAGCTTATGCCTGGATGGAATTTGCAGAGATCTCAGTTCTTAAGTGATATGGTCATGGAAACCATTTTTCCTTATATTCTAATGACTGACAAAAATCTGCGATGAATGCAAATTACAAAGTCCCAGAGAAGAAAATAAATTAAGAGATAGTTCAGTTGTACTGCATTAGACATTTATGCTTACACCTTAAAACTTAAAAAGAAGAATTCAGCCTGTATCAATAAAATGTGAAAATGCAATTACCTATATGAAAAACTAAACTTGCATATGTTTACATATATTTAAAATTAGTCATTTCCAAATGTAGTCAGCCAATAAAGTGGATGTGTAGATGCAGTAAGAAATATATGCATCTGACAACTTTTTATACATTTCTCTCTCTACCATACTTTAAAAATAAAATCCCTCTGGCATCTCCCACAAATTTTCTACTTTTAATATATACTTTCTGGGTTATTTATGATCTCACTAAATGCCAATGCCCTCATTATTAATATTTTAAGTATTACTAGAACAATTTACCAAGATATCCATTACTGAACTTCATTTTGAGGTCCAGTTATCATCCAGGACAATGTATCACTGAGAGGATCAATTACCTAAAAATGTTATGACTGAACAATTCAAAATTTGAGATATCAAGGTTGAATTCAGATTTAGGCTTACACACCCCAACACTTCTGGTGAGCATAAGTCAGCACTGCTGGTGTGCATAGATCAGCACTACTGACCTGGTCATTTTTGTTCATATTGCTCAATGAATTAAAATGGTTTTCCAATTTTGTTTCCTGGCCCTGGGGCAGAGTCGAAGTCCTCACCCACCACCTGGGGTCAGAGAAGCGAAGTCCAGAGGAGAGGTTTCAGAAGAAGGGGCTGGATAGAAGAAAAAAAAAACAAGGTGGGCAACATCTCAAATTCTGGGTCCCTAAACATAAGATGGACCAACTACAAGGCATTCAACCAGGCACAAAACTGCAAACACTGAAGGTGGACAAAATGAATCTGCAACAGGTGACTGCATATGATTCAGTTTTAAGGTCAGAAAGAAGAGTCACATGAGGAAAACAAACCACACAGGACTCATGGTTGTAGGTGCCACTGACCCAACTGGCAGCATGGAAGAGGCAGAAAGAATTATCATCACTCCGTAGTATGGCCGACAAACAGGCTTTAAACTTACACAAGATGAGAGCATGTTCGGAGCGACATACAAAGGCCACATCAAAACCTGCAAGGGATTACCAGGGCCCAAAGGACTAACCAAACAGGGTACCAAAGCACCAGGGATGCTCGCCAAAAATTATATAAGCAGACAGATACAGATTAGTTAACAACTGTGAAGGCCTACCTCTGTGCCCCAACCACCAAAATTGTTTGCCCCAACTACGGGTCTAGGCAGAGACCAAAAGGCCCTTGAAACACTGCACTCAAAGTAAGGTCCCCACGCTGAGAGGTTGAGAGGTGGGACCAAAGAGCTGAAGCTCAACCCCCACAAGCACAACTAGGCGAGTACACGAGGGTGCTAGGGAGCACCCAAGGAAGGGAGCCCTAAGCACATGCAGCTCCAAGTGCCAAACAAGTCAGGTCCACATAACACAAACTGGACAGAAAACCCATTCATAAAGCTAACTAAAATTTAGAATACCACCAAGCAAATAGCCCCTAAAGGACAAAGTCCTAGGATACCAGCACTTAGCTTAGTAGCAGCGAGACCAACATGGCCGATTGATGACCCACGGACCCGACAGTTGGTATCGCTGGTGTCCACATCAGCAACTGAACAGGTATGAAGGACCAGGGGAAGACCTGGAGCTCCATTGTTTCCTCCCTGGTGGTGGGTTAGCACTGACGAGCCTGCACTAGTTTAAAGAGATGCAATCATTTGTTTAAATTGTTTGTAGAGTTCATTTGGCAGTTTCAGTCCACTGCTTTGAACCAAGCAGTGGTCCGATTTGGTTCTCTGACTTTCTGGATGTCAAAGTGTCACCTGCTCTCTGCATCTCTGTGAGGTGGGTGGGAGGGGAGGTCCTGCCTCTGGTCCCCAGTAGACCCAATAGAACTCTGTGGTTGAAGTGACCTGGTAGTTGGAACCATCTCAGTGAGACAAATTCAGGGTCCCACATGGGGCTACCCCAGAAACTAAGTGACTTGTTCAAAAGTGCTTTTCATTACATTCAAGAAATTATTTTTTGTTAATTATAACTGATACAAATGTATAAATAGACAATATTATCTCACTTTTATCACTATATTTCTTAGAATTTTGCCACATGGAAAAAGAAAAAAAAAACATTTTAAATGAATAATCATCTCTATTTTTGAAGCCAATAACCTGAAATACATTAACTTTTTAAGAATTAAAATGAAACATGACGTGCAAGTTATTCAACTTCTCATTATGAAATATTAATAATTCAGGTGCATGTACAAATATTTAATTGAATGGCACAAGCTATATGACTAGATACATCAAATATATTTTGGAAACAAATAACTGCGGGACTTATTAAGATTCTTATAATATGCCACAATGGAATGTTATTTATAAAAACCAAATCACCATTGAATATACAACATTTTTATTCATTTAATATGCATTATTGGTTCTTATTTTCCAGCTCATCCTCCTAAAATGAAAGTACTTATATTAACAATGTAATCGATCATACAAATATGGACATGACGGACTAATAGAAAGTAGAGACTTCTGTATTATTGAATTTGGACAAACTGTAAAAGTTTGTATGTTGTACGTATGTTGCTAATGAAACCTAACCTAACCATCCTAGGCCTAATACACACTATCTGAGATCTAATATAATAAATATATGTGCTATACTAAACCTGGGAATATTTAAGTTTGCTTTTTAGCTTTATTTTTTCCAGAATATAAAATTAATACTGTAGGATCAAATTCTACTCTATATTTGTCTATCATGTTGATATTTGGACAAATGTCCACATAGTTACAAAATGTACCATCTTATCAGTAGATTGGGTTATTAATATCTGTACAGGAATTTCTTTGGAAATGTTAATTTTGTAAAATGTATTATCCATTTTTTTTATATAATTGCTCAAAATCTTGGCTATTTTGAAGTTTACTTTTCAAATATCTTTCCCTGTCTATTTATCAAATCCTTAAACAATTCTCTGCACCTTAGGATCTTTGTGTGTCTCTTTTCATAAAATGTTATGATCTTTTTATTTAATGATTTTATGGGCTATTTTCCCTAGTGTACCTTAATTTCACTTTAATCAGGAGTTCCTTGTTCTGATTGTGACATTTTATTGGTAACACTTCTTGAGTCTTCAGCTTTGAATTGTCTTGTATATGTATAGCAAACTGACATAATTTATTCACAATGAAAGCAATGATCGATCAACAATTTAGTAATATACTGTACGAAACTGATATTGAATGATGCAAATATAATTGAAACTCGATTTTTATCTTGGGTCTAAACCACTATGAATTTTCACATTCCTAAGTCTGTCACCATCACTGGATGGCTGTCACTATGCTACCCAAAGAGAAAATCAAGTACTGTACTGTATTGTACCCAATAATACCCCAAATATAGAGGAGACATTACTTACATCATTCTACACACAAACTTATCTATATTACTTACACAACAAATATTAGTCATCTACTAAATGTTCTAAAGGTGGCCCCATTCTTCTAGAAATTTAAATTGTCAAAAATGTTTGTTTGATTTCTACCATTTCAGAAACGGTTCATAATATAAAAGTAGTATTAACTTACCTAGTACAAAATAGTTTGATTTTTAAATCCTTGAATTGACTTATAATTATTTTTAGAAGTTGACCGAGTGTCACTTCTAGATATAGGAACCCTATTTTGACCTTTAATTACAAGTTCCAGCTCCATAAAGTCACACAAACGTTGAACATCTTTATCATTTCTGAGACGGGTGTTTGGAAGTTTCCTGCAAATATTAAGAGCAAAATTAATAATAAACTGCTTTTATAATTGCTATTATGAATATTCGCAAATGTGGATCTGTTATTCACAACTGGTTTATGTTATTACTAAATAAAATGAAATATCTCATTAAGTGAACAAACCTTATTCTTTCCACTAACTGGGGGTTTACTGCCAGTTCTTTGCAACATGTTGTTAGTAGATGACTATAATTTATTTGAGCTCTCTGGAATTCCACTTCAATGAAGTCTGGGTCATCTGTGTTCGCCACCCTCACTTTTAACACCAGTTCTGATAATTGAAACAATATGTCTTAATAAACAAGATCTATATCATTCTTATTAGTTTAAGTATTTATTCTACTAACCTGTGCCTAAGAATACAAACTTACCATATTATGTAACTAGTTGAGCAATATTTATCATCTCCAAATTCACTATTAAAATACATCTTCATTATTTTAATACAGTATCAAAACTTTATTTCCTTGTGTACAAGGAATATCACCTTTTTCCACTAAAGCATTCTAATAGGCTACATACTTCTGTTTTGGAAATTATATCTCTTTTTCTTTTCAACCTGTCAATTCTTTCAAGACATTAATTGGATACGAGCTCTATCTGATGAAAAACAATATTAAAGGTTATTGCCTTAAGGATCAAACTACCATAACTTTAAGCAGCTAGGAAAAAAATAATACTGTATACCCAAGTCTTGTTACTCATTGTACACACACACACACACACACTATAATGTACTTATCACACATAATAGTAAAAATTACCTTTGTTTTGCCTTGCAAAATAATCATAGCTGGAAGGTGGGTAGGGTGCTGGCCCTGAAACTGCAGCATGATTTATGGTATTTTGATGGCCATTGCCTTCTGCTAATCCATTAATGATGGGCTTTGCAGAGATATTTTTACCACCGACTGAAACTTTGTAGTCCATGGGTGGGTGTGCCATATAATTTGGTGTTATGGGAAGAGAATCAGGGTTTGCCGCTGTTCCGTCATTAGAGAGAGTAACCTCTGCACCTAAACAGAAAGTGAAATCAGGTTATAAACTAGTTATTTTTCTATAGCTTATAGATAAGCAGATAACTGACCCTTTTCCCTATGCCAATTTACCTAACATATTTTGAATTAACTGTATGAATGGAATGCATTAAAAAAACCAGTGTTGACTGTTAAGAAATGCCTCTTTCTGGTGGATCCATCTATATCCATCACCTCATGTTCTATTTAAAACCATATTTATATTCCTTTTGTTATACTCTTTCATCTCTTAATATACTTTAATCATATCACCCATTATTTTTAATTTTTATTGAGAATGTAAATTAAGCAATTTTTAATCTCTCTTCCTATGGAGTTTCGAATTTCTGGAATTAACTTTGTCATCCTCCTCCTCTGTACAAGTTTAATTGAATTTATATCCATTCTATAGACTTGTAGCAAAAAACAGCCTAATATAAATAAAGCCTAACATGGGTAAGATAAAGCTCAGGAATAATATTAGATGTTTTGTTGCTAATGCTTCTAGAAATAAATACAGTACCAGTATCCTATTGTTATCTTTTTTGTGCATTTATGCATTATTTATATTTTCCTTAAGATCCCTACTGATCATGACTCCCACATCATTTCAAATAAACTTAAAAGGACTAATTTTTACACAACTGTAAATATCAATAATTTTTATTATTGTATCTAGCTACTGGAGACTTTAGCCTATAAAAAATAAACCACGAGTCGCAAATAAAAATTATATCATTCTGTCACGTGCAGAATTTGAATATTTCTGAAGGTCAATTTAAAACAGTATTAACAAAATTATTTATACCAAGATTAATGAAAAATTCCTGAGGTCCCATGAGAATACATTAATGGGAATAAGGTTTTCCCCATGCTTATTAAACTGTCCTCTCACCACACTTAGCTTTGTACTTAGTTGAGGAGGGTTCATAACTGGACCATAATGAGTACTGCTCTACGCTAATACCATACATAATAATAAGGCATTAATAAAAAGAGAGTAATACCAAGTAGTTGCAGAATCTGTGGATTATTTGTCAGTTGAGCTGGTGTTTGTGACTGGTTATTTTCTATTTCTGGGTCAGCCCCATTTGCCAAAAGTAAACGGACTGTTTCAATATTGCCTCTCTTGCAAGCCCAGTGTAAACCCGTCCTGAAAATATATTACAGTAATGTATTAATATCACTAGAGGGAGGATAACGTCTAATAAACTGTAACTCAACTAAATTCTGATAAACATTATTCACAATATATAGGGCTACGGGTACAGCTGAAGGACCTGAACCCGAGACAAATAGGAACATGCCAAAATACACCTCAAAGATCCTGGGATGTCATCCATACAAAAGGTTGGACAGGGAATGAAAAGGCTGAGAGGCCAAAAATGAACCCAAATTTCTGAAATTCCACTTGGGGAAGCTCTAATTTCTTAGGGGATGAATCCTTTCCAACTTTTCAGGTAAAACTACCCCCCTGACTCCAACATAGATTCCATCCATGTATCCAATATAATTCCAGATCTATAAGCTTTCTAAAACCCGCTTAGACTGTTACACTAACATATAATAGTGTGCAACCAAAATATTAGAGACTTGCCAGCCATTAATATCATGTTTACTGTTTATGTTGATGCCTCTGGAAACCAGTGTCAGGATAGCTTCATTGTCACCATAACAACATGCTTCTCGTAGCTTTTCTTCATTCTGCTTCTGGAGCTCCATTCCAGGTCAATCTTAATGATAAAAAATAAAAATAAAATAACAATTAGGTTTATTCTCTTAGTAATATTATGTTTACAAATACCCAGTGTTGAATGTAATGAAACACCTCTATTTGGTAGAACCCTGGTGGCTTCCTGCAGCTAACTCACTGACATTGCTCCATACCACAAGTTGCATCAATTGCAAGAGTTCTGTTTGGCCTACCGGGGACCAGAGCCAAACCCTGAACCCTCCCCACACAGGTGCTGACAGCAAATGACATTCTGCCATTACACTTGGAAAACAGCCAGAAAATCAGCAAAGCTTAACGCACAACTGCTGGGTTCACTTTTGTATACCACACTTTGTACTGTGCTTCACATTTTCTTAACTAGGGATACAATCAAACTGTTTACATGCAATTGACTTGGAGCTCATTTTAAATTTTTTCCAATAGTATATGGGCTATCATTAGTTTTGACTAGGTTAGGTTAGGGTATGGTCAAATTGTACACAAGACTCATTTTCCAACTGTCAAAACCATATATATTGTTGGGTTAGGATATACTGGCTTAGGTTATGCTGTGTTAGCTTCAGTTGAGTTAGGTTGGTTTGGGTTAGATTAAGTTGGGCAAGGTTAGGTAGGTTTTAAAATCTGTTAGCGAACTGTCTTGTGTTCGATGTGACTTGCATCAATTTAGTTGTGTTAGGTAACATTAGTGTGGTTAACACCGAGTTTTGTTATGTTAGGTAATGTCACGCTGGGTTAGGTTAAGCAAGTCAAGATAATGATAAGCTAGTATATATGAGTAGGCTATATAGCAAAGATATGCAAGTAAATTTGATATACTGTAATTCTATTATGAACTGCCTGTGCGCAAAGTGACACAGGCAGTGTCTCGTTCAGTTCATTTATTATGCACCTCATACCCATTTTATGGGTGGTAGTGGCAAACATAACAGAAGAATGTGGCTCTGACCAAATTCAAATTTATCACACACCATTTGATAAAAGCACACCATTTATCAAGGTAAATAAGAGGGGCGGGGGACCTTAGACAAGTCACCGGCTTCCGATGGTTGAGGTCGAGGCCACTAGGGTTAGTGGCCCTCTGGTAAATCATGTAAAATGATAAGTGATGGCTCATGAGGAAACCACCCCCACCATCCCCCAAGATGGGGATATTAGATGAATGTTGACCTAGTTTTTGATCTACTCCTTGTAATCTGTCAAATAGAATAGGGTTGCAAGACATTGCTGTGTCTACCTAAGCTGGTAAATAATAAGAAAAAGTACAGTACATCAGTACAGAAGAGAAAACATTTACACTAAAGTGCCACGATAACAAAAACAAAATAACACGGTGTAATGACAGCCTAGGGGTGTAATGACAGCCTAGGGGTGTAATGACAGCCTAGGGGTGTAATGACAGCCTAGGGGTGTAATGACAGCCTTGGGGTGTAATGACAGCCTAGGAGTGTAATGACAGCCAAGGAGTGTAATGACAGCCTAGGAGTATAATGACAGCCTTGGGGTGTAATGACAGCCTAGATGTATAATGACAGCCAAGGCCCTCTGATGTAACTTAAACCACACACTTACAAATCAACACTTCACACGTAAACAAACTCACTTGTAACCGAGATGGCAAGAGATAAAAAGCTCCTCAAGAAAGCGTAACTAGACCCTTTTACAGCCTCAACAGGGTCAAAGAACACAAACTAGACTTAGCAGTGAACCGTTCTGCACGTGGCGGTCGTATTCCTTGCACATTTAAATATATATGGGAGAGAGAATGGAGGAGAGATGAGAAAAGTCAGGTGTGTTGTTGTGTTGATTTAGGGGCGACGACGATCGTGGGATCGGATGCGCCCAAAAAAGTCAGGTGTGTGTGGCGGGGTCCAGGCGGCCATGGACGCGTTCACACCACTAAGTCAGAATTAAGATTATAGAAAACGAAGCAGAGCTCATGGTGCTCTGCTTCGGTGCTCACTATTGAGTTGTGGTGCTCATTATTGAGTTGTGGTGCTCATTATTGAGTTGTGGTGCTCTTTATTGAGTTGTGGTGCTCGCCATTGAGTTGTGGTGCACACTATTGAGTTGTGGTGCTCACTATTGAGTTGTGGTGCTCACTATTGAGTTGTGGTGCTCGCTATTGAGTTGTGGTGCTCACTATTGAGTTGTGGTGCTCGCCATTGAGTTGTGGTGCTCACTATTGAGTTGTGGTGCTCACCATTGAGTTGTGGTGCTCACCATTGAGTTGTGGTGGTTTTTCTCTGTTTTTTTCATCTGGTTTTTGTCTTAGGTTGTCTTAATTATTTAAGTTAATTAACATATACCTTTACACAGATAAAGTTTTTAAACGAATTAGCATGATGCACATATATACATTTAGCACTTACAACAATTACAGTATCTACAGTCTCGTATCTCATATATCAAATGTTTATTAACTGTGCATAGCCTAGCTACTAATTCTGAACACTATGGCAACATGCAAGTTTGCAGTGATATATAATGATAAGCCAGGTTACACAGGCGGACCACCTGTATATAAATATTTTTGCGAAACGCGGCTCGTCTCGTTTCCATGGCAACGTTGTGTACACACCTCCACACACACCTACACATACCTGAGCGTGTTGTGGTGCAGACCAGCAGCAGCTCACCTGTGCAGGTGTAACATTTCCACAGTAACATGTCTTACAGAGAGTTAAGAAGTAAGTGTTGTTTTGTTGAATTAGTTAGTATGAACCCCAAGTTAGTCACACAATGGGTTCAGGATCTAGAACACAATGTTCTTTAAGTTAAACAGTCTGTACGGTTGTGCTGAACTAGTGCAGTAATATTTGATTTATCTATGATGCATCTTGATTTACCTATGAGACATCATAATTCTCAGATCTTTTAAAGTGTAGATGTTTCAAATAAAATTCTTCAGTTCTTGAATCCTTTTTTATTAATTTTGTATGTGTGCTATTCTTATTACAGCATGTGTGGATTTTTAAGTCTGATTAATTATTGACCTTGAGAGTTTATTCTTCATTTTAAAAGCACTTAGCATGATCTTGTTTTTATATATATTTTCAAGTCTGGGGTAATATACTTTTAAAACAAATAGATTAAGAAAGCTCTGTGCTCTGTGCTTCAGACTGTGTGGAGATGCTTCGGGCTCTGGGATTCAAGCGCCTCATCTCAGTCGAAAATTTCCGCAGCCCGAACTTTCCCCTGGTGGCCGAGATCTTGGGCTGGCTTGTCCATCGCTTCGAGCCCACGGCAGACCTTCCCACAGACATCGACACGGAGCAAGACAGGGTTATATTCGTCAGGTCCGTCGCTCAGTTTATGGTAAGGCATGCGCAAACTGTTTATAGTAAGGCATGAGCAAACAGTTTATGGTAAGGCATGAGCAAACAGTTTATGGTAAGGCGTGAGCAAACAGTTTATAGTAAGACGTGAGCAAACAGTTTATGATAAGGCATGAGCAAATCGCACATAAATTCATATCCTCAGATATTTTTCGTCTGAGTGAATTTGGGAAAACAACCGTCCTCTATTTATTTATTTATTTATGCATATACAAGAATGTACATAAGGAATGTGAGGATACAAATATGGTAATTACAGTCTTGTAAAGCCACTAGCACGCGCAGCGTTTCGGGCAGGAATGTCCTCCTAAAATGATAGTACCTATGGTAACTATTTGGTCGAACTACACTGGTGGAGTGTGGCATATTAGGCCTAAGGTAGCATGCATTAGGTCTTGGATTGCTTGGAGAGGTTAGGTTAGGTTCTTTATTTACATTTCCAGTTTAACAGAATGCCACTTGGGCTAATTCAGAAAGAGAAAACGTGAAGTTTTGGGGTTCCAGCAATATATGTTGGAGCGTTGACTATGCTAGAAGTACTATCAGTTTAGTGCAGTTATGTATTGATAAGCGCTTGTGATTGATAAGGTATATTCGTGGGATTGTTGTCGGCAAGAAATATTTAGTGATTGTTGTTTATCAAGATATATCCTCTTGATTGTGGCTGATAAGCTATATTCGTGGAGTGTTATGAGTAAGCGTTTGCCCGAGTTTGCCCGAGTTTGCCCGAAACGCATTGCGTAATAGTGGCTTTAGGCATTGTATGTACTAGCTCTATCTATATATCAATCCATTAATGTAACATCACTTGTATGTATATACCTTACCTGAATAAACATCTGAATCTGAATCTGAATCTGAGTAAGCAATATTCGTGCTTGATGTTGGCAAGATATACTCGTATGATTGTGGTTATTAATATATTTTCGTGCGCTTGATAATTGGTGAGATATTCTCGTGCACTGGTGGAGTGTGGCTGCGTCGTGCCTTACGTACTCCTAATAACCGTGCACTGGTGGTGCTTCCTGGTGCAGGCGGCGAAGGCTCACGTGCGGCTCAACACCAAGAGACTGTACCAGGCCGACGGGTACTCGGTACAAGAGATCCTGAAGGGCCTCAGCTTGCTGTACGCCGCCATTCAGGAAAACGAGGGCGAGAAAGGCCTTGAGGACCAGGCGGAGATCACTCTCAATTTCGACGTCTCTAACAAGGTGAGGTCCCTTTCTTCTCTCTCTCTCTCTCTCTCTCTCTCTCTCTCTCTCTCTCTCTCTCTCTCTCTCTCTCTCTCTCTCTCTCTCTCTCTCTCTCTCTCTCTCTCTCTCTCTCTCTGTAGTTAGTAAGCTGACCTGTGAGAGAAATGGGGGGTTGTAGGAAGGAGGGGGACCATTAGACGAGCCATTACTCTAGTACAACTAATCTGGATGTGTTGCTATGTGAATTAACGTGTTGCTATGTTCTGCAGATCTCTGAGCTCAAGCACATCAGGTCCTTAGCCTCTGAGATCACGAGAAGAGGAGCCACTCTCTATGACCTCCTGCGAAGGGAGGTTGACCTCAGGGTAGGTCAAATATATTATTCATAGATATATATAATGAATATTTCGGGATATATAATATCTATGACATTTCGGGCTCCTATTGCCTAGTTTTCTACGTGCCTATATCTTGAACTTTTCTTGTATTGACTAGTGGTCCCGCCTCATACAGGAAATCCGTACCAACATCATCAACAGACAGCTGGAACTGACGGAAGTGGAGACAGGTATCCAGGCCGCCATCTCCTCCTGTGAGGAAGAGGGCAAACGCAACCAGATCGCCATAGAAAACGTAGGCTCCGATGAAGCTAACCTGGACGCTAAAATTGAAAAGAAGAAAACGGGACTCGAGCGGGGACAAAAGAGACTCCTAACCTTGAAGAAAGTCCGGTGCGTCAAACTAATTTATGGTTTACTAGTGGGTAACCAGGTGTGCCCGGGTATTTTTTTTTCACCCACCCTTCCTCACTCCCCCCATCTCTTCCCCTCATCTCTAAATTCCCTCTCTTCCCATCTCCTCCATCTTCTCCCTCTCCTACTTTCTCCGCTCTCCTCTCCTCTCCCCTCCCTCCTTCTTCCTCATCCTCTCCTCTCTTCTCCCTCCTTTTCTTCCCTCTCCTCGCCCTCCTTTCCTTCTTTTTACTCTCCTCTCCCTCCTTTCTTTCCCTCTCCTCTCCTCTCCCTCATTTCCTTCCTTCTCTCCCACCAAACCCCCTTTTCTACCCTCTACACCTTTCTCCCCTTCTCTCACTTCTCGATCACTTCTAGATGACTTTATACTTACATTATTTAGAGAGGAGGGTCTGTGAATAAGAGAGAGAGACTTGTGGTGAGAGTGAGACAGGTGAACAGTCACACGTGTCGGCTCTCATGTCTTAAGGTCAATACTTAATAACTCAGGATCACACTTTCTGCTAATACTGTTAAGCCGAGAACTGTGGCGGGTCACAAATACAGGCGCAGTTTTGGGAAGCCTCCTTCGTCTGCCCATATACTTGATATTTACCTGAATTAACCACTGAGGGCCACTAATACTAGTGGGCTTGATGACAGGAAGCCGGCGGCTTGTCAAAGGTCCCCCACATTTGCCCTGATGATCTTTTCCAGCTGTATTTTAAAACCCAGCAGAGTTTTGGCGTTTACGGCTTCGGCGGGTAGGCGGTTCCACGGGTTTACAACTCTATGGGTGAAAAAGCATCTCCTGTTTTCTGTCCTACATTGTGGCTTGTTGAGCTTGAACCCGTTGCTCCTCGTTCGTGTTACATCTGATCTTTGGAAGAACTTGTCCGGATCGACATCCTCCAAATTCTTCAGTATTTTAAAGGTTTCGACGAGAACTGACCTCTCATGCTTTGCAGGCATGACCCCCTCCCTTCCCCTGAGGGAGGGGCACCCCTGAAGGAAGGGTAACCCCTGAGGGAAGGGAACCCCTGAAGAAGGGGTACCCCTGAGGAACGGATACCTCTGAGGGAGAGGGTCCATCGTTGCTCACATTCTCTACACTAATAACACTGAGAGCCAAAAATTCATATATTTGATGCAATTATTATCTGGGTTTAGCTTGAGAGTGTGGAGTGATGTGCCGTGTCCTCCTGCAGACCCGCCTTCATGGACGAGTACGAGAAGCTGGAGCAGGACCTCAAACGTCAGTATGAAGCCTTTGTTCAGAAGTTCATCAGCTTGTCTTACCTCGAGAACCAGCTGGATGACCACGACCGCGTCGAGCAAGAGAAGATGGTCGAGAGGGAGGTGAGTGGTGAAGGTGGGGTTGGTGGTAGCTGGTAGTGGTGAGGGTGGGGTTGGTGGTGGCTGGTAGTGGTGAGGGAGGTGTGGGTTGCTGAGAGTGAGTATATTTCCTGGTGAGTGGTGAAGTTATGTAAATGAGGAATGAGGAGGCAAGAGTGTGACCACGGGGCGTGGACCCCTTCAGTGGTAGTGCGTGGACGGAGGAAAAACTAAGAAATCCCAGCAGTGGTCTTCAGGTCATAAAACAAACAGGTTATGAGCCCAGAGTGGATTTATCCCTCGAGTTCACATCCTGAAAACTCGGGTTATAAAGTCAACTCGTCCTGCGAGAGAGAAAACGTTCACCGGGTGCCGGCCACGAAGTAAGATGTACAATGCCAGGCAGAACTAATCACCGGCGTCGCCCTTCCTGACCTCCTCATCCTCTGCCAGTGGAGAGTGCCGCCTCCGGGGTGTTGTGTCACCACCCTCCTTGTAGGACGTGCTGTCGTCGTAGCTCATCATTACCGCGAATATCTTGGCCATATTGTATCAACACCAGCACTACCAACCCTTCTCTAGAAATACAGAAATTCGCTTTAGACTGCATACTGAAGCTTCCAAAAGCAATCTTGTTGTCGCTGCTGATAACAAACTGGGAGCCTGAACTCACTAATATGGCGAACACCAACTTATATGTTCAAACCTTTCTTCACAAAACTCTAAACCTCTTTGATGTTCACTGTCACTTGCTAACTAAACAATTCACAACAAAAAGAACCAACAACCCTTAGCTCACTAAAGGGGGTTATCTTGAGGTTATCTTGAGATGATTTCGGGGCTTTTTAGTGTCCCCGCGGCCCGGTCCTCGACCAGGCCTCCACCCCCAGGAAGCAGCCCGTGACAGCTGACTAACACCCAGGTACCTGTTTTACTGCTAGGTAACAGGAGCATAGGGTGAAAGAAACTCTGCCCATTGTTTCTCGCCGGCGCCTGGGATCGAACCCAGGACCACAGGATCACAAGTCCAGCGTGCTGTCCGCTCGGCCGACCGGCTCCTAAGTACCGACCGGGTACTTGAACTAATATGTTTGACCTGATAAATGTAGCTCTTGGCGATAATGAGTACCCCCATACGTTTATCTGTTGGACTGCGAAAGGGTTATGAGACCGTTCACCACAATGACCTCTTTCTCAAACTACAACACTATGGAGTCAGAGGTTTAATACTTGCGGTATTACCTCAGTGGCAGCCACCAGTGTGTTTGTGGATGATGCCACTTCTCCCACTCTGAACTAAACACAAGCAGAGGAAGACTCGAACTGAGAACGCCTGAACTGCCAGCAAGATAGGGAAACCAACCTCGCCTTCTTATACAAATTGAAGCTTCGCTTTACAAATTTCAAATTTTCTAAATATGTTGTTGGTTCAGTTGGTGGAGGGGAACCCAGTCATGTCTTGCATGCAACTGACAGGCATAATGGCGGCAAGTCAAAGGAGATTCCAGTTTTTCTATACATACAAATTGTTTTAAATCATTAATTATATTTGCCAACTCACAATTTCTTGGTGAAGTCTTGAACACATGTTATCTTCATGCACCTTGTTGCGAAAGATAACTGCATGTTATCAACGCTAACAAAGCGTTGATCTAAAATAGTTTGAATGTGTTAGCGGGAGTACCAGGACACGCCCTGGGAACTGGAAGGATAAACTGACTATGTCAACAACACACACACCACCACTCATCTTTCGTTAAAAGCCAAGACAAATTATTTTCCTCGTTATCCTCGGGGTTTTGCCCACACAGTTAAGAATACAAGAGTAAAATAATTCTGGTCTTTGTGTGCAAACTAAGATCTCTCCACATCACACCTCAATATAAAGTCTGACAATACACGGCTAATACTTACCAAACATCTTCCAATCGTTTTGCATCCAAGTTCCCAATTTCTGTTGGGTGCACAGAATAAAAAAAGTGAAAACAAATAAATGTGTCCAAGTAGGTCACGCTGTACAGGATTCGAACCAAGGCCCTTTGTGACCAGCTGTATTGGTTCAAATTAAACAACATCTCTTCGCTGGTGAATCTAACCTGGTTCCAGTGGACTGTCAGATTTACGATAATCACTGTAATTTGCATTTAAATGAAAATAGAAATTGCATACAATTGTGGGAGGCGGAGAAGAGGGTGGAAGTTGCGTGGTGGAAGGGATGGCGGCGGCAGTGTCCGGAGGCACATGGCCACGAAGGATGGATCTATCCCCTGGTAACAGCTTCCATCTTGGAGGAAAAGGAAAAATGTCATAATTTCAAACAATTTATCCTGCAGATACTGCCGGTACTGGGTACGTGTCTCGCCCTGAGGCAAGAACCAATTTTACGGTGTATTACCCTGCCCGTGACGACGTAAAACTACGACAAAAGGGATAATGAGTATAACACGAAGAAGACACAAAGGATTTACAATAAAGTGTTGTATCTATTTACAAATATTGAGACCATCGGTTGGACAGAACACACCTCCCTGGACTCCCCAGACACACGCACTAACCCCTGGACACGTAGAGGTCAGTACAAGTTGTTGTGGTGATCCTGTGGTCCGGTGGGTCAAGCGTGTGTTTGAGGAGCCCAAAGACGGGATTTCTATGCCAATCAATATATTTTCGTGGTAAAGAGGTAAGATACTAAGGAGGATAATCCAGTAGAGAAGACAGACGTGGTCTCGTCTTCCCCCAGCGCCTGGCCATCACACCGGCCTCCTGGGGATTCACGAAAGCACTTACGCAAACACTTATGAACCTGGACATCTTTTCTCAATCTTTGGCGGCTTTGTTTCCAATTATTAAACAGTTAATGAGCTCCGAAGCACCAGGAGGCTGCTTATAACAATAACAACAGTTAATTGGGAAGTTTTCATGCTTGTAAACTGTTTAATAAATGTAACCAAAGCCGTCAAAGATTGAGGAAAGATGTACACGTTCGTAAGTGCTTGCGTAAGTGCTTTCGTGAATCTGGCCCCTGGTCTCCTTCACCAGAGTTTCAGTCATTAGTTTAGTGTGGTGTGTGTTGTAGCGCCTTGTAAAACGGGTTTAGCGCCCCTGGCCGCTTGAACTACTGTAAAACAGATACAGCTAATCATTATATATAACAAAATATTTAGTCGTAATAAATAATTATATCAATAAATAATGCAGGAGAGAAGGGTAACTAAATCCAATAAGCCACTCACTAATGTACACTGAGAGAGGCCATAGAAGACCCTGCTATGATAAGGTCACAGTAGTACACAGGAGCAGGTGAAGTAGGCAGCAGCAGGTTGTAGTGAGCCCAACATTACATAAACATCTCTAAAGTGAAGCGCCAGAAACTATCTGGTACAAAAAACAACCAAGACATTTACGAGGAGTAATTACTAAAGTCAGTGTGGCGTCTCCAGCACCACGCAAGCCGCCGCACGCACCACACAATAATCCTTACCATCGAGACTTACATCATGGTAAAGAATTGAGAATAAAATGAGGTGAAATGACTGCAAAGACGTCAAATATTGCGATAAAGAGTAGCAGGAGCGAGTCCCACATTGATGAAACCTGGTAGGAACAAAATTCCCAAGGGACTAGTAGTCTTTTTTTTTAAGATTATTATGTCAGGGTTGAGGAAGTCCCACACTGATTATGTCTCAGTATGAACCTGAAATATAGTTGAAGTTTGACAACTGAAATTTACAATATCCACCTTTGTCTATTTGTAAGACCGTCAACAATGTTGTCCTGCCCCTGTGCCTGCCCCTGTGCCCTACCCCTGTGCCTGCCCCTGTAGCCTGCCCCTGTGCCTGCCCCTGTGCCCTTCCCCTGTGCCTGCCCCTGTGCCTCCCCCTGTACCTGCCCCTGTGCCTGCCCCTGTGCCTGCCCCTGTGCCTCCCCCTGTGCCCTTCCCCTGTGCCTGCCCCTGTACCTGCCCCTGTGCCTGCCCCTGTGCCTGCAGCCATTACCAAGGCCACACCTACATGACGCTTGTCTCTACAGTCAGCCACCCGCAAGATGTTGGAGAAGCTGCGCTCTGAGGAAGGTCGGCTCGCTGGTGCTCCTGACGACGACTCTGACGACGACGATGACTCTGACGACGACGACGATGACGACGACGAGGGGGATGCGCTCATCAAAGACATTGGCAAGGAGAAGATCGTCGAGCAGGAGGTTAAGAAGAGCGCGGGGAAAGGTAGGCATTGGTGGTGATTGTGGTAGTGGTGGTGGTACCCCAGGACTTGGTGGGGATTGTGGTAGTGGTGGTGGTACCCCAGGACTTGGTGGGGATTGTGGTAGTGGTGGTGGTACCCCAGGACTTGGTGGTGATTGTGGTAGTGGTGGTGGTACCCCAGGACTTGGTGGGGATTGTGGTAGTGGTGGTACCCCAGGACTTGGTGGGGATTGTGGTAGTGGTGGTACCCCAGGACTTGGTGGTGATTGTGGTAGTGGTGGTGGTACCCCAGGACTTGGTGGGGATTGTGGTAGTGGTGGTACCCCAGGACTTGGTGGGGATTGTGGTAGTGGTGGTACCCCAGGACTTGGTGGGGATTGTGGTAGTGGTGGTACCCCAGGACTTGGTGGGGATTGTGGTAGTGGTGGTACCTCAGGACTTGGTGGGGAGTGTGGTAGTGGTGGTACCCCAGGACTTGGTGGGGATTGTGGTAGTGGTGGTACCCCAGGACTTGGTGGGGATTGTGGTAGTGGTGGTACCCCAGGACTTGGTGGGGATTGTGGTAGTGGTGGTACCCCAGGACTTGGTGGGGATTGTGGTAGTGGTGGTACCCCAGGACTTGGTGGGGATTGTGGTAGTGGTGGTACCCCAGGACTTGGTGGGGATTGTGGTAGTGGTGGTACCCCAGGACTTGGTGGGGATTGTGGTAGTGGTGGTGGTACCCCAGGACTTGGTGGGGATTGTGGTAGTGGTGGTACCCCAGGACTTGGTGGTGATTGTGGTAGTGGTGGTACCCCAGGACTTGGTGGGGATTGTGGTAGTGGTGGTACCCCAGGACTTGGTGGGGATTGTGGTAGTGGTGGTACCCCAAGAGTTACCACCATCTTGTGGGGTTACATCCTAGGGAGCTTCAGGAATTAGATGTTGGGAGAAAGGGGGGGGACCTCAATATAAGCCTAAAATGTACTATAAATGTATATACTGGCTGCCTGTCCCTCTGCACAATGAATTATTAATCATTGTGTTAATTATTATTAACATCAACGAAGCCTCATAACCAACTTTCTCTATTGTTTGCTCAGATTTCAAGATAACGCCAGTCCATGACCTCACACCCGCCACAAATCAAGGACACAGAGATAAAAGTAATTTCATTCTTTTTTGTTCCGGTATAAGATGCTGTGAGAAGCGTAGTAGATAACCCAGAGGCCCTCATGAGTACCTCTGGACTCGCTCTTCACCCTCATACTAACCCAGAGGCACTCATGATTACCTCTGGACTCGCTCTTCACCCTCATACTAACCCGGAGGCACTCATGATTACCTCTGGACTCGCTCTTCACCCTCATACTAACCCGGAGGCACTCATGAGTACCTCTGGACTCGCTCTTCACCCTCATACTAACCCGGAGGCACTCATGATTACCTCTGGACTCACTCTTCACCCTCATACTAACCCGGAGGCATTCATGAGTACCTCTGGACTAGTTATTCACCCTCATACTAACCCGGAGGCACTCATGAGTACCTCTGGACTCGCTCTTCACCCTCATACTAACCCGGAGGCACTCATCAGTACCTCTATACTCACTCTTCACCCTCATACTAACCCGGAGGCATTCATGAGTACCTCTGGACTCGCTCTTCACCCTCATACTAACCCGGAGGCATTCATTAGTACCTCTGGACTCGCTCTTCACCCTCATACTAACCCGGAAGCAATCACGAGTACCTCTAGACTCACTCTTCACCTCATACTTGTCTTGTCTACACTTGGCACTCGTGCCTCACACTGGGCACTTGTCTACATGGCTGTCAGAGCTTGGTGTTCTCTGCAGCCAAACCTCTATATAACTCCCGTGGCTCTTAAACACTCTACAGATGCTCTCGTCTGTACTCATTCTTTATATTATCATTCATAAGAAATGAGTTGTAAATGTTGGTCACTTGTAGAGACTGTCCATTGTAAATGTTGGTCACTTGTAGAGACTGTCCATTGTAAATGTTGGTCACTTGTAGAGACTGTCCATTGTAAATGTTGGTCACTTATATTGTCCTTTGCAACTTTAAGGAAGTGCACACACCTGAGCACAGTCCACCTGATATAACTGATCGCAGAACAGATGTGTCCCTGGTTAAGGCAGTGTGTTCATCCCCCAGCACTCTGCGCGCGCGCGCCCTCGCACCTCTAACCTCTCCTCCCTCAAATGGAGATAATGACCCTAAGAAATGTTATGACTAAAACGAAGGTTTACCTGCGTCAGCCATCAGGCTCGACACACTCCAATAAATGGGGGTTTACAGCTTAATACCTTGAGGCAGGAACACTACAGCCTTAGTGAATATAGAGGGTACTGTGACGATGATAGCTTCTCTCAATCAAGACACTGACTATATATATATATTGTATCATTCAGTTAAATCTTTATGGATTTGAACTGAGGCCTGAAGAATACGAGGCTGCCACCTTAACCATCGGGCCAGGATACTCACAATAAGCGTCTGGAAAGCGCCTGATAACCAACTGAGAATTCAATACTGTCCTGGCGTGTCACTATGGTATCTGAATGAATTATGGGGTTCAGTCCCTGAGCCCATTATGTGCCTCTGTAACCCTTTCCACTACCGCCCACAAGATGGGTATGAGGTGCATAATAAATGAACTAAACTATGGTTTCTGGTAGTAATCTTCTCCTTCGTCTGTGTCACGTAAGAGGCCCGAAACGCTTTGTGTTTATTCTGGCTTCAGAAGGTGACTGGTGACTGACTGGGGGTCTTGTAGACCCGCTTATGGGCTCACACTGCCTCATATTTATTATGGCTGTGGGGTCAGTGTCTCCTGCTAAAATCACCTCTCCTTTGATTCGGATTTTCTGTCATCTAAATTTAGTGCTTCATTCCTGATATACCTATTTTTTAGCATTACTAATATAACTATTCTTATGATATTTGTAATGTAGATTTTATCAATAGCATTTATAATATTGGTTTTCCTAATAAAATTCCAAATATTGCTCTTATACCTATTTCCACTAAATAACTGTTTTCTAACAATTTTTTTCCTTTTTGACCCAAATGTTTACCTTCGAAATGAATAGTTTCCTCTTTAAAATGACCTCATGATATGTTGGTTCACTCAGGAGGTCGTCGAGTCTTCGGCAACATGGTGGGCGACCTGGATTCAGAGTCCCTCGACTCGGACACCGAGCTCAACTTGGAGGGCGCCGTTGACTCTGACCTCGACGCTAACGACATGGACCTCGTCAGCCCTCCGGACGTCGGGGGCGGCGCCGGAGGCCTCGGGGGGATGCCGATGGCCAACGGCGGCACCAAGCTCAAGGGGTCGAGGATGAGAGCGGCGGCCGCGCCTCCCCCTGACGACGACGACGACTTCTAGGCTGCTGCCCGCCGATTGATTGATTGATAGAGATTAAGCCACCCAAGAGGTGGCACGGGCATGAATAGCCCGTAAGTGGTGGCCCTTTTGAGCCATTACCAGTATCAAGAGATGATACTAGAGATCTGTGGAGGCGCGACTGCACCCTGCGTGACGGGAGATGTCTCCCGGACCATATGGTGACCAAATGGTGCCCCGCCGATTGATTGATTGATTGATAAAGATTAAGCCACCCAAAAGGTGGCACGGGCATGAATAACCCGTAATGCTGCCCGCCAGATATTCACTACATATATATACTTATAATTTTAAGGGAATACTGATGATTACATTCAAGCGTGTCGAGGATCTTTTCTTAATTAAAGGATACTGTTGTAGTCTAGGAGGGGGGGGGGGGGTAGGAGGTGCTACAGTAGCCCTGGGGGGGGGAGGGGGGGGGAGCTGATCACAGCTTCCTGATGCTAAGGACGTGTTCATTGACAATGTTGTTGAAGCGAGTCTTGCAATTGCATAATAGTAATATTTTATTTTTATTTATAAACATGTATTTGTAAGAAATTAATTTAATTTGTCACTAAATAGATAATCATTAATCATGTAAATAATAGTATGTATAGTATGGAGCTGGGGGTGGGGGGATTGGGGTGGGGTGTTGCAGCAGCTGTTTTCAGAGTTTTTCAAATATATATTGATTGTTTAATTGTGTCTTTATAGCAAGTAATTTATTTCCCCTCCATTGTTTTTCTCCGCTGTGTTTTATCTTACTGTCTCCTAGACAACAATAATTTCATAACGGCCAGTTGGATTGGTCGTTACTGCAAATGGACTTGAATCATACGGAGTCAGCGTTCGATCCTCAATGGTCCAAGTGGTTGGGCACCGTTCCTTCATCCCTTCCTCATATCCCAGCTCCTTGTCCTCATATCCCAGCTCCTTGTTCTCATATCCCAGCTCCTTGTCCTCATATTCTTGCTCCTTGTCCTCATATCCCAGCTCCTTGTCCTCATATCCCAGCTCCTTGTCCTCATATCCCAGCTCCTTGTCCTCACACTACTTCGAGTGCTATATAGGCACAATGGCTTAGCATTTTCTCCCTATAATGCCTTCAACACAGGATGGGCTTAAAAACTAATATAATCCTTGTTGACCAAACCACACACTAGAAAGTGAAGTGACGACGACGTTCCGGTCCGTCCTGGACCATAATCAAGTCGATTGTGAGAATGGTCCAGGACGGACCGAAGCGTCGTCGTCCCTTTACTTTCTAGTGTGTGGTTTGATCAACATATTTCAGCCACGTTATTGTGACTCCTCGTCTGCAATGTAATCCTTCACTGCAGGTTAGAAAAATTAAGATGAAATCTGTACATTTTATTGATATAAAACATATAAAAGTTCATTGATATAACAGTTGAGGCGTCCCAAGACGTAGCCAGAGACTCCTCACTGAGGCACTGTTGGAGGTAGAGGTACGGGGGAGGTCCAGAGGACCTTGAGTGAGGCTGGTAAGGTTGGCTGCAACGGCAGACACTGTTGCTTGTCGGGGCCAATGGGGAGGGTGGCTGTGAGAACCAATGGGGAGGGGGGCTGTGAGAACCAATGGGGAGGGGTGGGCTGTGAGAACCAATGGGGAGGGTGGCTGTGAGAACCAATGGGGAGGGTGGCTGTGAGAACCAATGGGGAGGGTGGCTGTGAGAACCAATGGGGAGGGGTGGGCTGTGAGAACCAATGGGGAGGGTGGGCTGTGAGAACCAATGGGGAGGGTGGCTGTGAGAACCAATGGGGAGGGTGGCTGTGAGAACCAATGGGGAGGGTGGGCTGTGAGAACCAATGGGGAGGGTGGCTGTGAGAACCAATGGGGAGGGTGGCTGTGAGAACCAATGGGGAGGGTGGCTGTGAGAACCAATGGGGAGGGGTGGGCTGTGAGAACCAATGGGGAGGGTGGCTGTGAGAACCAATGGGGAGGGTGGGCTGTGAGAACCAATGGGGAGGGTGGCTGTGAGGACCAATGGGGAGGGTGGGCTGTGAGAACCAATTGGGAGGGTGGCTGTGAGAACCAATGGGGAGGGTGGCTGTGAGAACCAATGGGGAGGGGGGCTGTGAGAACCAATGGGGAGGGGTGGGCTGTGAGAACCAATGGGGAGGGTGGCTGTGAGAACCAATGGGGAGGGGGGCTGTGAGAACCAATGGGGAGGGTGGCTGTGAGAACCAATGGGGAGGGTGGCTGTGAGAACCAATGGGGAGGGTGGCTGTGAGAACCAATGGGGAGGGGGGCTGTGAGAACCAATGGGGATGGTGGCTGTGAGAACCAATGGGGAGGGTGGCTGTGAGAACCAATGGGGAGGGTGGCTGTGAGAACCAATGGGGAGGGTGGCTATGAGAACCAATGGGGAGGGTGGCTGTGAGAACCAATGGGGAGGGTGGCTGTGAGAACCAATGGGGAGGGTGGCTGTGAGAACCAATGGGGAGGGTGGCTGTGAGAACCAATGGGGAGGGTGGCTGTGAGAACCAATGGGGAGGGTGGGCTGTGAGAACCAATGGGGAGGGTGGCTGTGAGAACCAATGGGGAGGGTGGCTGTGAGAACCAATGGGGAGGGTGGGCTGTGAGAACCAATGGGGAGGGTGGCTGTGAGAACCAATGGGGAGGGTGGGCTGTGAGAACCAATGGGGAGGGTGGCTGTGAGAACCAATGGGGAGGGTGGCTATGAGAACCAATGGGGAGGGTGGCTGTGAGAACCAATAAGAAAGAGGGTTGTGAGAAGAAGGCCGCAGGGGTGTGAGAACGAGGAGAAAGCTGAGAGAGAGAGACGAAATGAAGCAAATGATGGAAATGACTAGGAGAAAACGCAAGCAACTCACAAGATGTTTGTGGTATTGAGAGACAGACAGAGAGGGGGTGAAAAAGGAATCGGAATGAGCAGAGGACGAGGACTACAGCTGTGACACCTGTGTGTGTGTGGTGAGGAGGAGGAGCGAGGCGCGCGCCACACACGCCAACATTACTCCCGAAAAGGTTCGCCAACACGAGCGTAAAACAAGTTTTGCTGTAACACAGTGACAGGTGAAGGTAGTTAGGTGACAGGTGTCTCCAGGGGTGAGGCAGCAGGTGTGTCCAGACACGCACCTTCTCGCCAACATCTCGTCTTCCATAGACCCGAGGCTAGGATACCTTGCCAAGAACCATGTGTGTGTGGTGTTGGTGGTCACGCCACGCTCCGAGGGCCAGTGTCGGAGGGTGTAGGTGGTGAGGGTGTAGGTGGTGAGGGTGTAGGTGGTGAGGGTGAAGGGACTGAGGAACAAACGCACAAAATAAGGCACCAAGTAGCACAATGTGTCTAGTGAGAGAGGGGCAGCTGGTGAAGAGGTGAGCCCGACAAAGAGTCACACCGCCAGCTGGATCTCTCCTACATAGACTACAGCCATCTGTGTCACCATGGATCCCTTCACTAACCCAACACATGTATCCTTCACGGTCCTCACACTTCCTGGCCTACAGGCCTGGCCAAATTCCATTTCTCGGTCAATCATCCAAGTACACTTTCTTGATACATATATATACACACACAAGTATATGAAATGCTTAACTCTATAATAATTAGTATGATGTTGTGGACATGAGTCCACGTAATGATTATTTGCAAAATTAACACTAACCTTAACATTAATGAGACAGACGTATATACAAAATGTAACTAATACAATTAAAGCTTGAAAAATCAATGCCCTAAGACCATATTCAGAAAATGCTCAAGTGCACCAATAATAATAATATAAATAATAATAATAATTAAAGACAATAAAATATAATTTCCCCATTAATATGAGCGAGGCTTGACGTAGCCTCCAGAGACATCCTCCCTGCTAGTCTAAACGCTTACAATACAATGTGAACAATTGTATTTTAATAGAGATTAGCTTACTTGGGTAGCCAGACCCAGGTAGACAACAACAGCACGAGGCTGTGTAAAACAGCTGTACCAGACAGTGTAGGCTAATCGAGTTTGTACAATTGCCTGATCGACAAAAGCTAAAAGAATGATATACCCTGGGCGTTCCTTAGGCTACGTGTGCATCCAAATGGGTTACTGATATAATAATTCATGATTTAATTCCAACTTATCCAACATGGCGTCCGGGACGCCAAATGCAGGATTTCCATATTGGTCTAAAGGATATTCCATATTTTAATACCTTGGCCGCTCCTCCACTCCCACATCCCGCAGAACATATCAGGCTCAACATGGCCACCATCCCAGCAGCCAAGAAAACAAGGTTGTAATCCTTTTAATTTCTTATTTTTTTGCGTAATATAATAGCTCTCTTTTTCTTCTTCCTGCGACGGTTTAATAACATGGTTCCCTACAAGTTAATCTAAAGTGGCTTCGCAACTCTTAATTTAAATATCCTTATAGACTAGAATTGTAGGGCAATTCATACAGGAATATACGAACTGATCTAGAGATAATTATGTATTATTAATAATAAGTTTCGAGCGCTCTCTAATTGTGTATTCCCGTGAAAATGAATTAACATACGCGCCAAGGACAGTACCAGTATTGCATTTAAATCAGCAGTAAGTGATATATAACCCATATTTACCCATATGAGTTCAGTAACCCATATTTACTGAAAACCGGTTGAAAGTTATTTATATAATTTAAAATAAAACAAAAATATACAAAAATAAATTAATTTGCATGGCAAAGTAAAATTAATTAAATATAAATCAGGTTAATTTTATGAACTTAAAATGCCCAAATTACAGTGGGAAATTTGCTGGATATAAACGAGTGTGACACAGCTGAGGAACAGTTGAGACAGCTAAGGCACAGCTGAAACAGAAGGTGAAGCAGGTCTGTGTCTCACATGAGACAGAGAGTGAAGAAGGTCTGTGCCTCACCTGAGACACAGCTGAGACAGAGAGTAAAGCAGGTCTGTGCCTCACCTGATGCACTTGAACATTCTATGGTCGCCAACACTGGCAGGAATGATGTGTAACTGGAATGTAATCATCAACTCAACACGAGGCGCTGGAACAGAGAATGCGCCTCAACAAAAACAATTTTCACGACACCAAATTTACCAGAAATGTTACATTTGTCAAATGCTTGATTCCTCCTTTGTTGACATTAATTAATTAGACCAAAAAGAAAAGTAATGTGTTTTCTATACTGTTCAAATATTACCGACAGAAGTCATATATATATATATATATATATATATATATATATATATATATATATATATATATATATTCTGGGGTGTGATATATATATATATATATATATATATATATTATATATATATATATACATATGGCTGTTCCAACAACCTAGAACAGCTACCAGGAAAGGTTAGCCCTGTAACATAAGGAAATCTCTTCATTCTTTTCATTTACATGTAACATTCACGGTGAAAATTAGTTTCTAATACTCGGCAGTAATAATTACGTAAGTCTAGACTAGATTTGATGGCTTCGCAGAAAGCCTTTAGAATTTACTCTTGTGGACGGTAGCTTGTTCAGACGGAAGAACACACGCAGGGAACTGTTCACCGTGTTCACCGTCCTCACACACAGGACCAACACACTTCCAGGAGACAACAGTCAAATGGACAACATGCAAAACTAAATTATTTGAAACACAAGTTTCACCTTAAAGCACATTTTGTATTATGAGTTACGCTTTCCACATCACTGTGAGTAGTGTTTAGACATCCTGTCAAACTTATTATTCATCTACCACTGTGTGTGTATATAATCTTTAACATGTTCCTGTGCAACATCATGATGATAAACAAATCCACAAGGGCCGTGACGAGGATTCGAACCTGCGTCCGGGAGCATCCCAGACACTGCCTTATGCTGTGCTCCCGGACGCAGGTTCGAATCCTCGTCACGGCTCTTGTGGATTTGTTCATTTGATGCATCACGTTAGTGTGATCTCTGTGTGTGATCATGATGATAGAAAGTCACTGTGCAACATTCCTATAATCTGATTATTAACATCCCCGCCTATTCTTGGTAACTGTAGCGTGGCTGACACTGGAGGCTGACGCCGCCTCGGGTCCCCAGTGTCCAGGATCACTGACCCTCGGGGGAGGGCAGCCCCGAGGCTCAGTGATCAGGGAAACAAGAAATTTATCATAGAAAATTTTCGTAGATATCGTAGAAAACCTTAATTTTCAGTCTTTGTTGTCGGAAGAAAATTAATTACACTAAATACGTTGAATCATTTCAAAGGAAAGGGAATAGTACACCATCCCATTTACAATAATTCCATACATAAGTGTGAAGAGGTGTTCTTTAAACTGGAGCTAATAACAGGGAAGATACAAAATCAAGACAATTTAACAGTAAATTATTCCCGTAACGAAAAATGTTCAAAGCCAACTTTCAACACCAATATTGGTTTACTCTAATCGACCCTCGCCCTGCAAAACCTGCAAAAGCGACGCAGGTAAATAGCGTCAAAAAACTCTCACCAGCTCCTGGACGGTCTGACATCACCTTGAGGGGGAATCCAGAAAGACAGGTAAATTGAGGAGGCGGGATGGAGCACGCAGGCGCAACACAGGTGTGGTGGGCGTAGCACAGCCTCCAGTCATGCTCATGCCTGGAGGGGACGGCCAATCACACGTTAATGTTGCTAATTCATCATATTTTCTCTAAACACCAGCACCTCCAGGTAGGACGAGGCGGCATCCTGGCCAAGATTTGCAACACCTCGGTTTTTTAGATCTTCAGGAAAGCGGGAGACCTAATTTCCTGAGAGGTCCACACTCGCAAGAATTCGGCGCCTTTCCCTACGATGTACACAATACATTTGACTTTATGATAACGAACAAATAGCTGTTATTATAAAGTAGGTCCGTGTTATTTATCTGGCTTACAGTGTATATAAGGCAACCACTACAGGACAAATCTCATCATGTGAGTAAATCTTTCCTACTTGTATTCCCTTTTTTCTTGAATTACACGTAAATCTGTTTCTCTGTATGCGACATAGTCGGCGAGGAGCCTCTCACCGCTTCCGAGGTCGGGTCTTGATGGTCTTGGTGGGTTGTGGTGGGTCTACCCCGTAGACCTCCCGGTATTTTTGGCGATCCTGCAACTTTTGACGCAGGGTGAGGAGAGTGCTTGCCGACGCCCCTGTGCCCGGCCGCACATGCTTGCCCGTTAGGGCCCGGGGTGCGCGCTTACGGGTTCCCCCGCACGACTCCGTCGGGGACAAGTCCAGGTCCTCGCCACCCGTTGTACTGGAAGGTAATGTTCCACAGGGGGAACCAGCTGAAGGGGAGTGAGTGTCCGGCGTGGGTTGCGGCGTCTCCTGTCGGTAGAACAAACGTAAGACACCTTCCAGGTAAAGCAGGTAAAGACATATGCATTATATATATATATATATATATATATATATATATATATATATATATATATATATATATATATATATATATATAAATAAAAGTGATAATAATTGAAGTTAGGTTTATTGGCTTTTGGCCACTGTAATATTTAAATAGAGGCGTTATTTAGGCAGAAGATAATGACTCATGTGTCTCCCGTATTCTTCCCGGAAATACATAATGAAACGTGTAGATGGCGTGAAAACAAATATAAATTATTCAATGCCGGCAGGTGCAATACCGCTAGTCATCACTAGACGAGATTAGTGTGACTGAAGATCTTTTTCCGGAATAAATCCATATGGAAATTATTGCAACTCTATCTCTGTCGTCTGATTGCCATGTACGTTTATATATATTTATAATGTAATAGATCCACAACAATTGCATGGACTGGACGTGTTACCAGTCAGCCTATTCATAGGTCTGTATTCATTACTATAGCCCAATGTGACAGGAAGGTCTCTCACTCATCTGTCTAGATGTTCGTGGTTAATTATATTTTTACGACAAGTCGGCGGGACAGAGTTATGCTCCGAAAATAATTTTAAACCAAATTCAAAGCAGCACTGCTCCAAAAAGATTAAATTAAATTTGAGAGCTTTGGAAGGCAGGCTTGTACGATAAGCACTCCGCCAACCTGCGTCATGAGGAATACGTTCCCTGATACCATAAAGAATACCTTTCCTGGTTTGCTGTTTTGTTGATAACTCACGCGACACTGTATCGATGGTATTGTGGAAGTACAGAAACATGCAGCTAACCTGACATAAGTTCCCCCTTTTTGATCTTCGTCATTAGCCACCGCCAACCAGGCAGGTTCTGAATACCTACAGAAGCAGTTCGACTCCACCCACAGAGCAAGCCTCCGCCACCCACAAGAGGCTACCCACGCTTCTTATCGAAAATTTCAATTTCTAAACACATTGAGAAATTTTAAATATCTGTTCTGCGAAAGATCTTCATTCAACATTTAATTAAGCATCCTAGAAAGTGTGCTACGCAAGACGTAATCAGCATCATACAATTCCTTAAGTTGAAAGGTGCGTTTAGGTGAAATTCAGCCCCGACCATCACAAAGACTTCCCTAGGCTCGCCTGGGGCATCGTATCGCTCATCATCTTGTCAGACTCCACCGTGGAGCTTCCTGTGAAATTTGTTAATTACAGGTTTATACCTTCTATTATATCAATTTAAAACAAAAAGGGGCATGCACCATTTTTGTTTTCATTGTCACATTATCTTAATTAGGCCACAAGGCTAATTATTATGTGACTAGCGGATTGGGGGTTACCAGGCGATGTGACAGAGTAACACGGGATGGCATGCGAGCTTATTGTGTTCCCCTGACTGAAAGAGCAATGGCAGTGATGGTGGTTGTTGGTGTGGTAATGGCAGTGATGGGGGTTATGGTGGTGGTAGTAGTAGTAGTAGCATTGATGGTGGTGGTAGTACTAGTGGGAGTGATGGTGGTTGTTGTGATGGCTATGTTGAACTAAATTTCATTTTGGTAGTACGTGGTGGGTGAGCTGTGGACTGAGGAGACTATAGGGACCTTCATCCCCTCTTTGCTATTTCCCGGTATCAGGCAGCCGGGGCGCATCCGATCCCTTGATCGTCGTCGACCCTAAATCAACAACAACAACAACGACTCTGTGGTATGTAAATATCTACATTTCTTATCTTAGTTGCAAGTTTTGCAGCTTTGTCTGCAATATGTTCCCCTCACAATCGACTTGAGAATGGTCCAGGACGGACCGAAACGTCGTCGTCCCTTCACCTTCTAGTGTGTGGTCTGGTCAACATACTTTAGCCACGTTATTGTGACTCATCGCCTGCATATCATTCCCTATTATTCTCACATGACTTGGTAGTAGTGGTAATAGGTGGCTGCAATTGTGGTTGTACCTGTGGTGTGGGTGGTGTTGGTAGGGGTGGTGGTAAGGTTTGTGGTAGAGATGGTAGAAATGGTGGTTGTAGCGATCGTAGTAGTGATAGAGGTAGTGGTATTGACTTTTCAACTATGTATGAAAAAAATGTATTTTAAGCGTTTCATAAAACACATCCGAGAAGAGAGTGTACTAAAAAGAATTCGATGGAAATTTAAGAATAATTGGAGATGTTTGCGCGACGTCTGGGATTCGAGTATTGCGTGACGAGAAACGCTACGGGGGCAGTTGCTAGGTAAATATTTAGCAGGTGGCCAAATGGCAGATACGTCAGGTCGGCCATGACAGCTGACCTTCACATGCGGTAGAAGACAACGTTGAGACATTAAGCTGCAGAGGGAGAGGGAGGTATAACAAGTACAGCTGCTCCTGCTGCCTAGAGTGGAGTGTCTACCCCACACTGGAGATCCAGTGGTGGATCTCCAGGCTTATGGAGTAGTGGTTCCCAACCGGTGGTCTACAGGACTATGAATTGCATTGCACTCTAACAAAATAAAAATCATTTGTGTGTCGAAATGAGTGCCTCCTGTTATTATTTACATGCCGTTTTAACAGATAATAACTTTGAGTTTTAACAGAATTTGTTGACATGTGGGTGTATGTATTTGTCGCAGTAATGGTTGCTGTTAATTTTGCTACCTTCATCTGTTGTTGATGTAAGGGGTCCAGAGGTGAGGACATGGTTGTAGGGGTCCACAGATGAGAACGTGTTTGTAGGGGTCCACAGATGAGAACGTGTTTTTAGGAGTCCAGAGGTGAGAACATGGTTGTAGGGGTCCACAGGTGAGAACATAGTTGTAGGGGTCCACAGGTGAGAACATGGTTGGAAAAGGGAAGAAAGAGACACAAAAAGTTGTGAAACTCTAGAGGACTGAAGAAGGCGGGGTCGGGTAAGAGAGCGGGCCCCCGGGGCTTACAAGGGCGTGAGACGGACCGCCACTCCAAGGGTAATTTACGCTTTTTATTGGGGGATGGAGACCAGTAACCTTTTACTACACACATAACTTGCCTGCGACTAATTTACTTCGAATATCACTACTGAGGGAGAGAGAGAGAAGAGCATGTAGCTGTACTCACCTGGATGGGATGACAAGGTCAAGCTCCAATTACTAAGACCCGCTTTTGTTTGTGTACTCGACTATGTGGGTGTGTGCAGTGTTGAGTGTCAGCTCCTTAGCCTCACCTTTCAAACCGATATTCGTAAAAAAAAAAAACCAACTCTCCTTCTCTAGTTTCTGTTTATCACTCATTCTTAATCTCTCCGCTCGGGAGTGCTGAGGTCCAGGTGTCTTAAGATGGGCCTCGTAGCTCAGGTCCATCAGAACTACAGCCAGCCTTGGTGCTTAACTTCGGACCATTCCATGCCGGGGCAGCATATTAAAGACGTGTGTGTGTGTGTGTGTGTGTGTGTGTGTGTGTGTGTGTGTGTGTGTGTGTGTGTGTGTGTGTGTGTGTGTGTGTGTACTCATCTATTTGTGTCTGCAGGATCGAGCACTAGCTCTTGGACCCCACTTTTCTAGTAGCCGGTTGTCTAATGCAATGACGCCTGACCGTTTGTGGTGGTTGTTTTAAATTTATCTACTGGGAACGAAATGTCCCTGTAGCACGGGCTATGGTGAGCCCGTAATTGAGTTCGGTTATTCGCGATAACCTTGTTACTGTGATATACGGGTCAAAATGTTAAATGGAGGTGGGGTTTTCTCCATTTTCCCCGTTTCTTTTTCGCTTCTGTTTTGGCGCACTGGTTTTAGTCTCGTTTTAATAACATTATCTTGGTGGCGGATGAAGATGCAGAATGTTCACTAGTGAGTCCCATTATTCAACTGCTTTTCTAATCATTGTAGTCGCTGTGGAATTTGCATCTAATGCAGCTGCTGTCGTTGGACTCCTGACCTATTTCCATATCATATATATTTTTAAAGTTTTTAATATAATTTACTTCTACAACCTGCTTTTCCGCCTACTTCCTTCTGTCTTTTTGAGTTTGTATAGTAATCTGTTAGATACTGTATCAAAAGCTTTTTGCCAGTCCTGAAATACGCAATCTGCCCAAACATCTCAGTCTTGCCTTATTTTCGTTATCATATCACAGAATTCCAGTTGGTTCGTCAGGCATGATTTCTCTTCCATAAAACCATGTTGATGTTTGTTTACATACTTAATTCTATCTAAATGTGTAACCAGTCTTATCCACACCACACATGTTCAGACGCGAACCTCACCACACATGTTCACACATCTACGGCACCACACACGCACAGGCGCCGACAACAACGACTGCCACACACGCACCAACGACTGCCACACACGCACCAACGACTGCCACACACGCACCAACGACTGCCACACACGCACCAACGACTGCCACACCCAGCATACATCACTGGGGACGTCTAACACGTCACATCTCTACACAACAATTAACATATTTATGTGCTCACCTGACTGTTGAGTCTCGCTCGCAGGATGGAATTGATTTCTGAGAGCCGATCTTGCTCGTTGAGGTTGATGTCGTCCTCGTAGTCGTAACACTTATCCTCCAAACGAACCTGCTTCTCGTCCTCTGACTCGCAGTCCAGTCGAGTGTGTTCCTGCAGGTTGTGTTGTTGTTCCTGTAGATGGTGCTGCTGTTCCTGTAGATGGTGCTGCTGTTCCTGCAGGTGGTGCTGCTGTTCTTGCAGGCGGTGCTGCTGTTCCAGCTGCTTGGCCCGCAAGTTTTGGATGAGTTGGGAGCAGTAGGTGTAGTAAAGGATCTGGGACTGATGCACGGCCGCCAGCAGCGCCTCTGTATCCTTCAGGGCGGCTGGGTTCAGCAGGCCTTGGGAAACTGTCGATGTTTGTAGGCGAAGGAGAGCCGTCAGGAGCTGGCTCCCTGGTACGCCATCACTATCATCTGTGCTTATTCCAGAGGGGCTTGTGAGCACGGAGCTCCCGGCGTGGGGCGAGCACTGCCTCTGCCGCGGCCTCATCACTGACTGACTTAAGCCTTCTCCAACCTCCACTATATCACTATCACCCCTGGCCCGCCCCACCCCCATCACTCGACGCTTGTCGTTATTGTCGCTCCCGCTACTATTGCTGCTGATGGGGGCAGTGCCGTTCTTGTCTTCAGCAGATGGTGGCCGCAGACTTGACTCGCAGAGTGAATCAGAAGGTTTGGGGGACTCAAGTCTCGCTCTTTTACGAGCTACGTCCGGTGAAAGCCGATTTGAGACGTCCAAGACCGTAGAAGACGGCGGGGAATACCTGCCGATCCACGGGGATTGGCATTTGGGCGGTGGGGAGTGGGTCGTGTACGGGGGAGAGCCACGCGCCCGGCAGTGTCTCTTCTTGGGGATGGGGATGTAGCGGCTGACGGCCGCGGGAGCGGAGCGCGCCATTGCCTCTGAAGGCAGCTTGGCGAGTGGCTTCAGGACACACTCCACCGGGCGTCTTGGGTCGTGGCGGAGACGGGGCCACTCAGCGTGGTGAAGCATGAGGTGTCGACGGCTGGTGGTGGTGAGGTCCATGGGTAGGTCCTCGTGCGGTGGTCGTGCGCCGGCTAGTGTCACCACCTCCATGGCCTGGGATAACTACCACGCTCACGTCGAGGTCACCGCAAAGATGCCAACGATGCAACCTGTCAAGGAAAAAGAAGCAAGAATTGTGATATATTTATTGCATATAATTTCCTCTTATGTGCTGAAAAGTGAAAGAAATGTTGATGTGATAACATATCGAGCACTGTTTTCTTGCCATCACAAACACGTAAATTGATGGTCATTGTTCTGTTATATGGGAACAAAGCACATACAGTCTCCTGTTATATGGGAACAAAGCACATACAGTCTCCTGTTATATGGGAACAAAGCACATACAGTCTCCTGTCATTAACTTGGCCAACAGTGACAAACAGGAAAGGGGGGGGGGGGGGGGCAGTGGAGCAATGACCACAACTACTAAACACACTACCGGAAGATGCAGAAAACATTCCTTACGGCACTTTACCAGTTATCAGAATCTATACAAGAATTTTCTTTAAGTGTTCGTGTTCAGATACTCTGGACGAGAAGTGTAGAGGGCGCAGCTCGAAGCACCAGGCGGCGCCACACAATGGCGACGCCATGGGGGTTGTGGACGCCTCCACAAGTGAAATAAATAAAGGGCTGTCGTCGTGTTGTGTTGGGTTGTAATCTCCTGTTGTGCCGTGTTATGTTGTCTTGTACTGCGTCATATTGTCTTGTGCTGCGTTATACTGTAGTGTGTTGTAATATGGTGGGTTATAGTGCACTGTGATATGACACTGAGCTGCAATATGGTATGCAACTCATGGCATTATGGTGTTTTGCGGCGTGATGCATTCTATTACGGTATAGTGTGCAGTGATGGGCTTTGGGCTTCATTCGTAGTTGAAGCGCTAGTTGAAGTAGTTGAAGTGTGACTTGTCGGGCGTTGTGGTCTTCCTGAAAACCCGTGAATTTCAGAACCAAAGAACGCAGACATCACTGACAGTTTTAATCCCCGCACCCGTTGCTGCAGTGATCTAGTTTCGCTGTCTTTGAAGATCTGTGACCGAGAATACTGCATCTTGAAGACACCATGAAAAGCAGCGAAGAAGTGCGTCTGTACGTAGGGAAGAGGGGGAAGGTTAGGGGTAGGGTTGAGGGGGGGGGGTATCCAGAGGAACGAAAGGTCTTAAATCTAGGAGGTAAATTTGGCGAAAATTATTTACCTGGTTATAAAACTGAAGTCAAGACAAACTTGAAAAAATTGTGCTTCCCCCAAGGGCTCAGAGTAAGGGGGGGAGGGGGGTGGGGTGGGAGGGGGTTGGGGGTTGCTAATAATTTTCTTCGTCCTCCCCCTTCCCATCCTTCACCCCCCTCCTCTTCATATATGCTACTTCCTACCTTCCTCTTCTCTTGCCACTTCCTTCAAGTTTCTACCCTCCTCCTTTGTACTCCTCCTCTCTTCGTCTACACCTTCTCCTCCTCTCTTCGTTTTTCCCTTCTTCCTCATGCTTTTTTTATCCACCAGTTTCTCTTTTTTTTTTTTTTTTTACTCCTCACTCGTCCGTCTCTTACCTTCTCCGCCCCAATATTATGGCCGCCAGTCCATCTTAGTGAACACTCCGCTCCCGCAACATGGCGGCCAAGCTCGACTCCTCCACAACAATACTGAAGGTGACACTCATTTTATCTTTATCTCCTCACACTAACTTCTTCATTTCTCCTCTCTCCATCTGCTTCCAGATCTTCCCACCTACCACTAAGACTTCCCACCTACCACTAAGACTTCCCACCTACCACAAGACCTTCCCACCTACCACTAAGACTTCCCACCTACCACTAAGACTTCCCACCTACCACAAGACCTTCCCACCTACCACTAAGACTTCCCACCTACCACTAAGACTTCCCACCTACCACAAAGCCTTCCCACCTACCACAAGACCTTCCCACCTACCACTAAGACTTCCCACCTACCACTAAGACTTCCCACCTACCACAAAGCCTTCCCACCTACCACAAGACCTTCCCACCTACCACAAGACCTTCCCACCTACCACAAGACCTTCCCACCTACCACAAGACCTTCCCACCTACCACAAGACCTTCCCACCTACTGTGGGAACCGACCTGTGAGTTTTATATTTATTTAATTTATATGAATTTATATTTACGTTAATTTATATACTTCGATAGCAATTTGTATAATGATAAGTGGACTGTATTTCTGCAATAATCTCATAATCTCACAAATCGATCCTCTACACATTAGGGGGGGTTTAATAGATTAATATATATGCAGCCAATCAAACTACAAGAATAGACTACATACATTGAAGAGGTTCCTTATCTTATAGTACAGCAGGTTAGTCCACCAGGTATAACTAGGGTGTAGACACCAAATTATCCTCTTTGAGGTAGCTTCTATCACCCAGTAACTGGTGCACATAATCTTGCATCCTCGTCTTGACCTGTCAAAAGTGCGCTAGCTGTGAAGCCAGAATCCTATATATGACAAGCTATATCAGAGAAAACACTATACAGTACATGGAACATGAAGACCTGGCTTAATTACCTTTAGTTTGAGGCGATTTCGCGATCTAACCGGGTCACCCTATATCCTGACATTAATGGCCATAAATGAATGATAAACGGGTTTCGGATAGACACTTAACTTGAATTTGTAGACAGCGTGTTGACAATGGTACACTTCTGGTTTCCATAACACTACGTCCAAGTAAATTTAACAGGAGCCGAATTTGCTCCCGTGTGAGCCTCTGGTCTCATATAACAACAATGGCTGCCCTCCTCCTCACTCTGACGCCTGGCTTACATTGTCCACATTTCAGAAAGTGATAGAAGGGTCACATTTACTCTACTTTAATATTGATAATTAAGTTAATTTATATAGGATGTTTTTATGATGGTAAAGTCCAAAGACTAATGTATTTAAGAACAATTCCCAGCAGAATAGCTGGTGAATTATAATAGTATGTGGTGATGATATCCCGTTTTCTATAGACGGTAATTCCACTACAAGTTACGTTTTCTATGGGTAACTTGTTGGTAATACAGTTATTATCTGTATGATTATTAAATGGTGTCGGATTTTCCGACACCTACCACAAGACCTTCCCACCTACCACAAGACCTTCCCACCTACCACAAGACCTTCCCACCTACCACAAGACCTTCCCACCTACCACAAGACCTTCCCACCTACCACAAGACCTTCCCACCTACCACAAGACCTTCCCACCTACCACAAGACCTTCCCACCTACCACAAGACCTTCCCACCTACCACAAGACCTTCCCACCTACCACAAGACCTTCCCACCTACCACAAGACCTTCCCACCTACCACAAGACCTTCCCACCTACCACAAGACCTTCCCACCTACCACAAGACCTTCCCACCTACCACAAGACCTTCCCACCTACCACAAGACCTTCCCACCTACCACAAGACCTTCCCACCTACCACAAGACCTTCCCACCTACCACAAGACCTTCCCACCTACCACAAGACCTTCCCACCTACCACAAGACCTTCCCACCTACCACAAGACCTTCCCACCTACCACAAGACCTTCCCACCTACCACAAGACCTTCCCACCTATTAATCTCAAGGCTGCCTATAAAGCCTGTTCCTCTCTGTCCTAGTTAAGCTCCAAGTTGTAGTGGAACTCGGGGCAAGATCTGGATGACTCAAGCGTGCAGTCGACACGACTATTACAATACAATTCATTCTTCAACTATTATATAATTCGGTGAGAAAGACAGATACGTAGATTATAAAACAAATAGAAAATATAATTTGTAACTGTTGAAGAAAAACGCACCAAATTCAAATTGAAATAAGATTTTTGAGGTATAATTACACACACAAAGGGATGAGGCAGCTCCAGCTATTCTCACCCTGTTCAGCACAACGTGTTCATATATAAATAGACACATCACAAACAATAAGTATATACCGAACATTCTAAGTGATACACATATACATTTTTTCTTTACATATACAATATGTTACAAGATGTACACACAAATACTTATATGGTTTGGTACACAGACAATTTGCAATATTCAGATAATTCAACAAAGTTACAGTCTTGGTGCAAAATTCTTATTTCTCTCCAGAATATCATCAACCTTTCCGTTGTGACACATCCAGGCTATTTGTTCAGGAACAGTCCTTATCTCAGTGTTTCTATATAAATTAATCAACGGACAATCAAGAACATAATGGGCAAGGGTGTGAGACCTTAATATATCACATAGTTTACACTTGGTGTCATTATCATTAACACCTGTACCATGTTCCCAGTAATATTTGTACCCAAGCCTGAGCCGCATGTGCAGAGTCACTCCAAGCATTTCTCCTGTTACCATAAGTGAAATGGGTGTTTTGACTCACACACATGTAGTGTTGCATGGTTTGGCTTCCCTCATACATTATACCTCTCCTCGCCACTTCTGCCTGTGCTTGAATATTTCTAATTTTGCTTCTTATTTGTCTCATTGTTAAAACACATTCAATGTCAACTTGTAGTTTTGATGTGGCGTGTTTGGCCAAGTCATCCGCCACCTCGTTGAGCACTATTCCAACATGAGATGGAATCCACAGGAATTTCACATTGTGACCTTTCAGCTGTATCTCATTTATCATTTTCTTACAATCCTCAACTATGGACATGAATATTGGATTTCGACTGTTTAAGGAGTCAAGTGCTCCTCGGCTATCAACAAATACAAAAACATATTTTTCGTCTTGACGTACTTCCTCCAAACCAGGCAGAATGGCCTGCAGTTCAGCTTGTGTTGATGATATATAATTACTAAGTAGAAGTACAATTTTCCTGTCCACAGTTCCAAGCTCAGAATATTCCATTATTAGGACACCACACCCTGCCCTGCGCCTTTAGAGGATGCTGTCAGGCTTTACATAAGGTGCTGATATGATTTATTTCACCATTTTTACTCTGGCATGTGTATCTAACATACATGCCCAGATACTTGTACTTCTGAACACGGCTCAGTTCTTTAAGCATTTAGTGTTATATTTCTTCGTTTCCTATACCCATATTTGACTCCAAACGTAGATAGATATACAGTTAATTAATAATATTAT